GGTTGATAACCCGTGAATAATATTTCTAGTATTGCATAGATTGCGCTGACCACTTATGATCAGGCAAATCATATGCACGATTATTATGATTTCCCACACCTTTATAATTAAAATAATAAATAAATATAAGCCGGCAACGCATTAGCAACACCCCTGGTGTGGTTACTGCCCTTGGGCTGCGATAATTAGGTACTTGTCATCTGGTGAACGGCATCAGGGACGGTCACTTGTTAAAAACAATGTGAAATTGAGTTTTCTTTTGTAATAGATGATAATGGAATGGTAACCCCGCCTGCGCAATGGGGTGTACGCTGGCGGGGCACCAGTGAAGGATGATAGGTGAGGATGAAGTAAGTCAGTTAGCCAATCGTGAAGAATTCAACAAGAATTGTTCACGATGGTTTCCAGGGAGAACCACGTGGAGGTCGACCTAATAAGGCATATTGCTAGCAATGGGGCTGTCAAACTCCATTGCTAACAATCCCTTTCCCCATGTTAAAATTGAATTTGATTGTATGACATCCTTTTAGCGACTTAACGACTTAATCAATCACTATAAAGTTTTGTATATACGTAGTATACGAGATGGAAAAGGGCATGGTCTACTTTTTATCTGGGTCAGTGAACATATGCCGGAAATATGGACGAGCTCGCGGGTAAAAACTAGTCTAAACTAATGTTATAAAGAACAAAGATTTGAATGTGTGTTTGTAATGGATGAACTTAAAAACTGCAGATTCGATTTTAAAAATTCTTTCATCTATAAAAAGATACATTACTAGCGAATAAACGTACTTCCTAATATATTATATACATTATAAATATATATTATAAACATGAAAATCAGTTTGTTTGATTATTACCTCATAGCACTTTATAAGTCGTTAAAGTAAAGCTTATGGTCGAGATTATAGACTACTTTTAATGCCGATCACGCGAACGAATTCTCGAGTAAAAGCTAGTTCTCCATATATTATTTTTGAAAATACTATTCACCCATACGAAGCCGGACCGAATAGCAAGTAAAAAATAACAAGTCAAAAGAGTCGAACTTAACAAGTGGTATTATGTCGGACGCTAGAACATTCACTGCCCACATGTGCAACAATAGCTTAAGTTCTTATTGGACACTTACCAGGCCGGGAAGCACTTAAGTGAAAACTTGCGGAAACATCGAAACTTTTTTCTTTGATGTTTCAAAATCTTTAGTCAAATAAAATTATTTCAAAGTAGTTTAATGTATACAATCATTTGTAACCGACTTCAAAAACAAGAAGATAGGACATCCTTTTTATATAAATCCGAATTTATATATCCGAATAGGGAACTATTCGTAGGAATATTTATTTTTCCTTTTTATGTGTTTCCCGATTATTCTAAGATCCCTGGACTATTTCGGAATATTTTTTTTTGTCTGTTGAAAATATAGTTCCAGATTAATCCCATATTTTTTTTTTTTATTAAAATTGGTTAAGTAGTTTAGTTTTTAAAGGATTTTTCAAATCATGTTTCCTTTGGGATACAATCTTAAAGTATTATTCCAATACTACTACATAGTACACGAACAGATATTGCACCAATACAAAGTCGGGGCAGTTCATCATCATCATCATATCAGCCTTTAACTGTCCACTGCTGACCATAAGCCTTCCCCTTGTGAGGTTTTGCCAGTAGTTACCACGCTTGTCAAGCGGGTTGACAACGATTCTTGCGACATCCACGGGAAAGGAAGGGATGGCCTATTCTACGCTGACACCAATTGACACGGGGCAGTTCTCTAATATATATTATGCAAGTAAAATCTAAGCTTTACGATATTATTTAACAAAATTTGTAAGTCAATATTATGATAATATTATGCGTACACATCGGCTCTATATCTACTTTTATCGTATAATAGAGGGCCTAAAGCTTTCATATGCTAATATGTACGGCCCATCTTTTAGCAGTAAGAAAGTCCAGAGTACATAAAAATGCTTGTATGGCTAATATATTTGTTTTTTTTTTTTATACAACTTAGAATAGCAGACAAGCTGACGGCCCACCTGATGGTAAGTGGTAACCGTCGCCTATAGACATGAACAGTACCACACCATCTCCCACGCCTTAAACAGAAACACAGCCATGCAAATACAACTGCTTTACGGTTGTAACACGAATGGGACAGAGGTACCCAAACAAAGGACTTTTGTACAAAGTCTCCCTCTGGTCATATATTTGTGTTTAACATTAATGAAAATTCTTTTGTCTAATGAAAAAAAAAACAGTAATGAGTATAATTGTAGAGTTAGTAGTTATGAATAATAATATAATAGTATTGTGAGTTCTCTCAAGCTTTTTCGAATAAAAACAATAATTAATGAATGAAATCTCCGTGTGGTTCCGGCATAGAAAAGGTCACTCCTTCCTTTCCCGTAGGTGTCGTAAGGTGACTAAGGGCGGGCGAAAGATGGGCAGCAGCGTCCTTTTTAGAACATCTGGAAAACTTAACTGCGGTTGCCAATCCGCCTGCTAAGCGTGGCAACTACTGGCAAAACCCCCTAAACAAGCGGTGAACAGTTAAAGGCTGATATGACAATGATGATTAATATATGATGACAACTTTATTTGCTTGAATACAAGTGTAAACAGTAAGTAAAGTTTTTTTTTTTTTATGAAGTCTGGCAATGGGGCAGTTTAATGGGTGATAATGGAATGGTAACTCCACCCGCGCTATCGGTATACACCGGCAGGGCACCAGTGACGGATGATGGATGAGGATGAAGCAGGTCAGTTAGCCCATCGTGACGAATTCAACAAGAATTGTTCACGATGGTTTCCAGGGGGAACCACGTGGAGGTCGACCTGATATTGCTAGCAATGTCGAACTCCATTACTAACAATCCCTTTCCCCCCAGCAATGGGGCAGTTAGACCCCATTACTAATAATACCTTTCCCTCTAGTTACCTATTCTCTCAGTTATACATACATATATTTTTAATGGGTGAAAATGGAATGATAACCTCGCGTAGTCTATCGATATATGCTGGCAGAGCATGAAGGATGATAGGTGAGGATAGAGCAGGTCAGTTGACCCATCGTAACAAATTCAACAATTCCACGATGACTTCCAGGAAAAACCGTGTGGAGGTCGACCTAATAGGGTATATTACTAACAATGAGGCAGTTAGACCCCATTACTAACAAACCTTTTCCCCATTGTTACTATATGTTACTTTGTGAAATAAGCGTAAATGGAATATTTTCCATCTTTGTTTATTTCGCATCTACCCACCTACTCACTCACAGACGCGGTCAAAAGAAATCTGAGACTCAGTAAGATGGCATAATATCTGTTTGTTCAGACGGCTGAGTGCTTACCTCATCCTTATTCATCCTCGTGTGACGTCACAGCGAATTAGCCGTTCATATGACCGTATAATCGAACTGATTCATCGTACTTCATAATTATATCATACAAACATATCCAATACGTCACTTTATAAGTATTTAGATTTAATTGTCTGACTTCACTAAGTATTAAGTTTTTTTTAATACCACTGAGGTGGCAAACAAGCATACGACCCACCTGATAGTAAGTGGTTACCGTAGCCTATGAACACCTGCAATACCAGAGGTATTACGCGTGCGTTGCCAACCCTGAAGAAACCTCTTTACCCCCCTTTTGAAGAACCCCATGCTGTAGTCTCTTGGGAAAACCTCGGCAGGGAGCTCATTCCACAACCTGAGTGTTCACGGGAGGAAACATCTCTGAAACCGCGCAGTTTTTCTATAATTATAATTATTAAAACAAACTTTTTTTTTCTACAAAATCAAATTATCTTCTACTATAATAAAAAACCTAGAATAATCTTGTATACTAATGTGTGAGAAGGATCAACATGCTGGTCGTTGCTATCTCATTCTATTTCATGCAAGTGGTAGCGAAATTGTAGCTATTGATATGATTCATTGGCCTTTGTCTGGGGAGATAATGCAAACATGAGACTCCTGGTGTTGCAGATGTTCGTTGTTTTATATTGTTATTATGTATTTCTTTTTTGTATTTTTACTAAATTTCCTTCTGTAATCCTTTGGAAAGAACAATAAATAATATTTATTTATATTCTGTAATCAAATATCATCAGATGAACTGTAGACTTGATTGTCAATAAAATATATAAAATAATACAGTTATACTTCATTCGCCGTATGGTCCCGTAGGCCGCCCCTTCCTTTCCTGTGGGCGTCATAAGAGGCGACTAAGCGATTTTAATAGTCGAGGGATGGGCAGCAGCGTCCCTCTTTAAACATCACCAAGTCTTAACTGCGGTTGCCATTCCGCCTGTCAAGCGTGGCAATCCCCCCCAATAGGAAGAGGCCTATGTTCAGCAGTGGACAATTAACAACTGATATGATGTAAATAATGTATTTTTCTCAAACATGCTTGGAAATGTGAGCATTATTTTGACAATCTTCTTCGAGATAAATCAAAATTGCCGTACTGGCCAGATAAATGCGGGCAGCGGCCGGCAAAAGTTGTATGAAAATCTATATTTGTCGTGTTTTGCGGCCAGATAAATTACTATGTAAACTCATATCTGTCTTGTAATTTAAAAATGGAATGACCTTTTACTTCGAAACATGGCTACCAAGGAGGTAACTGATAAAAGGTTTTATTTAAATTTCGAACTGGCTTGCAAATAGAAAGCTGTTTATTGAAAAAAAAAAACAAAGGAACATTATAGCGCGTGAAAAATTATTATTGTTCGTTATTCGTCGTTGAACTTAAAAAGTAAAATTGTGTTTTTGATTTCCGCGCATTGTTTGAGAAAAGTACTATACAAGCCTTGGCCACAACTAGGCATTGATGGACTCACATATGTGTGCCTCGGCTGCGCCTCGGCCCACATTTGCACGTTCGTCCATCAATGCCTCAGTTGCTGGCCACTGCAGTCATGTACTATTCTATTGTTACTTTTGAATTCCTAAATTAAATAAATGATTTCTGTATTTCCAGGTAGTGTTGGTGTTCATCCTGAGTATAGCATCACTTATCATCTACTTCATTGACGCGTCCAGGTAAATCACATTCTTTTATTATTATATCATTCATTCATTTGCTAAAATATTAATTTAATAACGTCTTATAACACCGCTCAATTGAAGGAATACGTGAGTTCAAGTTATATAAATGTGATCCAACTGTTTTTTTGCTAACAATAGTCATAAATGTTTAGCTTCTGTTCCACACAGCTACAAGCTGTGGCCACATATTAACACTTACAATGACTGACTGTTATGTGCACTTTGCGACTTTATATAAATGTCAAATTGTATGCACTTAACAAAATGAATAATTTAGTATTTAAAAAATAAAACAGCAATAACTTCCAGTAATATATAAGTAATAATTGCTTTTTTATTTCATCACTAGCTGTATTGCACGTTATCTTTTTTGGATTACAATTTATTTTTTCGTCTTAAAACCTTAATTAGACTATTACTATCAGAAATAAATTTAAATATTTGAAATAAGGTTAAACACGTTTAAAATCCATATAAGATATTAATCAAAATCGCTCTAATTTTTTTAAAACTTTTTTTAGAAACCCATTTAAATATTGTCATGTACATTTTTTCCGTTCTCTAAAATTGTGAACATTTAAAAAAATAATTGATCCAGTCACCTATTTTCATATGTGGCACTTGCCAACGAATGGTATTCAATATTAATTTATTAAAATCATAATATTACAGTAAAGGATCACAAATTTATTGAACGACACATAATTGATTGAAACATTAAAACATTTGTATAGTTTTACATTATTCAGATTGAAACCGAGATGTAAAAATAATTCAAAATTTAAAGAAAAATCAATTCAAATTTTGACAGTTAAATCTTAAAGCACTATACAAAAGAAGTTTCAAAACAGTTACACAGTTAAAAAGTCAGTCGGTAATATTAAAATTGTGAATTCTTACACGTATGTGGTCGCAGTAACTCACCTTAGATATTGCTTCTCCGTGACATGTCATATTATTGTTTTATTAATATGACTACGCTAGCTGGTCCTGACGCATTCCTCTATTTCCAGTGAGGAGGTGGAGCGATGCCAGAAATGGAGTGGCAATATGACGCAGCAGATCGACCTCGCCTTCAATATATTTTTTATGGTCTACTTTTTTATAAGAGTAAGTTGTTGTCTTTTTTTGTTATATTACATCTCTTATAACGCAGCCGAAATTTCTCTTGTTACAACATACATTAATTTTGTATTTGCATAGTTTTTGTATGTATGTATGACTGTTTGTATGTGTAACTGCTAGTAAAATGTTAAAGATAACTGCTGTACTAATCTTTACTATCCTTATATTCGCTAATATAAATGTAACTTTGTCTGTTTATTGCCCCTTGGCGCCTTAGCGCCTCAACTGTCATGAAGTTTGGCATATATTTTGTATTTGTCATGGTGAAAGATATAGGCCGCTTGTATTTGAATCATCAATCATTCTAGAATAATAAAAATATATATGCGCAAACAAAACTACATAGAACAGCTTGTAAATTATAATAATATACCAGGTATTTAATACTACACATATCCGACGACTTTCTCCATGTGAATTTATGTAAAAAGTAACCTTTATCAATAATAATAGTTATTTATTTATCAGAAACCTTAGATTATATAAATAGTGTATCGAGTCTCAAAAACGGGTCAATTTTTTGGCAGCTAATTGTCAAATTAACTGACTCGGTTTTTTAATTAATGCTCTATATACTTGCGTACATAATGTATAATATTTTGACGTATCTATATTTAATTATTTAATAAATAAAATGAGTTTTTGCGCATTAAGTAGGTGCAGAATTTATAAGAGAAAAAATATAGATGTTATAAAGGAATCACTCATAACTATTTATCACGCAAAATTATATGAAAAAATTGACACGTTTTCTCTATTTGTATGAAGACTATCTATATAATCTAAACCAGAAACATAGATACATAATAAGATGTTACAATTTATTTTTTAATGTTCAGTATATTTCACCATATTCAACAGCATGCAAATCTTTGTAAGTAGTAAATAAATATATAAAATAATAAAAAAAATATTTAAGTAAACATAATAACAAGCATTTTTGAATAGTAATTCTTTTTATGAATCTACTGCCCAGTTCAGATTGCAATTTCAACTGAGAAGGACAGGCAAGAAATGCAGCTGTTGTTTTTTTTTGCAGATAGTTAGTAATAATAAATAAATAATTAGTTAAGTGTACAACAAAAAAATATGACAGGATAAAATGTCTTTCACAATCTTCGTACGTTGTACGTTGTTGATAACAGAAAGAAAAAAGTTACAACGTTACAATCAATCACAGTAGTATTTATCAGATATCGTAATACATAGTTTATATAAACATAAATGAAACTGTTATATTATAATCTTAATATAATTAGCATGTCATAATTCAAATATTAAATTACTTTAAAGGAATTAATATTTTTTTTATAAAAGTTTCAAGCAAATTTACTGAGCTATTTTAATGATTACATAATATTTTTACAAAATTTTCATATCTTATTAACATAAATTTCACTTAGAAATTCCACGGTGATTCGTATATTCGTTATAGTGTTATTACGAATTCATTTTTACAAAACTAACCTACAACTCATCAGGGGTCATTTTCTTTTTTATTTTCTTTATTTAATACTTCATTGTACACAATAATTATTTATAAAAATATGGTAGGAGTATTCAAATGTACAAAAGTGAGCTTAACTCTAAAAGAGGTCTAGCAAACCCAAAATGGAAAGGAGCATCAATGTCAGCGGGTAGTACGGTGTACAATATTGTGAAAATTTTTAAACAAAGAAACTAGACAATTATAAATTAATAATATTATATTTAATCGTATAAATGCATATATACATAAATATATACTTACGCCTATGCATATACATATCTCTTTGTATAAGTTGTTTGTTTATGTCTTACAGAATATGGTATATACAGTTCAAGTGACTCTAATTGAGCTATAACAATATATTTTACTTATATAATAAAATATAGTTTAGCACCATATAGTGTTATTTACCAATCTACCGTAGACAGTAATAACAGAAAAAATAATTGACGGTGCAATGTGTTTTTTTTTGTTTCAGTTTATAGCAGCTAGTGACAAACTATGGTTCATGCTCGAGATGTATTCATTTGTAGATTATTTCACGATACCCCCATCCTTTGTATCAATATATCTGGATAGAACGTGGATAGGTGAGTTTACGTTTTATTTATTGTTTCCATTGTAGTTTGTTTTTTTTTATACTACATAGAATGGCAAACAAGCTGACGGCCCACCAGATGGAAAGTGGTAACCGTCGCCTATATACATGAGCAGTACCATGGACATAACAGAGTATACTGTTTCGCCCATGATGCCCCCCATGCGTTGCCATTCTTGAGGATTCAGATGTTATTCCTCTATACCCTGTAAGTGCAATAAAAAAAATACAAAAATAAACACAACTGCTTCACGGTAGAAACGCAAATGGAATAGAGGTGCCCAAGCAAACGACCTTTGTACAAAGGTCCTAGGTTCTGGTAAACTTTAATGGTTTCTGATTAATAACTCGCATAGACAAAAACATTAACACAAACAAACTGAACGTTTTCTTGAAGAAACATTAATCTAAATGCAATAAAAAGTTTTGAACCTCAGATAGGTATCTAGGTATCTACTAAGATAGGCACTATGCATGTAGCTGTCATCTTATTTCTTCGAGAAAAATCTTTTATATTACTAGTATAAAACTCCATAAAAAGGTGTTGATATTTATTTTGATTGGATTCTACTCCTGTATAATACAGGGTATATGTTGGGTCTACCAACTTAAGGTAGTTGGTCACTAAACAAAATTAGATAAGAAATACTTTATGGCGCTGAAATAGAGACTTGTGGATGTAATAAATAATTAAATAAATTGAAAAATAACTTCTTAATTGGTCAGCCCATCATGATGAATATATCAGGAATTGATCATGATAGTTTCCAGGGAGAACCGCGAGAAGGTAGACCTGGTGGTTCATATTATTATGTATGAATGTAAAGTGATTAATTATGCTCGTAATTTTCCTGAATAAATTATTAGCCACTCAATCGCAATGTTTCTTGTTAGTATGTGTTTTTTACAAAGTTTACACAATACAAAAGAAAAAAGACAAAAGTTATAATAAGTTATATATCAGTAAAAAATAAATAACACCACCCGCCAATTTAAAAATTTTGCCTCAAATTATCTTTAATTACAAATTAGTGAATAAAAACCATTTTGTTTAATGAGCGACCTCCTTAATAACAATATTGCCTTCGTGACACGTTTGTTTGCGTAAATGACGTCCGGGGTTCAATTCCCAATCGGGCTAATTTAGAAAACTTTTCTGAATTGACTCGAGATAGTGTGTTCTAAGAATTGTAAGGTATGCCTCCAGATATTTGTTGCCTAGTTTCTCATAACACTGATGTAACTGAGTGACAATATAATCAAGCCACTGAGTAGAAAACGGTCACCATTTTCTATCAGGTGGGATGTGAGCTTGTTTGTTATTACTATTTTATACAAAAAAGAAAACAATATATTATTGTTATTCTTTACTGGTTTAAATTTTTTCTAGTAATGACTACAGAATGCTGTAGTTTTTTATTTTTTTTTTTATTTTACATTATAGATGTTATAAACCGTTTTGGCATTTGTTTTTTTTTTCTTCCTTCCAGGGCTAAGGTTTCTCAGAGCTCTACGCTTAATGACCGTGCCTGATATTTTGCAGTACCTCAATATATTAAAAACATCGAGCTCGATTCGTTTGGCGCAATTAGTTTCTATATTCATATCAGTGTGGCTTACAGCTGCAGGTATTATTCATTTGGTAAGTGTCTCGCTTTTATTATTTTACGTTTAATATAATATAATATTGCCGTATAGTTCCGGCATAAAATGGACCATTCTTTCTTCTTTTTCGTCGTACAAGGTGACTAAGATAAACTAAATGGTCGAGGAATGGGCAGCAATGTCTAAAAACATCACCAAAGCCTAATTGCGATTGCCAACCTACCTGCCAAGCGTAACAACCATAGGCAAACATGGTTTGTGGGCTCCGCCATAGCGAACATGCTACCTCTGTTCAGCAGAGAATTGTTAACGGCTGGTATGATAATGATGATGATAAAATGAAAAAAAAAAGAATAAAATACTATACAAAACGACTGCGACAAGTTCAATAATATTTATAAAATAGAAAAAAGCTTTTCTTGGAATATACGAGAGGCATGGTCGTCTCGTATTTCTGAAGTTATCATACAAATCTCGCGGTCGCCATATCGATTCAGTATAAACAATTCAAACCACCCTTTTAAATACGGACAATTATCTTTTAAATAATCCATTTTTAAATCATCAACCTAATACCAAACCTAATTCTATTAGTCAAATTATGTGAAAAATTCATTCGTCAAAAAATACGATTGGCACAACAAATATATTTAATTTTGTTTCTAGCTGGAAAATTCCGGCGACCCGCTGGAGTTTGAGAACGCGCAGAAACTATCATACTGGACATGTGTGTACTTTCTTATAGTCACCATGTCCACAGTAGGTTATGGTGATGTGTTCTGTCACACAGTACTTGGCAGAACCTTTTTGGTTTTTTTTCTCCTCGTTGGCTTGGTAAGTTTCCTTTTCAATTACTCTCGAATAAAATTAATTCTAATAAAAACATATATTAAATTGAAAACTTATGTCACAGTGACTATACAATAATTTTAATGTAATAATAATGAATATTTGCAAGGAGAAGCAAGTCATATTACCAATTTCATGTAGAAAGAAGCCATTTAAATTCGCTGCGATATTTATCGCCATTAGTATTATTTATTACATTACATATGTACTATATATACGGCTAAATCGATGCGCCACGCTTGCGATTCCTTGCATAAAATCAAAGCTAAATTAATAACAAAGCAAAAGGAAATATAACAAAGACTTGCCATTTAAAGGTCACATGATAGTTCACATGGGACTTGTTAGAGAAGCGTAATGGATTATCCGCACAGCTCGTTGAATGATTGTAAGCCTGATTAGTGCACAATGTATAGAGAGCATGATAATCAGTTGGATAATGTTGGAGAGAGGCCGAGCTCGCTCGCCCGCCCGGCGCCGGCGCCCGGGCGCCTGCGGCCGCCTGCCGTCCGCGGCTGCCGTCGCCTCATCGTCCATCAATGTTCTTTTCTAACTTCTCGGCCGCTTTGACTCGTTGGAGCATCTTTTAATCTATCGCCGTACACCAAATGAGCTTTATTTCAAGCGACTTCAATTGCATGGATGTATTTTGTTTTTCTTTTGCTTTGTTACGTGAATACTCACCGCGAATGTGCTGCCGGAGGATCTCTTACCGCGCTTGAGATTCGATATATAAATGGGGTCAGTGGTACGAGACGAGATACGTGTAGTAGTGAGACGTGTCCGCTGTCCGGTCCGTGTCCGGTGCCGTGCCCGGAGCGCCGCGCCCGGCGCCGGGCCCCCCGCGCGCCGGCTCCGGCACCCCGCGCCGCGTCCCACCCCTCCCACCTCGCGATCTCTGCATGCCGCACCTGTGCCTGGCTGTGTTCAGTTGCTCACATCACCGGTAGACACACACTTCGTTCCTTTTATTTTTATTTTCGCTCCGCTACCGGCTACACTTATGACTCTGCGTCACCATAGTTTTATACCGAGACTCGAGGTGGACATTGTCGTGCACCACGCGATGGTGTTCGCGTGCTCCCAGACTCGATATTCGATCGACACCATGGTCTGTTGCAGGCAATGTTCGCTAGTAGCATTCCCGAAATTATAGAGCTGGTAGGAAGTAGGTCCAAGTACAGTGGCGAGCTGAAGCGTGAACATGGAAAAAGGTATCCGTTTGATAATATAAACTGTTCACCGAAAGTGAAGGCGATTCACTCCGCGGCACGAGCGAAACATAAACTCGGCGTCGCGATCGCTGTGTTCGCTCTGAATCGCTCGATCTCTCGGGAGACGATGTGGAATCATCACCTCTAAGAAAGCTTGCTCAGTGCCGTCAGATGTATTGTGTCATCTACTCGTGTTCACTCGTCGATCCCGCGATTGCACGGCGGCGAACTCCTTGCTCTCGTGCTACAAGGGTATTCCTGTTTGGTGACTCTAAAGTAGTGCCAGAGCGAGCAGCCTGCCTGGTCGTTGATCGCGACGGTCAATTAGTGTTCACGCTCTACCAAGCGTCTATATCGAATGCCCATCGTTTTAGTTTAGGAACCGGTGAAACCGATTTCTTTTTAAGTTCTGTTCATCGATTAGTTAGCGTATGTATCCTTAGGCTTTGCATGCACCCGGTCACGAGTCCCGTCACGGCTTGCGCCGGTCACAGCCCCGCCGCTAGCGTAGCTCGGCACGGCACCCAAGTCCCGCACATCCACACCACAGCCACAGCCACCACGCAGACAGACGACACTCAAGCCACACAGCCTTGTGCGAGCGCGAGGGTACGCGGCCGCGGGCCGGGCGGGGCGGGCGCGCGGAGGGGCGGTCACTCACCTCGCGGTGTTTGCTGTGTATCGTAGGCTGTGTTCGCCAGCTGGATCCCCGAGATCACGGAGCTGGCGGCGCAGCGGAACAAATACGGCGGCCGGTACAACAAGGACGTCCGCCGCAGGTACCCTGCTCTCACGCCCCCGCTCCACGCGGCTTCCTGCCTTCCTACCTCTCACGGTTTCGATCTTGGTTGATTGAATGCGGAGTTTGCTAATGAAATTTATTAATCCTTCACTAGAATCGGTCTCTCGGTGCCGTGGCGCATGCTCGAAGAGTTAGCTCCCGGCGGCCGCGCCCCTCTCCCCGAACTAGAGAGACAGGCGCGCGGTCGACCGACGCACTACTACATGCCTTTTTTCGTAAATTTTACTCGAGATACCGTTGAGCTTTTTAATCCTTCTAACGAGACTAGATCTGGAGAGAGCCGATGTAAAGTTTTGTAATGCTGTCGATGAAGTAGTGTTTGGTTTGTTCGCTTGCACACGATGCCTGTCGCCACGCTGTAGCGCTAGCTCCGGCACTCGCCACAGTCCCGCGACACACAGCCAGTGCCCGCGCCGCCCCGCCCGCGACCGCCGCCCGCGCCGCGGTCTCGACTCACCCACTGCTCGGTCGCGACCGACCACTATACTAATCGCCCGTTGTGCCCGCCCGCCACCGAGGAGTAGTCGGGAGCAAGCCGTCATCCACAGCCGCCACCGCCGCCGCTTAACTGCGATTGTGGACTCCGGCCGCGGATGACGGCTCTCTTCCGCTACGCCCCTCATGACTCACCAATCGACTTGAATGTGAATGTCTTGTTTTGTCTGTCGGCGTTTAGGCGATATTTGCCAGTTGTATCCCAGAGATAATTGACTTAATCGGCACTAGACCCAAGTATGGCGGCACCCTCAAGAATGAGCGGGGACGCAGGTGAGCCGCTGTCTTCACTCCGTTCCATTGAATGTGTTCCGTGTTGTGACATCTATATCTTCCTTTTCCTCTCTTAGCACGCTTCTGTGTTCTCACTTATCTTTGGCGGGACGAGAGTCCCGCGAAATGTTGTTTTTATGAGTCGATTGTAAATTACCTTTGAATTGATTTGAGTTCAGTTGAATAGTGAAAAGCAGATAGTGGCTAGTGTTATCGCTCGTCATTATAGGTTTCATGATTATGTTCTGTTAGTATACGTACGTAAAAGGAATGTTAACGTAAAGCTTAGTTACGAAGAGTTAAATGTTGAGTGGTACCGTAGTGTGTTGTTGGAGTTCTGGTGTGTGAGGCGTCGACAGCTCCTTTCTGTGGGCGCGGCGCAGGCCCTGCCAGCCCAGCGAGCGCGGCTCGCGGCCCGCGAGGGGCGCTGTTGATGCGACCCTACCTCTGTACCTACCTGTACCTAGTGAGTGCCCTCCGCTCGCCTACTCCTCGCCTTCTGTTCCCCGCCTGCACGACTACTGTAACTGTACCTATTGTAACTCTTTAATGTTGACCCTCTTTACTGTTTTGTAATCTGTAATGTACTTTTGGATCGACCCCCTCGGTTAATTTAGTGTAATGTATTTACGTAAATGATTCATAGAGCGTGGCAAGGCTGTGTGCATTGAGGACATTTTAACGCAAAATTAGCTTAGTTTGTTGACATTATACCATTTTACATTATTGACGTCATCTTAGCAGTGAATACACAGATCATTTTTTACCAAATTTTTAAATTTTTAAAATGCGATGTTTGCAGTCAATACAAGGTAGAAATTTATTACTTTGTTATAACAACGATGATACCAGCTCCTTTGCCACACCTTAGATGAATATAGTTTTGCATGATACGCCTATAGTATTTATTTATCTATCACTTTCTACTAAATTTCTGGATGACTTTAGTGAGTTTAGAATAATATCTTCCGTTTGTACGTATGGTTTGACATGCAAGACAACTTAACCTCCATCATTGTACCGTCGCTGTCGACTGTCTGTACACCTGCCACTGTTGTGCAACTACTTTATAACCCCGAGTCGAACTTATAAAGAATTGTCGCCATACCCGAAATATAAACACCAATTTTTTGAATCATACATTTATAATAATCTATTAATTGATGGACATACTGAGACACAAGCTTTTGTCAGCCTGATATTTATATGCAATTATAACTATCTAAAACATCGTATTTAACTACTAAGTAATTATATGATATAATATTATTTATGAATCTGTTTTAATAATACTGCATATAGATATCTGAGGTGAGATGTAAAGTACTTTTAACCCCCTTACACCGACATTCTATTCTATTCACTACATTTTGCCCTGGAATCATTATCCTTGCAATGAATGCTATAATCATTGATCCCTTCAAGATCTTATACGTTGTCATAGTAACTGTCACACTCCAGACCCTGTACATGTTGTGATTTTTTATTTTATTTTTCTAGTGTGGTAGATAGTATACACACGTCCTGAACGAAACTGAGCTTTCTAGATAAGGCTGTTCATTTTTTTGTGGATCATGATTGAACTAAAAGATTGCATTTTTATCAACAAGTATACGACTTCATTGGTGATTTGGAATAAACTAACCACAAATTGATGAACAATCATTTAGCAAATTATGGAGGTTATTATACAACGTCTTTATTTCTTAAATTTTTTTTTCTTGTATATATTTTATACAAAGCATTAATAATCTTGATTGTCTAAGTCTTTAAAATTATAAAAAACAAAATGTGCGAATGATATTTGATTATGAAATGAAGACGTTGTTTCTATTTTTTATTTTTATTTTTTAGTTTCATGCTTCTATCACCAAACGTTTTGTTTAACCCTGTCGTGACCCTTTTTTTTTATCAATTATTATGTCAGTTTGCAACTGTGGTCCCAGGTGTTAAATAAAACTTCAAATTGCTGTTTTTCAGACTTTTTTATTCTGTACCAATAAGATAATGTAAAGCTTATAAAAACTTGCTTGTAAAATAACTTATGAAAAGCAACACAGCGTTGATTCGAAATTTTGCAAAATAAAATTTTGATCCTGCATTTTAAATTCAGACAAATTTATCGTATGAAGGCTTTCAATTCAATTCGCTTCACCGCTTCTTTCCAAAAACAATTGTTTGTATAGTAGCACCTTTTTAGATTGGCCTCCTTTTCGTGGTGTTATAATATTTTTTTATAAATTTTCAGGCATATTGTTGTATGTGGCCACATTACATACGAATCAGTGAGCCATTTTTTAAAAGACTTCCTACATGAAGACAGAGAAGACGTAGATGTTGAGGTTGTTTTTTTACACAGGTATGTATTTTTATTTATTTATTTATTTATTAACAGCATATTTTATTCTTAACAATATAAATAAAGTTGTAATTATTTATGTCGGCTCTATTCGTGTTTTAAATTTGGAGATGCCCTAGTTTCGAACTCAGTAGGAGCCCTTATTCATTAGCGTTAATTTAATAGGACATCCCCGAATTTAATTGAATAAAACTGACATAAATAATTACATTATAGTATGACTTATGATAGTTATTAAATGAAATTGATAAAAATATCGTATCCATACTACAAACAACCTGCCTTTAAGCCTACACTCTTGTAAGCTCTTCAATCAATGGTCAATCTGAAACGTGGTATCCTTCTTTATATATATTTTTATATTCTTGTAACCATATTAATTACCTTTATTATATTGTAGTAGTATATCAAATTGCCGTGTGGTCCCGGCATAGAATGGACCACACCTTCCTTTCCCATTGCGTGTCGTAAGAGACGACCAATCCAACTTAATAGTCTCGAAGAATGGGCAGCAGCGTCCCTCTTTAAACATCACCAAAGCCTAACTGCGGTTGCCAACCAGCCCGCCAAACGTAGTAAGCGTGGCAAAACCCTCAATAGGATGAGGCCTATGTTTAATATTGGAAAGCTAACGGCTGATATGATATAAGTTACCAGCTTTCAGATTGACTACTGTTTACTTTTACACGCCTATATTTAACCTACGGTTCTGTAGTTATAATAACTTGGGTATTTGGGTTTTATATTATTAATATTGGGTATTATCATTGTAGGTACAATACTTAAGCGATATACATTTTAGCAATATATATAATTATACCCGACTACTAATATTCTATATAAAAAAAATCTATTTAATAAATCTCCAAATATTTTTAATTTACTAATGACCGTGATGAAATGTATTTATAATAGGTCTATAGATTGCTTAAAATACGTAAAGTAAACATTTCTTATCAATATATAAAATATATAGTAATATAAATTAATCATTTGTTTGCGAATTCAAATATTTGATCATATAATACTTTTGTATACAAAAGAAAATTGTGAATATTTTGTAATAATGTTATGCAAGTAATTAATATATATACGTACCTATTTATATGCTTATAGTTTATAAAATGTAATAAATGAAAACTTATCTAAACAATATGATCCGTACGTAATCTATATATAAGTCAATTACATATGTCCAATTGTCTGTGTGGCGATTTAACGTGGACGTGGTGTCATGAATATCCGACGACGCTTTCAGAAAAGAGCCCGACCTTGAGCTGGAAGGTCTACTGAAGCGTCACTACACCACCGTCGAGTTTTTTCAGGGTACAATGATGAATGCCGTCGACCTTGAAAGAGTCAAGGTTAGAGTAAGAGCGAATAGAGCAGGCATTAGTTGACCGCACGGCCGTATATCAATTATCGCGTCTACATGAACCAGTACTTTTTTTATTTGTTTATGTGCATAAGACAGATCTTTTTCTTCTTTAAAGATGCTGTTTCATAGTCACAGTAGGTTTTTAATCACCTTGGTAACTTTATCTTGTGGTTCTTTTGATGCAATCATTGCTTCTCACGGTGGTACGGTCGCGCCTCGTTACCAGAACGACGGCGCGGCCGTCCCACCCCCACGACTGCGTATTTTGGTAAATAGAGTTGCATGGTAAGATCGGCCCACGACAGGCGGCGGACTGTCCAGTACCTGTAGTGTTAACTGAGCGTTGATGACAGGAAACCGCCCGACTTGGAGCTCGAAGGCCTGTTCAAGAGACACTTTACCACTGTGGAATTCTTTCAAGGCACCATTATGAACCCAATCGACCTACAGAGGGTAAAAGTAAGTAGCACACACGACGATGTGGTTTTGGGCGTGGTGTCGGTTTGAAGCTGTACAGACTGTCATTTCTATAGACGTAGAGCGATGCTCGTTCACTAACCTCTTCCGAGAAGGAGTTCTATTGGAGCTGTATAAGGTTCCCTTCTGTGATGACTTGAACGCTGTCTGTGCGTGCCTGTGCTAATGTATCTATGTGTGTGCTCCGGGCCATTACGGCCCGGGCTGTGTGTCACCCCTCCCCATCGACCCCAAAAACGCGCCCGGCCACCATGTCTGTACCAATGGGTGTTGTATGCAATGCTGGCCCGTGCAACTCCAAACAATCGATATCTATTGTACTGTACAATAATGGATATAATCTAAAGAACAATAAGGATAACATTGGCGTTAATGGCTGCCGACGAAAGAATTTCAAATTCAAAATTTAAATTGTTGTAGTCAAGTACAGTTGTCGATTGTCGATATTGTCGAGTGTCTATGGTAAGTCTTAGATGTCGATAGCATGGCTTCACATTCAATAGTAGTTTGCTATTTTATGCATGGCACTTATTTGATGGTATATTAACCACCCACCTGCTTATTCCTAATCCAAAATGAACACTACTCTGGTTATATTCAAGTTGGTTATAAAATTAACGACTGCTTATTAATGATTCAATCAATATACTATCTCTATTAAATGTGATAAACACAATTTATAATGATAAATATATACATAATGCATTAAACAATGGCTTTCCAAACCAAATTCCTACCGCCATCTTTATACCACTATAAAATAAAAGATTATACGTCTAATTTAAATATTTTGATACGATCTTTTACCATTGGTTACATTTTTTATTTAAAACTAGCTTTATGCCCGCTATTTCGCGGCGTGAATTTCACACGTGAATTTCAGAAGTAAGAAAACCAATAAAATTGACTTCTCCTAATTAAAATATTTACTAAATTTTAATCAGACATTCAGGAATACAATTATAAAAATCACATCTAATTTGGTGCAGTATATACTGGAACAAACAGACATACAGTATTACACAAAAATATCTTGGCCTAGCGTTGTTGACAGGCATTTTTGAATTTATAAAATACCATTCGTAGTGATCATTTAACACACGACACGTAGTTCTGCTGATGTTGTGCATGCCATTCTTATTTCTTCTTGCTTCGAGTAACTGCTTCATAACTAGCATGTTTTTATATATATGTACTTAGGATTACTAGTAAACAAACATATCGTGTCTTCTTTTATCGAATTTAAATGTTAAATTCACAAAAAATACCTAATATAATAGTTTAACAGTAATCAATAAATATAAAAATAGTTTTATTAAAACTATTCATTTTAAAATGTTATTTCGATAAAAAGACATTGCAAGATTGTTTACTCCGTCAAATATCTTACATAATAATATTTATTAATCTCTAACTTATAATTAACGCATTAGTATACAATAGACAGTTTATGATAATAGTAAAATATCTACCTAATTGGTAAGTTGTACGATATTCATTTACAATTAATATTAACTCATACAAGAGCAAGACGATAACTGTTTGAGAACAATTCATCAAGACACTTACGCAACCTATGTTCAACATATGAAATAATCTAGATGATTCCTATAATTCGTATTAACAGTAAACAGAGATTAAAGTATAATATAAAAATAAAATATATAATATAAAAATATTGAGACACCCATTAGATATATATAAAGTACATAATTAGAAACATGCAAATTATCCCTCCTATATGCCTATATACTTTCAATTAATTTTAATTTTAACTAATTTCTTACATTAAAATGTGTAATAATTCTTTTTTTATACTTAATCGTAATAAAATGTTATTTTTCTTAAAAAAATATGCTTTTTTGTATTTAATATTGTATCTATCGTTGATAATCAACTATATATATTTTTTTTAAAGACATGCAAGTACATTTAATCACAATTATATTATCTTTATGTAAATATTTCTTTTCTATTTTCTTTTGTTATTATTTTTAATATAAAGTGTTTTCAATATTTCATATAGGAATCTGTCCTCCAATGTGTTAATACAAGCTAAAAACTGTTCTACAAATAGTTACTTAATTCTTCTTTAACATACGTAGGTACACGAAGCCGATGCCTGTTTAGTGCTAGCCAATAAATACTGCCAAGACCCAGATGCTGAAGATGCTGCCAACATCATGAGGGTCATCTCCATCAAGAATTATTCAGATGACATCAGAGTTATCATCCAACTCATGCAATATCACAATAAGGTGAAATACTTTTATTTTCATATTCATATTTACTTATTTATTTATTTGTGGTACTCTTTATTTCACCACTTGAAGAATAACACAAAAAAATATATATATTTCACTTTCTTTTATTTGTTATAAATATTTATTTTTTTAAAAAACTTTATTGACCAAATGAATATGATAGACAGAATATGATACAAAAGATGGAGTTAATTAATACTAATGACATTCTTTACCATTGAATTATTTATTTATATCTATTTCTATTATGTTTCTAAAATTAGAAAATCAATATCACGGCCTGTTTCTTAAAAGACATGGACAATATATTTAGTTATAAGTAATAACTAATACTGGCGATGTCTCTTGTACAAATTACGATAAAGGCAAAGATAAGCATCTATATAAGACTTGAATTACAGATATTAACTACACTGTAGAGGAAAATATATTTTTTTTTATGCAACTTAGAATGGCAAACAAGCTGACGGCCCACCTGATGGAAAGTGGTATCCGTCGCCTATAGACATGAGCAGTACCATGGACATAACAGAATATACTGTTTCGTCTATAATACCTCCCATGCGTTGCCATTTCTTAAGATTCAAGTGTTATTCCTCTGTACCTCGTAAATTCATTGCCATATCCTACACTTCAAACCGAAACACAGCCATGCAAACACAACTGTTTCACGGTAGAAACACGAATGGGACAGAGGTACCCAAGCAAACGACTTTTGTACAGTCTCCCTCTGGTAATAAAACTATATAATTAACTTGAATTCAATGTATTATCCAAATATAGTATCAAAATGTAAGAAACGAAAGCGAAATATGTACAGAAATTTAAAATTATTCTTTTTATTTTCCAGGCCTATCTTCTCAACATTCCATCTTGGGATTGGAAGCAGGGTGACGACGTGATCTGTTTAGCAGAACTGAAGCTGGGCTTCATCGCGCAAAGCTGCCTCGCACCAGGCTTCTCCACCATGATGGCGAACCTCTTCGCTATGAGGAGTTTCAAGACGGTCAGCCTTATTTTTGATTATGTGTCTATTCTCTGTAACAATCTACTAGCAATTTCTTCAAAAGTTCATTCGAAAGTGGATACATTCTCGTACATTGGCGATAAAGGAACAGTAGCGTCCCATCTTTCGAATGTTCTTTTTTTAACAAGATCTATGCGGCATTTCCACAGTCACAAGACATGGCTATATGGACTAATGACTACATGCGCGGTACCGGCATGGAGATGTACACGGAGACACTAAGCACGACGTTTGTGGGGATGTCCTTCAAACTGGCCGCAGAGTAAGTGGGCAGCGACGCTTACCAACAGTGACACGAGACTGCGTCACGCCACAATACTTACATTATTTCTGTACCCGTGTCTAATCATCCCACAACTCCGTGACTCGAGGGGCGAACATCACTAACCGATTATAAATAATCGCATAGCTTCTTCTCATTTAGTGTTTCTGTATAGTATTGTTTGCCGGCTTAGTCTGTATTTGACTGTCGATGTTTCTTTCTCATTTTTAAATCATCTAAGTGTCATCATATTATAGGTACTGCACTGAAATATAAACACGATTGAGAAAATTTAAGTAGTATAACAGGTAATGCTTGTATAGAGGGAGCGTGTACTAATATTGGTATACCTTTACAAGCTAATGGGAAGGTAACAGAAGGGTCTGTAGGTGCAGATACTACCGTAGTCACAGAGCTTGTCTGTGATCGCGACGCGACTAACATGGCACGAGCTTTAGCGTCTCCCGTTGGTTGATTGCAGTCCCCCGACACACAAGCTTGGCAGAACGATTACCTGCAGGGTACTGGCTGTGAGATGTACACGGAGACTCTGTCGACATCGTTTACTGGGATGACCTTCCCTCAAGCGAGCGAGTAAGATCTCAACTTGGCCCGCCTGCACCCGCACCGTAGATACTGTGTACCGAGTTGCTAACCCTAGCTAATTGAATGTGCACTAACAATTCCTGACAATCCTAGATCACACGTCGTAGGTTGGATTTTGGAGGATTAATCGTTAAATCCTTTGATTTTCAGACTAGATTGTGCATGTTGAATGGATAACTTTTGTAGTAACAACACAGCGGTATGCAACTGTGTAGTAATTATCACTTGTAGATTTTAGAAAATAAATAATAAGTTTATCGAACTCTACAGTCTAATGGTTTGCTGTTTACATAGTAGATTTATCATTTATAATTAAAATGCAATCATTTTTCAAAAGGGTAAACGATCAGTGCAGTAAGTTAATAATTTTATACGTAAGTATCACGCACGTAAAGTTCTTAGATTGTTATAAATGTTGTTTTTGTACCTACCTTATAAATAATTTCAACCAATACATTATCACTTGTGTAGTTCTGTTTGATGGCTTTATTCCCTACTCTTGCTTCTGTGTACAAATGTGTTGTAAGTCAGCTTAAGAATCCCGAATGATCTTCATTTGGTGGTTATTAACCAAAAATACATTACTGACATACGAGTAGAATGCAATATTGATAAACTAATATAACATCACTCAATTGTTAATTATAAGTTACTAATCTAACTAACTAATCGAAATAAAAAAAATACGCATACAGCTCTGTGTTCGTGAAAGAAGTAAACTCCTTTGGTAATTTCATCTTTACTAGTATTTATTTACTTTTACTATTTTAAACTGTATATAAATAGTCATCTAATAGTATCAATCGATTCAAAACTCAATACTCTCTCCTATTATATTTTTGCTATATTTTCCACGACCAGAGAAGTTTTACGTATTTAAACATATGCATGGTATATAAATCCCATAACATACTCATAACACATTAGAATAATTGACTTGCATTTAATTCATAAACAACAGCATGATAAGCAAAAGAGTAACAGCACTTTTCAAAAATTACCTTACTTATTATACGATTGATAAAAATTATATAAATAATATTGTGAATATATTAAGAAAATTGTTTATAACACTTTTTAACAGACGTTATAAAATTGAAACCCGATTCAACATCACGATATCTCCCCAGGTTATGCTTCACAAAACTCAAACTGCTACTGCTAGCAATAGAAATCAAGGGTGAAGAAGGAGCGGATAGCAAAATTTCCATCAATCCTCGAAACGCGAAGATATTGGCCAACACGCAAGGGTTTTTTATAGCACAATCAGCTGATGAAGTAAAGAGGTAATTTAGAGATTCTTGATGCAGGTATTGCAGTCATCTTCTGCAAAACTTCATAATTAAACTAGATTAGAAAAATACCAAAGCATGTTTTAATAATGGTTGGATGGGAAATATTTTAAAATCCCATTGTATTTAAGAAATTCCTATACAAGTCTTAAGGATATAATTGTAGATGCTTAACTCAGTCATTAGTCAACTCAATTTATTTAGAATAAAGATAGATAAGCATTAAAATTTTATAATACAAACGTTCGCTTGAACAATAACGTGACTTTTGAAATAGACGCTAGAGATTTTAGGAAACCGACCTTTTATTTCAATCGAATTATACCTAGTTTTTAACTTGTACCTAGCTTACGCAGTGCTCATGTCTATTAATTTGAGTAATATGTTAACAAATATAACACAAATATAAAAGTACATAACAACAAAGTATATCAGTCTAAACAGATTGGTCATAGATAATCACAAATGTAAATTTAGGATCATACATGTTTATTAAATGATTACTTGAATTACTGGCAGCTAGGTCTATGCTTCTTTAAAACACATTAACATTAACTTCATGCTTACTTTCAGAGCCTGGTTCTACTGTAAAGCCTGCCATGAAGACATAAAAGACGAAACGCTCATCAAGAAGTGCAAATGCAAAAACTGTAAGATCATTGCACTGCTTCATGTCACAAACCTCTCTCAGTATTCTTTGTTTAAATATGATAGTATAACAGCAATTACTAGAAAATGCCATAAACTAATTGTTAACGAAAGATTCTGTGACATTCTTTCTGGAAATTAATAATTATAACTATATATATACAAAAGAATAATTACAAATCACAACCTGTCCTATAAAAAAGTTATAATCACAAATTAAACACATTCCTATATATATATATATGTAAAGAGAATTGTCACATCTCTTAACACAGTAGGAACGTATTGACACGTTTACACAGCAAACTTGCTCTCAAATTCACATGTGTACTTTATATTTATGAGACATTAATGGATTGTTCGGCTAAACTTTTAGTGACCGCGCAGCGGAAGGTTGGAGCCGACATAGGTAACTTGCACCACACCTAACCTCACAAATTGACGTTTTCCGATATTTATTTTTCGTGTCTATATAATTTTTGAGTTGCTTTAGTGGTGTTGCGTCCGTACCTCACAGACTGGATCGGTTGCAAGACATTCTCTTGACCCGTGCTCGTTCACACCCTATAATTTAGCGATCATTGTGTATGTCCGCTCGCTCGTGAATGGATACTGCCACAAAATGAAGCACTCCAACACTTCACCATTTTTCTATGCCTTTTGAGATATTCTCGCTCTGTTCTGATTTGTATGGATCTTGAGAGGATTTAGTGCATCATTCAATAGAAACAATTAATCACTACAATCAGGTTCTTATGATGACACACACTAAAGCCACGCTTCTTACTAAATTCCAATTCGGTGCAAATAAATAATATTAAATTGATATGATGCACTTCAAAGCCCAGCACAGACAGTACATTGCATGTATACATTAAATATTAGTAGAACTGAATACCGTAAACACTAAATTGTACCGCCATTTATCCCAAAAACACTTAGTTAATGAATTTATGTAAATCTACGAAAGCATGTCTCAGAAAATTAAGAGTGAAGATAAAGTGCTATTGGGATTTGTCCCATGCAGAGTGAGCTTTGAAAATCAAAGACTTTAGACAACAGTTCAGCTTAAGTGCTATTGACAGTGACTAACGCAAGGTCAAGAGAAACTAAACCACTGTCACTATTCATTTTATCATTCATTGATTTGATAGTATCAATTTATAAAATATTAATATCATATTAAATGCAATTAGGTACTGTTGGATACTTAAAATTTTATAAATTCAATAAACTTGGCACTATCAAATCAAAATAACTAAACGATATCCCCCAATTCATTATTGGAATAGGAGCGTACCTTCGTATTTGTCAGTTTTTGGATTTTTACAGATGTCGGAATGATGATGATGCAGACTGGGATGGTGAAACAAAATCTTAATACATATCGAGGTTGTCTCGACGGTACGGAAAGGAAATGCGAGCTATTCCATATTACCGTACCTCACAACACGTTTAATTTGTTTGCATCAACTAACCATTGCTCATGGGCGACATAAACTGGGCTACATTACTATAATTATGCTAATACACGATCAATGAAACACGCAGCTAGAATAGTGCAGCAAGGCTAAACCACATAGCAGAATAATACTTAACTACAAGATTGCTTACTCTTGACAGTTTAGGGCAGACCCTTTCGAGTCGAACACAAAGTACCTCAAGGCTTTAGGATACCTCTAAGCTTTTTGATTACTAGCCAATCAGTTTATAACGCTAGTTTATTCTTTTGCATTTCTAAAATTATTTCTATCCAACTGAAGGGCTTGTAATCAAAAACCCTACCTAAATGGATATCGGTACCATCAAATTTCCTTACTGTCAATCTTAACTGAAGAACCCCCTCAGCTTTGCATCTCTGTCTGCATATACCTTATATATATTATTTGCGTTCCTTGTGTACCCACAACTAAAAAGGTTAATTAAATTAGTTTTACTATCGTACGAGCTTTAAAACCTATTGTTTCTCGGTTCAGTGGCCACATTCAGGAAGGGCGTACGAGCCGTCCAGATGGTTGGCAGGGCAAGTACGTAACCTAAATGTGTATAAATTTCAGTGTACATGTCAATGTGATGTTTTATAAGCGACATGACCGGTTGGCGGGCCCGGCAGGCCGCCCTACGCAACGTTTTAGCAACCTCGTGTCCTGTACTTTGTCTTGTCTACGTTTCTCTATGTGCATTCATTCAGCAGTTAGATGTTTGCCTCTCTATTAGTCAATATTATAAACATCGAGAGACATTTGTGATGTCATTATATTTATTTTTGGTGTTGTTGTTATTATTATTATGAGTCTCAAAATATTTTCTAGGAGTATTTTGATACCCTGATTTCTGCATCGAAATAGTCCCTCTGATATTGATGTTGTGTAATAGTTTTAATTGAAGTACATTTGTAATTTTATTATGCTTATACAATATTTAAAAATGATTTTTAATTATGTAAAATTACCCTGCATAGGGAACGTTTAATTTGATTAGCTGATCCCGCCTTGATAGAACCGTCTGGACTTTGCAGTTTCTGCGTCCGTCGACAATGTGGTATATTTGTAACGCTAATTTATAATCACACCTTGCAGTACTTTGATTATTTCGCCTAAACCATTGAAACGTTAGTACGCTCGGTACCATCTCCTAATGAATCATGGTCAGTAATCATTATCACATTCCCTAACATTAGTCGAACTCATTCAATTTAGGGTTCTAAATCCATTTAAACAATTTTGAAATTATTTATGTAGATTAGAACACAAAGCTTGTCTAATAGTTGTGATAACATTGTGTGTTTATTTTTAATATATGTTTGTTGCATGTGAATGTTGTAGTTCTATTGAAATATTCTGATTTCTTTTACCTACGTAAACTTATAAAATTGATTTAATTAAAAGTAATTAGACATTTCAGTTTCACTTTTAACAATGGCGTTGTGAACCGCTTCCAAGATTGCTAAAGCTTTATACAATAAAAGGTGAAACTGAACAATTTGTCGTATAAATTCTTCTTGCAATAAAAATTTGGTGATCACAGTCACACGCCGTATGAATATTGCGTTGTGCCAGTAGGTATTACTGTATTTATTAATTGGTGTATCGGAATGCGAACTTGTGCTGATGTTTTGCAGATGACCACCATCCTCCCCCCACCTTCACGCCGCCAGAGTTGCCCAAGAAGGTCCATGTTCGAGGTACATCTCAGGCTCAAAGGACTGAGTGTTTATTTTTATTTGTTTTTCTTTTATCATCGGCCCACATTTCTCCATTAACAACCAGCAATGTGCTTCGTCCGTAGGTTAAAAAAAGATATCGTGCACCTAGATGCTTATCACGCATTTTCATAGCGAGCACTGATAGTGGTGTTAAGCCACTGGGGTTTTTGGAATATCGCTTCAATCAGGCATGAACCCGGCTAAAACTGTAGTTACACTATACCCACTGTCGCTTAAGCGAACGAATTGATTTTATAAAAAAAAATCTCTTATTCTTTGTCGTGTTACACGACATCCAAATCCGCCATACGAAAATTTGAAATCGATATAAACTGTAGCAATTTTATATTTTCTTTTACTCACAAAGCAAAATTTTTTATATTATTTTCGCATCACAATAATAAAAATGTAGTACAAGTGAATAAGAATCTCCATCGATCTGTGCTTCTTGGTTAACTCTAATGCGGATATATTTTATCATTTCTGGTCTGTACCCTTGTGCCAAGCGTTGCTATACCTCATGACATTGCATCTAACCGTACTACAGAAATGCTACTTGTATCCTTGAATGCTTTCTTGGTACGCTTGTGTTGTAGAATATAATAAATTACCTGTAATTATCATTTTTGAAAAAATTAATTATTAATTTAAAGTAATACTTATTGCTATTTAAATTGCCTAAAATTTTACCCTCATTTAACAAATTAGAGACCCCATAAACATCCTTGTAAGCAAGTGTAAATAATGCTATGCAACTAAAGCAGTAGAAAAAATTTAAACATTAGTAACATTTATAATTGTTTGTAGGTGAGATTGCAAGAGAAAGAGGAGAGGATATGAGTTGTAAGTGTTTTATTATAATTATTAAATTGCTCAACGATAAAAAAATTTTTTATTATACTAATTACATCAAAATCGGTTGATAACTTTAACTGAAAAGCATTTAATAACCTATAGTAATATAATAAATTGGAAGACTTTCTTTTAACGCCTTAATCTCTAATCTGGAGTTCGATATTTGAAAAAATTCCATTTGATAGCTCATTTCTTAGAGAAGGTTATACGCTATTTAACATCACAATAGGATCGCGAGCAAAGCCACGTGTTACAATTTAGTTATGGCACTCGTTATGCCCACATTCCGCCAAGCATATTAGAATTTACGTAGCGAGGCTAACTTGACTATTGACACTCGGATTACTTTGATTTGTTATCGGTATTATCAATTAAAGTTAGTCCAAAATTTATAAGAAATATATAGATCTTATGAATAATTCAGAATAGTTTATTTAATGAATGATAATGGAATGGTGACCCCATCTGCACTATCAGTATACGCTAATAGGACACCATTGAGGGTGAGGATAAAAACAGATCAGTCGACACATCGTGACGAATTCAACAAGATTTAATCGCGATAATTTCCAAGAGAGTCTGCGTAAAGGTCGACCTGACAAGGTATATTGCTAAAAATGTAGTTGTTAGCCAATCAGGGTAGTATACCTCTAGGTTAAGATGCTCTCAATTAAATAAATAATAAAACGGATGGATATAACGACTTGCATAAGTAACGGTAAGCACATTGCTTGGCGTAATAAGATCTCGGGTTCGATTCCCTGTCGGGTCAATTTAGGAACGAACTTTTCTAAATAATCTCTAGTCTGTGTGTACTGATTTATACCCTAGACGTTCCTTGTCTGCTTCTTCACAAACACAGAATATTCTAGCTTGAAGACCAGACTGTTATAGTGATTGTGAAGAAAAGAAATTGAAAAAGAGAACATAAAAAAAAAAACATTAAATAAAAACTATAAATCCCATAATTTTAAGTTTACTTAAAGTCTAACCACCAACAGTGATCAACCGGAACCATCGGAACGCGGTACCACCGGGTCTCATATCTCCGATGGCCAACACGCTGATCAACACTTCGACCACGCGCCAAGTCAACAAGGTGAAACCCAACGTGAATAGAGCGCCGCCGGACACGTGAGTTTTTTCAAATTATATCCAAATATTTTCATAATTTTATGACAGGAATACCTATAATACAACATGACTACAAATTTGATAATATTTTTAAAATAGGAATACATTACAAACTTTTGAAATAGGATTAGAATAAGATACAACATTACCACCAATTTAATAGTTCTTTTGTTGTAAAAATAATTACAACAATTATCTACTATCTTCTTCATATGAATTGTAATGTTTTTTTGTAAATAAATGATTGATTGATTTCATCAAGCATTTAATAGACTTTTAAGAGTGAGAATAAAAAATAAATAAATACAATTTTAACTCGAATTTAATAATCATTTTGGGGTTGAAATACATGAATACAGCAAATTTACTTTACCTTTCGGGGTAGGAATACTTGATGCAACAACATAATGGTAATTTAATAGTTTTTTTTTTCAAAAGAATCTTCTTTAATTTATAATTCTTATTTGTAAAGCGTTTACAGATTTAAGTGACTTAAAATTGTCTATTGAATTATATTTTAAAATAAATAAATAATAATAAGAAATATAGAATAATAATAAATAAGAATCTAATTTTCTTAAGTTTAAATAAACTTTTTAAAAAGTAAGAAAATTTTATTCTTATTATATTATTATTACTTGTAATAATTATTAATATCTGGTTCCTACCTAAATATATTAAATACCTAACCATCTTATTCAAGACAATTTGAACTTTAAAACGTTAAACGTACGCATATATTGAGTTAAATAATATCATATTCTAATAGGAATAGATTTTCCTATATAAATATTGGATACTTGCTACAATAAATAGCTCTAAATAAGTACATAATTATATTACTTATTGTATCAAATTAATTTAACACACTTATATTATCTGTGCCTAACTTATTTGCTACTCAGTGTTATCCCAACACGTTATGTTCTGTACCTTTTTATTTGCTTAAAAATAATATAAAATAAAATATTTAAAATGTAATACATAAATTTTAAATATAACTTACGTACCTGTACTCTATTTTCAATGTCGCGGCTTGATAAATTAATGTTTCCGCTGCCACTATTGTTTTGTTCGACACGATGTGCACGCAACACATTACTCCTAGTACCACAGACATAGATGATTATAGATGTCGCATATACTTCAATATCATTACAAATCACAGTATTATAATCAGAACAGTTGGCCAATGAATATATTCGCGCAGAGGGAGAGTGGAGAGCTAACGAGAAGACGAGTTGGAGATCACGATCTGCTACCATAAAGAAAACGTAGCTGCAGTTTTCTTAAATAATATAGTGCCGTTGGCCGTAGATATTTTTGGTCTTTAGCTCTTCATCAAACTCGAGAAAGATCTTACACAAAAATGCGACTCCTTCCTGACTGATTATGATTCCTTGACGATGACTCGGACCTAGGTTTTACTTCGACCTCCATCATAAGACTGGCTGTCTAAATACTCAGGATTTGTACAGTACACAATATAGCGTAAATATGAATGTAAGGAAGATCATAGTCTCCGTATACGAGAATACCGATAAATATGATACGAAACGCAAAATAAAGTTGCGAGTTTATATAAAAAAAACGTAAATACCTAGATTCAAAAAGATAAAATATTGAAGATAATTGAACAAGCCATTTTTTATTTTGTAATAAAAAATTTTCGAAACAAAGTAAAGTACTGTTACATTACTGTTTCTTGCCAAGCGTAGAAACTTTTGCATGTAGAGACTCCGAACCGAAATAAAGCCTAAATTCTGAGCCGGCCTTTATAACTTACTTACTTAAAAAATAAGTACGCAAAATACCATATATATTTGCTACATCTATTTCCATCAATGTCTGTGCCTAGTACCTACTTATTAAATATAAACGCTGCACTCTTTATTTTCCCTATATAAAAGTACTCTGAGCATTGGAGACGATTCTTTGGCCCTGTGTTACAGGAATCCGCAGGAGCAAGATACGAATTACCAGGCCTATCACCTTGCCTACGAAGTCAAAAAGCTCATGTAATTCCAACAAAATTATATATCAGCTAGATCATTTTATTATAACTGGTAGTATTGTACCTAAGCAGGCTGGAATTACACAATCAAATATATTTTATCACATAAAATGTTTTTCAATTATTAATAATTTAGTAATTAATTAAGTACATATAAATAAATAAAGACCTGATTTAATTTAATAAACCTATTTTTCTATACTAAAATCATCTAAGATTTTACTTTCAACGTTCATGTTATACATGTTATCAATACGGTATAATCGGGACTTAATAATATAACGATTAATATAACGATTAATTAAAACATTAACAGCAAACTACATTCAATGTTATACTTGCGGTTGGCATTATGCGTTAAGTTCCTGAGCCTAACAGTCTAGTGTAAAAATAGACTTGTCTCTGACATTTTTCTTCTAATGTCCATGGATAGAATTATCTATTTATTTTTTTTATAAAATATCATTACAATTTAAACAATTAACATAAATAAAAGTAATTAATAGTTATATGGTCTTTAAAATAACACCTACCATACATAGAGCGACTTATCGCTTCGATCGATCATAATGATTCGATTAGATACCAATATTGATTCATATTTGTAGTTACGTTAAATCGTTCGCATGAGGTTTCAGAATGTTGGTACTCACAGTTGTCCGTTATTTTTAAATTATTGTCACCAGAACATTAACTACCCACAAATAATACCGTTTTTATATGAACTGTAGAGGTCTGTCATTAAATTATTCTTATAATATCTCTACTAATTGTTATATACTATAAATATTATAAATATGAAAGTTTGGATGGATGGATGAATGCATATTTGTTACTCAAAATTTTAAAAACTACTTAACGGATTCGAATGAAATTTGGTACGCGAGTAGGTTATATCCTAACTTATATTAAATGAAATAGACCCCACTTGCGTTTTCAGTATACATACACTGGTGGGGCACCAGTGGTAAAGGAGGTCAGTTGACCCATCGCAACGATTTCAACAATTATAAATCATGATGATTTCTAGGGAAAACCACGTGGTTATTGTGGTGGTATGTGGTGGTGATTGAGTGTATTGCAACAATTTCTTTCCCGCCACTCTCAACGGTTGACAGCACTATACCGGTCACTCATAATCACATCTATTGTGTCAAAAACAGCGAATGATATAAATATATTTACATACTCATACATAAATAGCAACTATTATATTAATCGTGATTTATAGGGCCCGATATATTATATTGATAATATTAATTAACAATTTTGTAAAATCTATAACTATAATTGTAAATACAATTCCTATTATTTATTATAATATAATAAATAATGTATTTTTCACATTACAGACATTTGCTCAGTGATTTGTGATGAAAAGAAAATAAGTTCTAAATTTAGTTTCAATATTAGCTATAAATTATAATATCAAATATAATACAAATTCATGATAATATATTTGACAACTTAATTCCGGCCTTTTAAGCAAAATAAAACTGTTTCATTTTATCCTCGTATAAAGTAGTTAGTAGTGCTTGCTTCGGATTTATCGTATGTCCTTGTTTATCTACCGAATTTACGTTTAATACAACAGTAGGTTATCTATTTTTTTTTTTCTTACGTATTGTAATATTTTAGTTTTGCACAATGATACAGCACGGCACTATTGTTCTATGTAGGTATTGTAGAGACAGCATGATTTCACATTTTTTGTCTCGTTTTTATCAATATCACGTTTTACTACATACTCGTACATACGTACTTACTCAAAAGTATAAGAAACAATTCATTGGGCATCTCAATTTGTTTTATTCCGGTATGTCATAATCATAAGCTGCATTAATACAGTCTTTTCATATAACTATATATATCCGCTGCTTTATTAAATGGTTCCCTAGTGTCGTCGACTATATGGGATTCTGTGTACTTTTTTGCGTACACTTCCTTTTTCTTCTTTATATATTGGTCAACTATAAGGAGACTCCCCACGTTCCTTCGTCCTATACACGATCTCTACTCTACGATATTTCCTTACCAACCTACGCATACAATTTGAATTGACAGAATTTTAAAACTTTACCAACCACTTTTACCCTTAAATTGAAATATTAAGTGCTATCCTAGATATATGTCTTTTGTTCTTTGTTACAATTTTTGTTCCAATATGGCGTATCCTTAGGTAATAATAGGATCCTGAAGAGATTTATTAAACACACTTTTTTCATCGATAAATAGGTGTCAAACATGTATGTGATAAATTATATTATCCATTCGATATAATTACAGAAATAAAACAAATTGAGTTGCCACTAAGCCCATCAATGCATCTTAATTTAATTGGTTGTAAATTGGTCAGGATTTTATATTTAAAAAAAGTAATCTTAAATCGATATTTAGTTACTATTGTATATCAAGACATTAAATCATAAATGTTCCTTATTTCTACAGTAGTTTTAGTATTATTTTCTAATATTTAGTAAAATATACAAATTCATTCATTTTATAATACTTTACATAATATATAAATAAATGGATGGTCATTATAATTGCACGAATTTTCTTAAAAACATAATATTCCTACCTATATTTAGATTACTCTTAAATACATACTTCTACGTGACTTTATTATGGGTAGATTTTTTTTAGAATAGTCTCTTATTAATTACACTATTATTAAATCCATTACATTAATTTCATTTACATGTATCTCGTAATAGGATTGCATAAAAAATCAAAATAAAAACATTTTATAAAATATAAAACTCACTGTACACAAACGCACACAGATATACTAATCTCTAATTTGGACTGTTTTAGTAATATAGTCCAGTGACGAGTAATTTAGTAGCTAAATAGATCTCAACAAAATTTCAGCTGATTTCAATCGAGTAACAGTTTTTCGTTTCATTACTCGTCTAAATTATTAAGGCAGTTCGAAGTAGTGACGTCCAACGTGGCATTACAAGAATATTATTTCAATACGATTATTTGGGTTCCTTAGGCCAACAAGCAGGAGTAGCGGTGGTAACCAAAACAGCAACGGTGTAAGTTTGCCAGCCGGCCTGGCGGATGACCAGTCGAAAGACTTCGACTTTGAAAAGACTGAAATGAAGTACGACTCCACTGGAATGTTCCACTGGAGTCCCGCCAGGAACCTGGAGGATTGTATATTGGTACGTATTTTTCCATAATTTAATCTTATTACAGGGACACCTTATACAAGCTCGTCTGCGTGGTTTCTTCTATCTTATGCATGTTCTTCCGTTGCCAAGCAGGTTGATTGAATATTGTTTGAAGAGTGAGATATGGCGGAAATAATTACTCATTACTCTGACTTCATCGTTACAATTGGCAAAATGCGAGTGGTACTTCTTATGCTATAGACATACGTGAGAGTAGTTTGATTTCTGCTATCATCGTTATTCTAAAAAAAACCTTAGTAGATTTGGTGTCTTTGAAAAAAAATATCACATAACATCTAAGAAACCTTATAACATTTCCACAATGGATGCATTGCCACAGTACCTAATAATTTAATTCCCATATCTTCGCTATAATCTGGAGTACAAGATAACAGAATTACATGCGAGACTGAGAAGCAAATGCCCCCAGTATATATTCCTTTAGGATTTAACAAAAGAAAGAATGGAATCACCGCTCTTTCTGTTTAACAGGACAGAAACCAAGCGGCCATGACGGTGCTCAACGGACACGTAGTAGTGTGCCTGTTCGCTGACCCGGATTCCCCCCTCATCGGTCTCCGTAACCTGGTGATGCCGCTAAGAGCGTCCAATTTTCACTACCACGAACTCAAACACGTGGTGATCGTCGGCAGCGTAGAGTACATTAGAAGAGAATGGAAGATGCTTCAAAACTTACCGAAGATATCTGTACTGAATGTGAGTAGTAGTATTTCATATAACGACTGAATTATGACTTTTTGTTCATAAAAGTTATTTAATTTATAAAAACTTATCAGTGAGTATGTACCACAATATTTGTTATAAATTGTATTTATTTATTTATTTATAGGAAAACCAAGGCTACAATACAGCAAATAGATACAGTTTTAGGATAACAAAATAAGCCACTAATAGGTTTTTACAAGTAGCAACAATATAGATATAAGGCGCTGTACACAAAGATACAAAAATAAGAGTTAACAAAAAAAAATAAACAAACAAGAGGAATAAAAACATAAAGAAAAAATAATAATGATAATTAAAATACAAATTAAAGATTAAATGTAAATATTTGACCAAAATATGGCCTTTTTATCCATACAATAGTAATTCAAACTGATTATGTATAAAAGAAATTTATCCAAGGGAATTGTTTGTTAAGCCGTTCTTGTCACAAAAAATCACTCATGTCACAAAAAAAATATCTTTGAAAGTTTTCATTTCAACAATATGTTTTGTTCATATGTTATATCTTACGTGATATCTTATCAAATTCGAAATCGATTAAAATGTTTTTTTTTTTTGCAATCGGCAGAGTTTACTTCTTTCTTTCTTTCTTTATTGTACACAAAAGGTTATTGAAATAGAAGAAAGCACACAATAGAGCACAAAGCGAGCTTATCTCTAAAATAGATTTCTTCCAGCAAACCTAATATGAAACTGACAGTTTATTAGTAGTTACAGTCATACATGTGTACCAATCGACTTAAATACTTCCGTACCATAGTTTCTTACTAATTTTATCTCACGTAGGTGTGTAATCGTTTTTGGCATAATTTTACGTTAGTTCGTGTGCGAGTGTCTTCTTTTCAAATTCGAAATTCCAAAACTCCACAGCTTGAAGAGCAACTATGAAATTTTCTCGTGTAGATATATAAATATAATATAATAGTGTTTTAGGTCATGTTTCCATTCTTTAAGCCATCACTAGCAACAAGCGCTGTTTCAAGACTCTTGTCTTCAATTTTGAGCTATTTTGAAAGTCCTTACTATAAATCTTTTCGCACAGGGTTCACCGCTAAGCCGGGCCGACTTGCGTGCAGTTAATGTCAACCTATGTGACATGTGCTGCATCCTGTCAGCGAAGGTGCCATCGAATGATGACCCGACGTTGGCTGACAAGGAAGCTATCTTGGCTTCGTTGAACATCAAAGCCATGACGTTCGACGACACCATAGGAGTGTTGAGTGCGGGAGTCGGCACCAACGGGAGCAGCACCACGCAACCGCCCAGCGGCACTGCACCTGCGCCCGTGCTGTTGCAGCGGAGAGGATCGGTTTACGGTGCCAATGTGCCTATGATTACTGGTATGTACTACTCTTGTTGGTTATAGCTATAGATAAAGAAAAACTTCGAAATCCATGCAGCCCTTTTGCTCATGACAAAGTAACAACAAACAGACATCAATTACGTCATTGTATTTCAATTGAAATCTCGAATAGATACTTCTAACCTTTTTATTCTTCTTAGCTTTTTTAGACTACTGAATAAAAAGAATCTCCTGTTATTTTTTAACTTTTGTAACAATATCTCTGCCTTAGATGTTTTGTGTTTCTGATTCCAACCAGTTGTATTTTTATGGCTGTGTTACGTTTTAAAAAATGGAATTAAAATTACCGAATCAGGACGACTGGTACAATACACAGTAGTTGCCACGGGCGTTACAATGTTTTCTCTAATATCCGTAATGTTTTATATCTATAAACAACGGTTACCACTTTCTATGTAAAAGAATCATGAACTCGATTCCCATTTCTGTTTGTATAAAAGAAATCTTATTAAGATAAAAACTGTCAATATCTCTTAGGTTGGTTCAAACGATACACGTTAACGAAATTTCATAAAAATCGGTTGCACGGTTTCGGAGATTAGCGTGGGCGAATTTTGTGATGCAGGATTTTAATTGAAAATTGTGTGGTCACACAGAGCTGGTGAACGACAGCAACGTACAGTTCCTGGACCAGGACGACGACGATGATCCCGACACCGAGCTGTACCTCACGCAGCCGTTCGCCTGCGGCACCGCCTTCGCGGTCAGCGTGCTCGACTCTCTCATGTCTACCGTGAGTGGCATAATAATACCACTTTATAAGGGACAACCAGTAAACCAAAGCCTTTGGCATATTCTGAATAATTATTCAAAAATTCAGGACGCATTGTTCTATTTAGATTTGTCCGCATTTAGTATGACACAAATAATTATATGTGATTCGGAATTAACAACAAAAAGTCCATCTAATAAGGAGGTTAAGTCACATAACATTCTGAAAGTAGATAACTCTTTCTTTCAATGTAAGTCTAATCCAAGCTCTTATTTAAAATTTAATTTTTAAAATATTAATACAACATAATTTGGTCTACTATATTTGGGCCTTCTAAATCCCGGCTAAATATCTTTACTCACAAAGTGAAGCAAATGAATGAGAACCTAAGGTATCTTCTATAGTTAGAAGTTTATTTCTCTTCTCAAGAGAAGAAAAGTAAAATTACTAGAAAATTTTTTAAAAGAGATTATAACTGTCAATTGATCAATTATAAAGACATTCTAAGATAGAAAGTTTCTTTCCAATAGTGGACTGAAATGATAGCGATGTTAAAAGTGGTTCTTATGTTGGTGCAGACCTACTTCAATCAGAATGCCTTAACGCTGATCCGTTCGCTGATCACGGGCGGCGCTACTCCTGAGCTGGAGTTGATCCTAGCCGAGGGAGCCGGACTCCGAGGGGGATACTCGACGCCAGAGAGTTTAGCTAACAGGTAAGATCAGTTTTGTTACTCTTTATATTTATCTATGTAAAACCAACAAAAAAAATGGACGACCTTAGTGATACAGCAGTTTTGGTACACTGTCTTACCATCCGAAAAGTTCGACTTCCGTATGTACAAACAATGGTATTTATGAGTAAATCTGTTTGTATTGATCTTAGTTTTTTTCTGTGTGTAATACATACCTATGTATATACGAATAAAATATATCTAAATATGTGCATAAATTTTCTTCCTTTCCCGTGGGTAACATAATGATCGAGGGATAGGCTTTAGCGTCCCTCTGAAAACATCACCAAAAGTCTAGCTGCGGATACCAACCCACCAGCCAAGCAAGGCAGCTGCTGATGAAACTTTCCCTTACGAGAGAATTTAGCAGTAGAAAGTCAACGGCTGATGTGATGATCAGTTATCTTGTACCCATAGTACCAGCATGAGCAAAAACATCTTAGTTTGAAAGTAGACGTCGCTGTGGAACATATCAAAGTGATGGTTAAATTAATACCAATGAGAATACTATGATATTCATTCCCAGCATTTAAAAATATATTAAAGTTTTAGTGCGATAGAAATGAACGGTAGAATTATACGAATACAGTTTATAAAGAAAATACGCATATATTTATTCATTCAACACATTTGTGGCTACCTACAAACTACAAAAACTAAATAATAAATATCAAATGATTCTTTATTATTATCAGAGATCAATATATATTTAAACTTAATATTAAAGAAAGAAAGGTTTTATTTATAATAATAAAAAATAAATTTTACAATAATTAATAAATATTAAAGATTTAAAGAATATAAAGTTTACCTTATCAACAAGTAATATGAGCTATATTTTACTTAAAAAAAAATGTGCAAAGCCGTGGTGAGTCGCTAGTCTACTATATATTGTGTGATCTTTTCAGAGACCGGTGTAGAGTTGGCCAGATATCCCTCTACGACGGTCCGCTCGCGCAATTCGGGGAGGCCGGCAAGTACGGTGACCTGTTCGTGGCAGCGCTTCGCTCCTACGGGATGCTCTGTATAGGCCTCTACAGGTTCCGGGACACGTCGTCCTCATGCGATGCGAGCAGCAAGCGATATGTGATCACGAACCCACCTGATGACTTCAGTTTACTGCCCACTGATCAGGTATACTCATCATCGTGACTTTTCCCATTTTTGTTAAAGCATTGTGCAAGATGCAGGTGGCGTGGGACTGTTTCTTATGGCTGTCTATGGGGTAAGTTTATGATCAGTAGAGGACAGATAATGGCTGATATGATGATGATTGTGACAGTTTATAGGTTGCAGGACCCAATCAAAACAGGGGAGTTAGGGGGAAGCCGAACAAATGGCTGCACTAGCAAAAATGGGGGAAAGGAATCGTTAGTAATGGGGTTTAACAGGCCCATTGCTAGCAATATACCCAATTGGGTCGATCTCCACGTGGTTCCCCCTGAAAACCATCGTGGCTAATTATTGTTGAATTCGTCACGATGGACTAACTGACCTGCTTCATCCTCATCTGTCATATCTTACTGGTGCACCGCCAGTGTATATCGATAGTGCGAGCGGGGCTACCATTCCATTATCATCTATATATAAAAAAAAACTAACAAAAATGGGGCACACTAACAAAAACTAACAAAAAAAAACTAACAAAAACTTAACAAGGATGAGAAATAGCCCCCTATTACTAGCAAAATTCTTAGATAAAAAACTGCAGGCAATTTAGAATCCTAAATACATATTAGTAAAGTGTATAATATCAGAATTATCTTATAAAATTTACGTCCTTCAATGTCGTTAAAATTTCTAAATTCTGACATAAAATCATAATATCTCGACGGTAACACGTGAAATGAAGACTGCTGAAGGTAGCGTGCCCAGTTAGCACTTTAGGAATACGTAAATAGTTCTGTAGTAAATTAAAGGTAGTCTGTTCTGTGACAGCCAAATGCTGTCTTTAAGCGGCGATTAGATATTGTCACACCCAGTAGTAACTACATATAATCCCTGCCTTTGTCTTTTATAATAAAATAATATATTCCTCGCAGGTGTTCGTCCTAATGCAATTCGACCCGGGCGTAGAGTACCGATCGAACCGACGCGCGGGCTCGGCGACGGGCAGCGGCGGCAAGGACGACGCCTCCTGACTATTGCTGTGCAGCGCCCTCACAGACGGACCCTACTCCTACATCTAGGCGGGGGCCGTCCGCGGCCGCAACTAGCGACCCAGGGACGCTCCGGCCCTGGACTAGTTGCGCCCGCGCACACACAACACTCCGACAATCCAACCCTGACCGACTCGGCGGACCCCTCCTAGTGTTTTCTTTCTTTACATATCCCACAGTTTTCACACGACGGACACAGCACCGCAACTCACAAACTCTGATGCACTTAGAAGACACGTGGTCGACCTCTTTTTTTTGTGGTTTCAATTGGGCAACGAATTGACTGCAATTGGAGCAGATTTCAAAACAGGTTGGCGACATATCAATGTTACTCGTACAACCTAACCAACCAGGATTAGCCCGAATTCGTTCACGTTTAATTGTCCATGCAGTATTTTAGTCGCCCGATTTTTTTTTTTATTTAAATACAAATTGCACCATTCCGGCCTCATATAAAACCTGTGTACCGACTACAAGTATGAAAATATATGCAGAGTGATACAATCCATAATTTGTATTCGTCGATCATTGATCATATTTAATAAATGTTAGGCGAGCTTTCGGTGTTTCAGAGTTTTAGTGGTGAAATTTGTTTAGTAGGACGAATAATATCGCGTCGTTTACATATAGCGGGCAGTGCATAGTAGAACTACTACAAGTTTGGATTGCTTCGCTCTGTGTTACATAAGGCACACTGCACATTTCTTTTCGAGAGAGTAGGTAAGGTATTAACCGGTATGTTACCACTCAAACGAGTGTAGGACATCTTATAAATGGTGATGGTGAATATTTTTAATTTAAAGGAGATCAAATGCTCAATATTAATGGAACCTTTTAAACTTTTAATTGCATGACAGAAGTAGATATGTTCGTGGGACAATTTTTATGATATTGCATATTACTATATATTGATGTATATAGCTTTTCTCTTTATTTAGAATATCCATTCCTTATTCAGTAGTTTTTCTCGCATCACGTATTTAAGGCGCTATATTTACGAAGCTAAAATATAAATATTTTAAGCATTTAAAAATTTCATCGACTGATTGATTGTTAAGCACTTCACACGTCGATTATGTTTTTATGTTGTTATTGACTCACTTTAAATATAGCTAAGATTTTTTTTTTAATTTTATTTTATCGTTTTGTTGAATTCGTACTGAATTCACAAATTCTAGTTATAAGGGCTCGCATATTTTTTTTTTTTTTTTACAACAAATCTTTATGGTAGCGACCTGCGTACACCATTATTTCCATTGTTCATAGACTCATCTTTTTACACATTATGTATACATTTATTATAGTTAGTTATTAGTTGACCATTTTCGTGTTAATCTGTGCAACGTGTACCTGCAACTTACTGTCACATCTACACGAAAATGCAACTGTACTTTTAGACTTTTAGTTGAACTATTCACATTTTAGTGTCATATTTTGTTTATTTTTTTAATAAAACTATTAAGCTTTGTTTTTATTTCTTTTCTTTTTTTTTTTTTGTTACTTTGTTTATTACAACATTTCCCTAACGTTGGGTGGGGGATTGTCAAAGTGGACGTGGTATAAGGCGCTGCACATAAAAATGATTCTTATGAACTGAAACAAATTATACGAAAACAAATAATGAAAATTTGCCATTGTGTGAATGTATGTTCTATGAAGGTATTATTGTGTGGGACGCTATGTGCAAAGTGTAATTTTGCTGTACATGTGTGATATTATTTTCGAGACGTCGTTGTTATAAAATAGGGCTTTTGAAGCCTACGATGTATTTAGTGTTAACTCCGGGTGCTTTGACGAATGTGGATTCTTCATAGTTTACTATGTTAATTGTATTAGATAAGAACACTTTTAATCGACTGCATGGCATATTGGAGCATGACACGATCAAAATGCGTAGCGTGCAGTTGGTTAGAGGTACTTTTTAGAATTTACTAGATATATAGTAATATTCGCCTCACATTAGAACGATCATCATGCAAGACATCTGAACAACGTAACGCAATAAATATTACAAGATGTTTGATGAAAATACAATTAGTGTATATATATATATATATATATATATATATATATATATATATATATATATATTTATATATATATATATTTAGGTAAATACAAAATACCCCGCAGCTCTAAATATCGATCGCACGCATAATAGCACCAAATTAATTTAATTATATCTAATAATTAAAGGAATACCTCAATTTTACTGATATTGTGTAGGAAAGTTTAATGATGTATAAAGAATAATTTATCAAACATCCTGTATATAAGTAATCCTTTATCACGTCATAATAGTATCATTTTCATCCTTCAAATAGAATAGGCAAAACCGGCCTTAATTGCTACTACCTAGGTTAATGTGGATGTATTCAAAATAAATCAAAATTATATGGTCTAAAAATAGCATATCGGTCCAAAACAGAAATACGGAACCCTAGTTTGTAATGGAATTGAACGCAAACATACTGCCATAATATTTTTGTAACATACACCCCCCCATCTCAGGCCATGTATTACCGAGTACAAAATTCTTTACAGCCCAAAAATTATGGGGCGAATTGTGTGGCGAGTACTGAATGAACAACAGAGAAACGAATTGTCCCCCAACTGTAAATGGTGGTCTCCACACTTAACTGCAATTGCGTGGAAAATAAGTAGACACTTCAACGTTTCAACAAATTATGTAAATTGTTATATATTATATTAGACATCTGACATTACATTGTTAAATATAAGAGCCATTTAATCATTTTGTATTATACCTATATACTTGTTTTTATTATTAATATATTTACATATTATTATTATTACACTAATATATTGATGTATGTATTGTTGAATGAACATATTACATTTTTCAAATTAATAAGTAAATGCAGTTATGTATGGAGCGTGATTTAAATATTTATTCAAAAAGTTCTAATGTTATTATAAACATACATAGCAAATCACTACGCCGAATGTATCGAATATAAAAATTTCGAGAAGGTTGTGCACGATAGATTATTTATGTAATTATAAATCGAAAGTAATCGGTCTGTCCAAAGTAAATTATTTAAAAAAAAATCTATTTAAAATTAATTAAAAAGTTTACTTGGCTTATTTGGCCAAGCATTTTGACTTGGCTTCGTCAAATGTTTGCCAAGCTTACGGCAAGTAATAGGGAACTGACCACCTCAGACCCCGAATATAATCGTTTAGTTCTAATTGGAGCTTGGTATTTTGGTAAGTAGTGTACCACTGCATGCATGCCACTGGAGCCCTAGACGCCAAACTAGGTAGGTACCTAATATTTAGAGTACCGTAACAAATGAGTAAGTATCCCTGTAGAACTCAAACTACATTCAAGCGTCCCGCTGTAGGTACAAAACATAAATGGGTGGCCCACTTTATTATAATACAATTGAAATGGTATAGACTAGTTCTTATCATGATGGAAAGTAGATAAGAAATCGTTGATGAAAAAATTACGAACACATTTTGTTGTGACTGTACCTACAGTGAACCACTTGTATGCAGCTTCAATTCTGTAGGGATACCACTCAAGTTGTACCACAGTGTGTTACATCCAACTCAATTTTTTAAAATTTTAGCTAGAATGTTGTAAATAGTCAAATGTAATTTTGTATGTTACATAGGAATTTTTCAAAGTACGTCTCCTTTGCATTAAAAATAGAAGGCTGCGGCTATACATTAAAAAAAAATTATATTCAAATACTATCGTGTGTAGTTTGTTGTGAATTAGGCTTCTATGTCACTGTATGCTAGTTAGGTATAGAAGTCGGACATTTCATTGTAAAAATGTAAAATACACGCTATTAATTTGGATTAAATATGAATGTTAAATAAGATTAATATTAAAATGACGATTTTTCCTTTAATATTTTTATACAGCATTACAAAATATTTATCGCAATTAAAAGTTTATAGAGGTGGGTCAGTGTGCAATTTAAAATAGTTTTTAAATTTGTATAATCGCCTTAACGAGAGAGAATATAGCCGAGTCCTTCTGAGTGTGTTTGCTAGAAGTCTAATGTTATTATTTAGTGCAACGTGTATGTACCTATTGTATGCATGTCATGTCGCACGACTTATCTTGTTGCTAGGTGATAACCATTTTAGCTCTCTTAAACGAATATAGTGCCGTAACTGTCGCGTAGGCGTCGAACATTGTACTATGTTACGGTGGAATTTTTTCACTCGAGTATATTCATAAATTATTACGATATGAACACGGATTCAAGAGAAAAGAAAAAGAACATATTGATAACCCTCGAAAAAATTAACAGCCTTTCATCAAAATAAAATCACCCGAATTAAGCCAAGACACCAAATTAAAAAATAAAACTAAATTAAACTTGATCCATCTGTTAAGGAGACACAATAACACAGACAAAAACAACCTTTTACATCGAGGATTAAAATAACATTGTGTCAGTACTAAATTCTAGATATTTGTAACAACCTATATTAAATCTTGAATCCGTTTTTTATAAAATTTAGGTGTTCTTAATTTACTTAAGGCAAAGGAAGCGAGCACTACCACTCACACAAAAGGTATAAAGCCTTAGCTAGGTCCTTTCCGTATCACAGCGTATGCATTACCTGTTAATTTCAAACTATTTTAATTGTATATAAATTATTAAAGCCCTATAGATTAAATAAGAAATAACATATCTATCATCGCACTATTCCTTGCGGGATAAGGATTGCATAACCGTGAATCAAATCCTCATATTTCTGGATTGGCCTGGAAAATATTTCTTTAAAATCTGTACATATACAAAGTAGATATCACTTTTATGTGGTAAAAAATTTCAACACAAATGAACAATAAAATTAATATCTACCTACCTATAAAATATTCATCTATAGTTCATATTCTAAATACACTATTGGGACTTAACATGACGAAATTGCAAATTCGCGACATAATCAGGTATGTAGTATTACTATACCTGATCAAGTCGCGTTAAATCCCAATATTATATTTAAAATATTTATTTATAGATATATGTTGGTCTATGATATTTACCTATCTTATCGTATAATTAACATCTGATCTATTTATCAAGTCCATTTTCCAATTTATCATTTAAATATCGCATAGATAAAATAAAATAATTTCTCTTTGAAATTTGACAGGGAATGCATACGTAGATTTTTCACTTTTTAGTATATGCCCTCTTATTTCTCAAGGATGGCAACACATGGACAATATCATAAGCGTCACAGTATATAATGTGTTGTTTATAATATCGTTCAGGTCTATAAGCAACGGCTATTTTCCATCAATCCGTCGTCTTGTTTTGCCATTTCGTCGAAAAATATTATGTAAAAACTACAATTGGGTCACTACGTCGACACGTCATCAAATTGCTTATTCTTATTTCTAACAGCACTCTGAAATATGCATAATAAATTATAAGTAAAATGCGATTAAAATAAGAAATTTGAATGACAATGATCTCGAGTTAAAATTTACTGAAAAAGGACCGTTTGTAAAGGAAATTATGTTGCATTTATAACTTTTTTTTCTACATAAGATATTTAACCAAGACTTAGAAAGAAAGAAAGAAAGAAAGAAAGAAAACATTTATTGACAACAACAAAAAGTTACATACATTATGAATTAAAAAAAAAAACTTTACATTTATTATTGCCAACGTGGTCACCACTTAGCAATAAAGTTTAACAGCCTTCGCAGACGTGGGACAAATTTTGTCGAGAATAAAATTTCCTTCTGCATAAACCATGTAGCTCAACACATTGAACATTGTAACAAGCCTCGATGTTATTATATCCGGGCCAGAATATAGCCAGAGCATCGTCTTTATAAAATAGGCTTAAAGAATTTGAGAAATTTTTCAACGGTTTAGATACTTAATATAGAAGTATATAAAGACAAAATATGAACGACAGTAGCAAAACAAGATGAGATAAGCAAAATAGAGAATATAAGTATGCTTTGAGGAAAGTAGAAACAAAAGAAATAGTGTTTTTTTTTTCGTCGTTAACTTTATGGCACATGACAAAACGTATTAAAAACTATATAAGTTTATAATTGGGCAAAAGCCCTGGAAATCATATCGAATTTGAGAAAAAATAATTAACGTTTAAATAAATTCTGACAACCTTGAATACAACCCTAACGTTTTCTTTTGTCGGACTTAGAAACATGAATTAACGAGACAAGTGTCCTTTGTTTGTGAAAACCATTATTGTTTGGACAGATATGATGTCAAAATATATCCGAAAGTGTTTCCTATTTTTATTTTAATCGCATTTACTGTTCAATGCTCACATTAAACTCCTTGATCCCCAATTCGATGATATATCTCTCGGAAGCTATATCGTTTCGGTGTACACGTATGTATATGTCTGTTCGTATCACTAAATGCCTGTAAGCAAATTAGTATTCCATGTTCTGGATTAAAGTCCTAGTATTAACAACATTGTTGACTATTGCTAATAGCTTGAAGTTGTTAAATTTTTAGAACGGAAAGGTGAATTTTTCATGTATTAATATATACGTATATATATAAAAATCTTAAAGGGTCCTTCCGATGAAAAGACTGACGCCGCAATCACCTATTATTTTTTTCTTTATTATTATTACTCATTTTATAATATATTTGACATAAGTACTAAAATTATTTACAGAGTCCATCATAATAACTTTAGATACAAGTACGTCATAACCCAATCAAATCATTCATAAAACTGTAATTTTCCATAATATAGTATAACCACACTAAGTACATTTAAGCGAATAATATTCAGCAACGCTCTGCAAACAATTCTAGTGTAACTGTTGATTAGGTTTTAAAACAATCATAATAACAGCCCAAGATGCGTCATTTTATAAAAACTTTACAAGCAACATTGTAAAGAAAAATTAATAATAATGAAAAATAAAACTTGATAGGTGAATGTGACGTTTCGGCCCGAAGCGATTCTTACTCGGAGGGACCTGTTAAAACGCTCTGAAATACGAATGTTCGCTAGACCCTTTTTTGTAAGCTAATTGCCATCTTAACGTGTTGTTACACACTAGTCCTCTCTTTATTAAAGTAGTATCAATATATAATGATGGCTGTGAGGTAAATAATTGTAACAATTTAAATTTATATTATGTAATGATGTAAAATAGTAACAAAAAACGCTCTATCGCAACAACTGGTCTGACGCTGTAAATTTGCAACTTTTCGTTGGCATTGTCACAAATTGGAATGCTTGTTAAATATTTGTATTTAACACTTTTAGGGCTCTATAGCTAAAAACGTAACACGAAACTGTTACAAAACGTAAAACACTTAGTCTATCTATTCGCCAAAAAAATTATTTTATAACTGCTAAAAGAAAGCTACAGATTCTAATAAGAGTTTTGTTTATAATAACAACTTATTTTAAAAATTACCCATAACCTCAATTTAAATGCGCCAAGGAAAAGCTGCAATTATGGTCATTTTTGGCGCGCAAAATGCCCACAGGTTGCCATACGAAAATATATGTTAAATTTAACAGCTTCAAAACAATATCCAAAAATATTAAATCAATACTTTTAATAACGTGTACGTGTTCGCAATTTTTTTATAACTCAAAATAATACTGTAAAATATAAACAATTAAATTTTACATATGGCAACCTAAAAATCAAGCTCACAGCTTTCTCCGCAGTTGCTCAAATTTCTCAACCCCATATTTCACTGCTTTCTAGTTACCATTGGCAGATTAACCACCATTTGTATTTGAAGTAATATTACATTATCAGTGTATCTTGTGCAGGTGGCAACAAAAAATGGCCGCGCAAGGCGGGAAATGTAATATTACCCGACTGTTCAAAATGTATCACACCACGAGAACAAATTATTTAATATTGTTGATGTTGATTGTTAATAAAATGCAAATAATGTAAATATCAAAATAAATTCTGTATTTGTATTTGAACAGTTTATTTTTTTTTTTCAACCCTCGTTCTCTACATGTAATATGTACGTCAATGTAATATGGTAATTAAAAAAAGATCGTTTCATTGATAAAATATAATTCTTTCATTCTATTTGCAGCATAGTTTAAAATTTACAATTATTTATTTTAAAAATTAGAAACTGTGCATATTTCACAACATACTCTTCTATTTACCACTAAATACTAAATAAAAGAACTAGGATTAAATAAGAAAGAAAATCAGACATACCTAAACAATTAAAATTATGTTCTTAATTATTCTACTAATGACTAGGCAATAGCAAAGACTAGAACTCAGATTAACAAAAAATTATAAACAAAAGGTCCCACAAACTTTTCAGAATATTTTATATATATTTTTTAAACCTATTGCTATATATAACAAAAAATTACTGTTACTTCAAATAACGAAATATGTAATTACAACATCATACATATATATATTACTAATTTGTAAATTTTTCAGATTAAAAATAATTTGCCAAATCGGTTTACAACTAACAGAGTTATGAGGTAACAAAAATTACTAAAATAAAACAGCTGATTTAAAATTTTTCTTATTTTTGAAGTCGATATAAATAAATATCTTCTATGAATGATTTTTTTTTATTCATAGAGATCCATCTATACTTTTTGTTCTAGTATTTACCAATTTTGTATTTGAACAATTGCTTTAGCGATAACACCGCCTTTTGTACTTCATAAGTGTAATATATATTTATCTTTGTATTATTCTTTAAGTGATGCAACAAAGAGTAAATAAATAAATTAATAATGAAACACTAATAGATATTACCTTACATCTTTACATTATTAAAATGGAATGTGCAGTCACAAACATTATTTACAAACATCAATATTCCTAATCACTAATTTAGAAAACAAACATTAGCTATGTTTGACTCTATCCAACTGATAAAACTTTGACACACTTTTTCTGGCATTAACATTGTGCTTTTTAGCTGAATGGACCATAACTTTCTTCCTCTCCTCCTCTAAAAGGAGAGGTGGCAGTGATACTTTCCTAATGCTATACTGCTGTGGCATACCATTAGCCAACTTTGATGTTTCATTCTGTTGCAATTCTGGTGAACATAACGGCTCTAACCTTGTAAAATCCCTATGCTTCGCCGTAACAACTCTGTTATTATACAATTTGTTACGATCTGATGCACTAAGAGCTACATTCCCATTATAATTTCTCATATCCAATGAAACAAACGACTTAGCACTATTCCTACCACAATTCAAAGAGGATTCAGGCCTTGCATTCCTCATCCAGCGGGATGAAGCTACTTCTGATCTCAGTATGGAAGGATTCTGCTTCTTCCTGTGTGAAGGACTCCGTATCTGTATGGGTGTGATTTGTAGGAGGGAGCAAAATGAATCAGGCAATTCATACTCTTCATTGTAATATGTTGGAAAGAATGACACTTTCTCACGTGACAATTTCGGTTCACATAGGTCTTCAGCTATGGAGGCTCTTGGAGAGTTCTGCGGAGTAACATCAGTGCTACTTTGGGAGAGACGTTCCTCACTCTCACTAAACTCTTCATAGTCACTGTAGTGTATTGCAATGATTTCGTCATGTTCCATTTGTCTGTAGCACAACCTTTTCTCTGGTAATGGTATAGCTTTACCAACAATTCTGGAAAAACAATAATCTTATATAAAACATATATAATTCCTCACACACAGTATACTCTGTAAATGTACATCTCTGTCTGTTTGTACATCATCATCTGTTCTTGTCTACAGGCAATGGTAAGCACTTTCCATCAAGTAGACTGTCAGCTTATTTGCCATTCTAACATGCATAATAAAAAAATATGGATCTAATGTCCTCATAGGCACCTTTATTATTATTATGCAAAAAAGTAAGCATACTATTAAGACTTGTATTGTTATTAAATAAATTTTAAAATCTATCATAGTTGCACAAGTGTGCATCTAACAATTTTCACCCTGTAAATTACTATTTGTTTGTAATTTAAACTCCACTACACACACGAAAATAATATTATAATACATCAAATTAAAAAATACAAAAACAATAATTTTTATAATTTTATCTGTATGTAGATTTATTCTGACACCAAAACAACTGAAGGGAATTAAGTAGATATAGTTTTTACAGTTGCATTTGTAATGATCTAATTTATAATTTGATGTGTTGGTATACCATCTAATGCCATCTAACAGTGGTCTATTTAATTGGTCTTCCTACATTCAAAATCCACTGATATAAAAGCACAGGCAAAAGCTAGTAAATAATAAAAACATATATAAATATATGCTCACAATTATAATCCCTAATGTGGTAGTCAGAGACTTAATTATTGGCAATATTACTGAAATTAATAAAAATATATTTACACCAATAGAATAGAACAGAAATAATCTTTATTTAAATAAACTTGTTTACAAGCTTTTTTTAAAGCATCAAATTTTTATAATTGTACAACTGAGTTGGGGATATTGTTATGCTGCTGCTGAGAAGAATCCGTAAACAACTCAACAGTTACTGTTTTCAAATTATCATGTACAAGATAACTTTACATTTACATGTGTACTATAACTATAAATAGCATTAAATCATAATAATATGTATTATCAAATGGAAAATATACAAGCAAATATGAGTAGACCAGTCCTCACAAGTAGCACTCGTTCATAAGTATAACAGATGAGACAGCCATCATTGTGCTCAACCATATTTCAGGGAACTCAATAACTCAACCCATCACACTACTACAATAGTGCTAGTAAACCAAACATAACTTAGTTAATTTAAAATTACCTGAGTTGTGGATGCAACTGTTTCCATTGCTTGCATTCTTCAATGATCTGTGGCCGTATCGACTTCTCTCCATCTTCATCATAAAGAGTTCTTTCTATCCGTTCCCACTCTAGTGCTAAGGTCTTTGTAGCTTCTGCTGTGTTCCTACGAAATGCTGATCCTGAACTACTGTCACTCTCTTCACTATGTAGATCTGGAGTACCTAAAACAATTATTAATATTAAAGTTAATTATTTAATGTTTAAGCAACATACTATATGGATGCGATCTGACCATGTTCCACTCAACAAACTTTATCATCTTATGGGACTTAAGCAGTCACCAAATTATATATATTGTAATAAAATAGAAGACCTTTTACATTTGCTGGTGGAATGTGGTTGGAATTGCAATCTGAAATGGCAAATTCTAGGGGATATGTCTTTATATAATGGTAATATTAATGTAATACTGAGTCAACCTGGCAGCCACAATGCCAAATGCCTATATCATGTAATCTGTCATCTATGTAAAGGTGTCCCTGATGAATTGACAAATATAACATTCAGAAATTATTATGGAGGCTGACATAGCCACCCAGGTGTGCTGAACAAAAATAAAAAAAAAATCAAAATATAAATTAAAAAAAGAAACAGTATATCACTCAGACACACATAATTTACTTAATAATACTGACTGTTATTGGCCTAGGATAAATTCATATCATGTCATATACAATTAAGTTTAAGACTGTTACATATTACTTTTAGTAATAAAAAAAAATCACATAAATTACTTGGAATAAAAATGTTTAATTTTAAATGCTAAATCAAGGTACCTGGTTTGTATGTTGATGGTAAGCTAAAAGAACTGAGCTTACAGGGACCCCAGGTATATACCAGGATATACCAGGCTGAATCCCTTTTTGCACAGATATTTTTACAGAAGTACTTCTTTGTTTACAGCAATGCCACCAACATACTTATGTGACACATGCCCAATAGTGAAACATTATTGAGATGTAATGATCATGTAAGTGTATGATAGAAACTATGTCGAGATAACATAATCCAGCAATAGTAAATAAAAATAATATTGGGAAGTGTAAAATGGCATAATAGAAATAATCTTTCATTATATAAACCGTGGGGTCAAATATGATATTATTAAAGAATTACCTGTCTCACTCTCAGAGAAGAAGTCGGAAAATGGTGTTCCTGCTCTGTCAGTACAATCGTAAGAATCAAAAGTATAATTTAAATTTCTATTTAGCAAACTACTGGTGTTCGCTGACAAAGCAGGTAGCTCCTGCCCCACGCGATATCCAAACTTTTGTTGGTTTATATTTGGTAAACAATCAATTATTTTACATAAATTTTTATCTCTAGCCGAAACATAATTTCTTGCAGACATAGTAAAAAACTGCACGATTTATCACCATAGCTGTAATACTTGAAATTTTACAATTAAAATCTTGAAATACATTGAAATCACAAAATAATTTAATATCCGTAGATATTCTTTAGAAGGTAATATCGATGTTGTTATAAAAATAGAAAAAATCAATTAATCGAAAGTCTAAACCACTAAACAATCTAAATAAAAACATACCTAACATAGGTACATTTTTTTTTAGTACGTTTGTTCCGTTTGGAACAGGCTAAGGTCGGAGACCATGCTGCCTAGTCTTCAAAAAGATAATTTGTCTGGAATTTTATTTTTCTAATGTCGCTTCAATTATTGTCATAATCTTCAATATTTCATTTGTCAAATCCGGTAAGTACATTTTCATAAATATCTTTTCTTGAGTTTTCTTAAACCAGTGGATTTATCAAATTAAAAATAAATAATTATAAAAAATCATTGTCTTGCAATTCAATAAAAGTATTCTTATAGCTCCTTGAATGTTGTAGTAATATAAGTGAAAATAGCTTTGAAACAAGAAGGAAATCTTAAGAGAATCGGGATTGAGTGCGGGATATTTTCGGGTTTTTTGAAGATAATCCTAAGTTCGTCAAACATAATGTGTCTTTGAATGACAAATTCAGAGCAATCAAAAAAAGGTGATGTAGAGTTTGGGCTGTATTTGAGTTACACCATGTGCATGATGGGGAAGCGATCATGCCCATTCGGTGCAGGTGTTCGTTGAAATGTCCGTGGCCGATTCGTAATCTACAAATATTGGTGTAAAATTTTCTGTTTGTGTCCTTTCCTTTGCAGAACCACGGTTTTCCAATACGCCAATTAATTTTGCGGTACCATTTGCCTTTAGTCTGTAATATTTGAGTCCAATGCTCCTCCCATTTAGTTGTAACGATTTTATGTATTCCAATACTACAATCTGAGTAACAAAGGGGTAAATCTTGAACACGAGCAGCACTTGAATTAATAATTTTAGCCAAAGTGTCTACTTGTTCATTCCCAAACACTCCAATATGTGAAGGGGTCCAGATGAAGATAATATCTTTTCCGTATATAGTACAGAGATGATAATATTTATTACGAATTTCTTGAACTACTTAAAGTTTGATGATGAAAAGAATGTGTTATTTTTTAATGCCATAAGAACACTCATACTATCTGTAATTATAATCCATTTCGAATATAGTACCTGTTTTTCTATGTATTCTAATGCTAAAAATATAGCTTTTGCTTCTGCTGTGTAAATACTAGCCAAAGTTGAAATTTTATAACCGTGACCAAATCTATTTGACAAATCGTAAAAAGCCACTGAAGTGCTAAGTGCATTTTTGGAACCATCTGTATATATCTGCCTGTAGTCAATAAATTCTGATAAAGTCTCATACATATCGTGCTTTTCTTTTATGTCTTTATGTATAACAATTTTGATCTTACAGAACTTACTCTCATAAAGGCCATTATAACAAGGAAGTATCTTACTACTATAGATGTTATATTCATCTCGTAAATTCAAATCATTGATAATAGTTTTATTCAAAAACATAGAAATGGGGCAATTTAATAATTTGAGTATGAGTGGGTTATTGGAAACTGAAAAAACTTTGAAGAGAAATTTGAGTTTTAGGTATTCGAAACGAAGAAGGATAGGAGGCAAATTACATTCTACTTGCATTGAGATAATTGGAGAAGTATACATAGCACCTAAAATAAGTCTTAAATTCATATTTTGAATTTTTTCGAGTTTTTCTACTAATTTATGTTCTGAGGCATAACAAAAGAAAGCGTAATCAAAATTACTTCTAACAAGAGATTTGTAAAGTAAAAGGATAATTTTAGGATCAGCTCCCCAGTTACGACCAATTACAGATCTTATTATATTAGTGGCTCTTAAAGCACGATCTACTAAGCAATCAACGTATAGATCCCATTTTAAATTTTGATGAAAAATTACCCCCAGAAATTTAACGCTAGTCTGTTGGAAGAGTTTGATTATTATATATAATATTCATTAATGGAACATATTTATGAACTTGATGAAAAACAACTACTTTACTTTTGGTTAAACTAATATCGAGGGAAAGAAGAGAAAAATATTTCTCAAGTCTTTTTAATGACTCATTTAACACTAATTGCATATCAATAATATTCTTTCCTTTTATATAAATTAATAAATCATCGGCAAATTGCAAGTTGTTCACACTGTTTCCTAAAATTGAATTAAGTTTATAGATATATAAAATATATAGTAGCGGGCTTAGAATACCACCTTGACATACTCCTTTAGAGCTTAACCTAGGTCCTATTAATTTACTATTTACTTTAACATACACTTCTCTATTACTAAGAAAATTATAAATCCATTCGATAAGTTTCATTGGAAGAAATGAGGATAAAATCGAAGATAGAACTGTTAAATTTACATTGTTAAAAGCTCCTACGACATCTAAAAAAACAGATAGAACATATTCATCATTATTCAAAGCAGTACTAAGGTCGACATAGAAGTTCGCTAAACTTTCGCGCGCTGAATATCCACGGCGAAAACCAAATTGATTCGATGGTAATATACTATTACTTTCAATAAAGAACTCTAAACGCTGTTTAATTAATTGTTCGAATAATTTGCCTGCACAGGACGTCAATGTTATAGGTCTATAGGAGTCGAAATTTGTAGGATCTTTACCGGGTTTAATTACTGGAATCAAACAATCCATTTTCCATTCTGGTGGGATAATACAGTCCTTCCATAAATCGTTAAAAATTTGTAAGAGTTTAGTAAGGTTTATTTTATTCAGCAATCGAAACATATTGTATGTTAAGCGATCAAGGCCACTAGCTGTATCTTTTCTAGATTTTACTGCACTGGATATTTCATCAATTGAGAATGGGTCAGTGAGAAATTTTGGGCATGAATTAACAGAATTAAACTGTTTGTCATCAAAAGGTGAGTGTACAAAATCAGGAGTATATTTGCGTAAAAAATCATTGACCCATGATATATCTTTAAAATGATTTTGACGATGTTTTGAATTTAGTTTTCTCATATTTTGCCAAACAGTGGAAATTGATGTTAATCTATTAAATTTGGAACAAAATTCCTGCCACCCCTGTTGTCTTACTTGCTTAATTACTAACTTTTTAACAGCTTGAACTCTTTTAAAATTTATGTAATTATCGAGAGTTGGATTTTGTTTAAACCTAAGGTAAGCCGCTTTACTATCATTGACAGCTGTCGCACACCTGTTATTCCACCAAGGTACTGCAATATGTTTGTGCCTCTTTGAAGTATTTGCACCGCTATTTGATAAGTTCCTACGTGGAACGGAACGTTCCACAGCTGTCAAAATAATTTTACAGAACCTATTGTAATTGTTTAAGGGTTGGATCTGTCACTTGAAGGTGTTAGTGAATACACGTTTTTTGTTGGAATCTTTATTATTTAGTGTTATATTGTGTTGAGAATCCTTATAAATTTCATTTTGTCCTGTGTTTGTCCTATTTTTCTTAGTGGTGTGTGGTAAGTAGTTTCTTATGTGTATATTCGCTCCACGTAATTATGGAGGTGACAATATTATTATCCTCCCGATACAGTATAATAGAACTTATCGATGATGGCTTGGAGCCCTCTCAATTGGTAGGTAATACAAGGAAAAGACGAGCGTCTTTGGATCTTGACAATAGGGATGGGAAAAAAACTAAACCCTCAGAATCAATACAATTTGTTTACACCAGACCATGTTTTGAGATTGACTCAAAAGCAAAGTATAATCCCCAGGATGCGGCTCCTTATTCCGTACATGTAACAAGAATAGAACCCGATGTTTCAACTGGATTATCAATAAAACTATTAAGATTTGCGCAGTTCTTACACAAAAATAAAATCACAGGAATCAGGAAGGGGGGTATCAAAGCATTAGGTCGTAATAGGATATCTGTTGAATTTAAAAATCATTTAGAAGCCAACAATTTTGTTGAAAATCCACTCCTTACAGATAATAAATACTCTGCTAGCATCCCAAGATTCCAAATCTCCCGAATGGGGGTTGATAGTAATATACCTAATGACTGGTTGCTTGAGGAACTGGTCCAAAATATCGATTTCCTCCTAATTGTGGACAAGTGATAAGAGCTAGACGATTAAATGTCAAATCTCATAAACCGGACAACTCAGTCACTTGGATTCCCTCATCTTCAGTTGTATTGACTTTTGAAGGGCAGGTTCTTCCACAAAAAGTTTATTGTTTTGATACCTCTCTCCCGGTTCTGCTATATAGGTTACCTCTTATTCAATGCAGAAATTGCTGTAGGTTTGGCCATATTGTACTCAGTGTCGATCTAAACCTAGATGTTATTATTGTGGTGCTCAACATGCAGGTGATGCTGTGATAAAAGTATTGGAACAACCACATTGCATACTCTGTGACAGTGATAATCATGCAGCTACAGAGTCGGTGTGTCCCGAACATGCAAGACAAAAAAGTATAAAAATTGTAATGGCTGAAGAAAATATAAGCCACATGGAGGCATCTGTACGATTTCTTCTGTAAAGCGGTCATATGCTGATGTAACATCGACTCAACAAAATTTACACCAACCTCAAACCTCTCATCCTCTAAACTATCAATTCTCAGTTACATCATCTCCATCCTCATCACCCAGTAAATCATATCGTGAAACAGTCCTTTTAACTCCCCGACCTCGTCCCCCCATGGGTAAATCGTATGACATATCTGCACATAATAATATTACTCAGACACCCAAATCCTCTCAACCTAATGGTTGTTGCTATAGGCCATCAAAAATATGAGGAAACAACTCCTCTCCCTACCCCAAATGACAATCTTGTGGAACTTCTTGTTTGTACCCTCATTAACATTATATCAAAATTTTCAGATGCATTACCGAACAATGTCCAACAATTACTGCAGCTCCTCCTCTCCTCCTTCTTAAAAAATGACCCTAAACCTCCTACAATGGAATACTAGGAGTATCTTAAATAAAAAACATGATCTTATATATTTACTCAATAAATTTAAACCAGTGGCATTTGCCATCTCGGAGACATGGTTAAGACCTGGCACTACATTCAGAGTGCCTGGCTACTCATGCCTCCGGGATGACAGAGCCGACGGATGGGCGGGTTCCGCTCTTCTGTTACAAAATCTACTACATTCTCCCAAATCCCCATCCCCTCACACAGTCCAGAATTTCAAATAGTAGCAGTCAAAACCTTTGGTATTACCTTAGTCTCTATTTATATCCCTCATCCAAATCAATCCATACTCTCTGAGCTTCAGTCACTTATCGACTCTCTGTCCTCCTTTTATTATCATGGGAGATTTTAACTGCCATCACACATTATGGGGCTCACAATCCACTGACACAGTTTCCACATACTTGTTAGATCACTCGACGACATTGACCTCTGCGTGCTGAATGATGGATCTAGTACCCGTAGAGTATCCCCTCTTCAAAACCCCAGCTTTCCTGATATAACACTTGCAAGTATTTAGTCACTAAACTTACATGGCAAGTCCTACCTAATTCATATGGTAATTGACCATCTTCCTATCTTAATTACATTCTATAATACTTATTCCAAATACGTCTGTCCCCAGTCCACTTCTAAAATATAAAACAGATAAAGCTGATTGGCATAAATTCTCCAGTCTTTTAGAAAATAAATTTTGTTCCCTCCCTGCCATAAGTATAAATAATTTTCATGAAACCTACAATAATTTTGTTACTTTTTTAACATCAGCAGCTAATGATTCGATCCCCCTTAAAAATTCTACTCTTAACAAAATCCCTTCCCCCCTTGGTGGGACTCTGAGTGTACAAATAGTGTCAAGCTGCGAAAAGAGGCTGAAAGAACTTATTTATCAAACTTGACGATGGATAATTACCTCTCCTATCGTAAGATAGCTGCTCGCACAAAGAGACTGCTCTCCAAGCAAAAAAAAATCTTCAGGATGGCATAGGTTTTGTGAATCTTATCTCCAAGAGCCTCCCCCTCTCTTGTATGGAATAAAATCAATTCATTTCGCAATGGAACTATTAATCATAATTTAACATCGAATGATCCCTCGTTATGGGTAGATGCTTTTTTTGATAGGCTTGCTACCTTTTGTCCCCTCAGAAGATTCCCTTCCTTATGCAACTCCTCCAACTTCTAGTGGTGACAGAATGGATGAACCATTCTCGTTACCAGAATTGATTTGCGCCCTTGATCATCTCCATGACTCCTCTCCAGGAATTGACAGCATCCCATATTCTTTTATATGTAATCTACCCATGTCAGGTAAAAAATACTTTCTGGATATTATTAATTGTGTCTTCTTATCTGGAATAGTACCTGAATCTTGGAAATCCCAAATTATAGTTCCCATCTTAAAACCCCAAAAGATCCTAACGATCCAAATTCTTACAGACCGATTGCCCTATCTTCGGCCTTGGCAAAAATTCTAGAAATTCTCATTAAACATAGACTTGAATGGACTTTTAGAAATAAAAGGTTTATTATCCAAATTACAATTTGGATTTAGACGTGGCATGGGTACTACAGATAGCCTTAGTGTCCTTATTTCGGAAATACGCCTTGCTTTCTCCTGCAATGAACACCTCATAGGAACTTTCCTTGATATCTCGTCTGCGTATGACAATAATTTACTCAGGCAAAAGCTGCAAAATCTGAGTATTCCTGTGAGACTGTATACTATCATATGTAATCTCTTAATGGCTAGATCGATTTCCTTGCGTGTTAATGGCTCTCTTTTTCCTTCAAGACTGGTCTGGAAAGGTCTCCCACAGGGCTCTGTCCTTAGTCCCCTTTTATATAATTACATCTGACCTTGAATCCTCCGTTACTTGTTTCTGCAAAATCCTACAATATGCGGATGACATTGCTATGTATATCGCCTCAGATTCCTTTTCTGACTCCTCTTCCCGCCTAAATTCCGCGTTATATTACCTCAATCAGTGGCTAGATGATCATGGGCTAACACTTTCTATACCAAAGTGCTCAGCGGTCGTTTTTAGCCGCAAGAGACAAATCCCCGTTATTGAACTCTCTCTAAATAACGAACCTATCTTAGTACAAGATAAAGTAAAATTTTTGGGTGTTATCCTGGACTCAAAATTAACAGGCCTGCATCATTTAAGCTACGTAGTAAATAAAAGCGAAAGTAGTATTAATATCTTAAAAGCCCTTTCTGGTGTACGTTGGGGTTCTCATCCATATAGCCAAAAACTCTTATATAATGCTATTATCCGAAGTCACTTTGACTATGGCTCATTTCTGTTAGAACCTTGCAACAAAATTGCTCTAGCTAAATTTGACAGAGTTCAAACTAGGTGCTTACGTATAATTATTGGTGCAATGAAGTCATCTCCAGCAAACGCTCTGCAAGTCGAATGTCTAGATCCCCCTCTCCATCTACGTAGACAATATCTCTCAGACCGCTTTTTTTACCTCAATATTGCTCAATATAACTCCCATCCTCTCCTTCCTATCTTAGAGTCTCTCTCAGAACAAATAAACCTATCAAGTTACTCGACCCATAAAGAACCCCATCCCATCCTTAAGAGCTTTACCAAGTACAAAAACCCGATCTCACTTATTAAAAAAATAGACCGTAACCCTCTTTTCGAATTTGATTATGATTCTCTAATTTATAGTCCTAATGTAATTCTAGATTTTGGATTGTAAAACATTTACCTTTTGCTAATCAAAAGTTTAAATTGTCGCGGAAACATGGCACGACTGGCTTCTGATGTTTACAGACGCTTCTAAAACTGACAAATCAGATCATGTTGGAGCCGCTGTATGGATTCCAAAATATAACGTTGTCCTCAACTTCAAATGTTCTCCTTCATCCTCAACATTTACTGGTGAATCCATAGCTATTATGGAAGCAAGTGTCTTGTATAAACACATAAATTAAACAAAACCCTCATTCTTTTTTTCGGACTAAACACCTAAGCGTGTTTACAAGATATTTTAAAAATTTAATTTAAATCCAAAGTGAAACTAAAAAAATGTGCTACAAGTCCGTATTAATGTTACCCTTGCGTGGATTCCTAGTCATTCAAATTATTTGGGAATGAAACAGCAGACTCTTGGGCCAAAAATGTCCAACATGGTAATAATTACAATTTTTATTTCACTCGAGATCTACGTTGTCAGGCTAAACCACACATGTTAGAAGCTTGGGATAAATTTGGCAAAAAAAGACAATCTAAAGGCAAGTATTATGGTAATATTTATCCCTATAAAACCATGGTTTGCTACTCAACGAAACTTAGATAAGTGGGTTACATCAGTTATATGCCGCCTACGTTTGGGACATGTCTGCACACCCGTATTTTTATACAATATATCCAAGATCACTCTCTGTGCGAATGTGGCTTAGCGGAAGGAACGTTAGAGCACCTATTTTTTGAATGCCCCAAATTGACCCTTCCCCTCTATGACCTGTTGCCTCGTACCTTTCCACGTCCTGTAAATATTCCATTCCTTCTTACCTTAACTCTCCTTTGGTTAATTATATATATGTACTAATAATATAAAAATTTAAAATATAAGTATATGTACTCTTTACTTCTCGTCTTTTCATTCCTTAATTGTCTTTGCTATAATACACTCATACACACATATTATATTAAATTTATTTTTCCTTTGCATGTATATAACATATTTTGTGTTGTCCTCCTTTCCAGAGAACTCAACTGAACGATTTATCTTCATTACTGAAAATGTCATAATATAAAATACACGGAGTCTTCTCTAACCCTGACATTGGCAGAAAATCACCGTTGCTTCTACGGTGGAAGCCATATTTTAAAAAAGAAGAAGAAGAAGAAGATTGTTTAAGGGTTCATTGACATCATACTCGAAATCCAAAAGTAATCGATTAACAGTTTCAGAATAAAGATCCCAATTAACGAGACGTAGGTTTATACGATTTAACAAAAGTTTATTAACTTCATCTATAGGAGCATGTTGTTCACCTGACGGAGTTGATGAAGAGTTCTTTGTGTTTATTTTAGTAAAAGTCGGCAGGTGATAACTTCCTAACGGATCATCATGAACCGACCACTCGCATTTTAATGATATGGATGGGGATACCATAGTTAAATCAAGGCCATTGGGTCTCCAAATATGAGAGCCAACAGTAGTAACTTGCTTATCATTTAATAGTACCAAATTACATTCATCTAAACAATCAAGAATGTCTTTACCTCTTGTATTAGTGGAGGTACAACCCCACATAGTATGATGTGCATTTAAATCTCCAGATATGATAGTGGGTTTAGGAAGAGACTCCAAAAAGAACTTAAATTTGGCTTTAGTAAAACTAGGTGTACTATTGGTAGGACAGTAAATACTGGCAACTGAATACCAAGAATTATTAACTTCAATACTAATAGCTATAGTTTGCAAAGAATTGTCGAAAAAAGAGTGAAGTTTTTTATATCTAATACTATTATGTATAATAATCGCTACTCCATTGTGGTTATTACCACAATCATTTCGTTCTATACAATAATCTTTAATTTTTAATTTGTAATGTGGTTTTAGCCAAGTTTCTGAGATGAGAGCAATGTGAATATGATGTTCATTTAAAAATTGTGTAAAAATATGTCGATTGCTCAGTAGGCTCTGAGCGTTCCACTGTATGATAGTTAATTGGTCTCGATTGAATTTTGTGAAATAGGTCTATTACCAAAAGTATCATATAACACATTCAAAACACTTTTAGTGTTAATAGATGTGTTCTTTGTGTTATGTAGTGAAATAAGTTTGATTATGCTTTCTATTAAAAGTGATAAACTCTTGTTATCAGAATTTAGAATTGAAATTAGGTCTACATTTTTTTTAGGTTTGTTACCCAGTTTAGGAAATATTTCAGTGCTAAGTATATCTCCAAAAGAAGCAGGTCTGAATTTAGATCTATTTTCAGCAATTTTCTTTTGTTTAACAGGGCATTGCGGTGATACACTTGTGTGATTTCCATTGCAGTGTACACAAATAGCGTTTTCCATTCCAGTTGTACAAGTTTTATAATTATGCTCACCTTTGCAGATGCTGCAACGCTCAGAATTCTTACAGAATTTAGCTAAATGTCCATACCTCAAGCACCGGTAGCATTGTTTAACTGGTGGTATATATGGAGTGACATTGTGGCGCCAACCTCCAATATCCAGATATTCAGGTAATACAGATGCAGCAAAAGTAATTGTCACGGTTAGAGTTGGCTGTAACACATATCCATGAGTCAAGGTATTTTTTCTTAAAATTCTTTTAATAGCAATAATTTTCTTAGAACTCGATATCATAGTATATATTTTTTTATTAGATATATTTGTAGGTACATTTCTAATAACGCCTGTAACTTCTGTTGAAGAAGCAGGAATACTGGCCTTAAAATGGTAGTCATTTAAAAAAGTTTTATTATTTAAAAAAGCATTGGCTAAGTCTGGCTTTTGAAAGTATACTCCGATTTTGAATTTATTTATAGATCTAAGATAAGTTACCCCTTTATTAAATCGTTTTAAACAGGAGGAGAGTGAGAGCAAGTCTCTGGATCCAATGGTTTTCTGACTATCTGAGGATTCTACAAAGACAACAAATTCTGTCCCAGGGGATTCCTCGGGATATCTTCTAATATAATCTGTGACGTAGTAAGGTTTATACTTATCGGCCTTATCAATTTCAGATTCTGAGTCAGTAGAAGTATCTTCCGAATATATATCCTTGTCATTACAAGGTTCATGGTCTACATCACCTGAATCGTCATCTTTTTTTTCCTTTTTCTACAACTGCGCTTCCCCATGAATGCTAATTATATTACTGTCGCTGAATTTAGTGAAAATATAATATTTTATTCAATAATAAGAATTGATAGAGATAGTTTTAATAAATTAATAAAAAAAATTTAAAAAACCCGCTTGTTCTTATTCGAGTTTCCCGCCTTTTTCCTAACATAGGTACATAAGAGCTGTCAAGTAACTTTCAAGTAAATGTCAATGACAGTGTAGTTGTTAATGGTACTAGACAGTGGATTCTATGTTCTCAATCGCTGTCTTTGATAAATTACCTAATTTTATGTTATGGATCCATATATAAACAAGCTAGTTCCGATTAACTATATAGTTGCTTTGACCATCCTTAAAATTGACTATATTTAGCCAGGTAACGATACCTAGAATCATAGATTAAAAATAGGTCCTGTCAGGGAATCGATCCCAATAGCAAAACATCAACTTTAGACAATTTGACACCCACTGATCACAAACTGACAAATTGACATTTGCTTATTATATGACATAATGAATGACAAAATGACATTACAAATTCGTAATTTTAAAAAATCAATATCTATTTATTGTTACTATTGTTTATCCCTTTTTTGTAAACTGGAGTAATATAAAATAAATTAAACATGTCTCAGATATATACGAGGACTGGAGATAAAATTCAAGATGAAGTAAGAATATTATTTTCCAATTTAGTTATAAACTTTAACTAACCTTTACTGTAACATTCAATAGAATTCATGTTTTATTATAAATACAATATCATTACAATCATTTACTTTCAATAGAAATATTGTTACATTATATCTATTATTTTTATTAGTGAATGTAAAATATTACTTATTTGATATTATTATAATGTTTATTTAATTAATTTAAATATCAATAAATGAGGGAAAAGTCGTCGATAAATTCCGCTGATAAATTTCATTTAAGGATGGGTCAGGAATGAATGTGACACCCCAAGAGGAAAAAAACACTCAGTGAAATAGTTTTTTTCTTATAAAATTTTGAAACTATACCTTAAAATGAAAAGTTACTAAATTGTCCTAAGTATGGAGTCACACCTTGTACTTAATGTATAAGAGGTTACTACTACTTCTCACTCCCATTGAGTCTATGGAAAAAGTGCAAATTATGAAAATCCAGAATTTTTAATGTTGGTGTTTAGTGTTGATAATGAGTAGGTACTATTAACAATAAAAGATTCAAGTCAAGCTAAAAATATCACTATAACAACTAGCCATAAATAAGTCTACAATACTCATTAATTTTTCATTTTAAAAATTGGAATGTGTAATTTATTCTCATGGTTTTTGTAAGCTGTTTGGGGATAGGGTAAGTATACTGTGTGGATATAGAAAACATTTATTGGTTACAAAACAATTTCACATGAGAAGTAAAATGACTATAAATATAGAATAAAAAAATGACCAAACAGTTCCTATCTCAGCACTAAGCCACCAACAGCAACCACATCTCTCTGATACTAGCACTGATATTCTGACAAATGTCCCACACTTGACTAATACAAATAAATAATGTAAAGCACTGGATTGATGTAAATGACTCCATGAAATCTCTTAGTAGACTATTAGTCATAATAAAATCTGATAGTGTATTAAATTTCTCATATCATGTTTAATGTCCAAATTTAAATAATATACCAAAATTAATTTAAAAAAAAAAACTAAATATTTTTTTTATACCACTTAGAATGGCAAACAATTCACTATTAATATAATAAATATTTTAGAATATAATTTTTATTTTTAAAAATTAGTTATATAAATTTTTTAACAAAATACCAATTTACCAGAGGAAGACTTTCTACAAAAGTCGTTTGCTTGGGTACCTCTGTTCCATTCTTGTTTCAACCGTAAAGCAGTTGTGTTTGCATGGCGGTGTTTCGGTTTGAAGAATAGGATATGGTGTGAATTTACTGGGTACGGAGAAATAACACATGAGTCCTCAGGAATGGCAACGCATTGGGGTTATCATGGGCGAAACAGTATACTCTGTTATGTCCATTGTACTGCTCATATCTATAGGCGACAGTTACCACTTTCCATCAGGTGGGCCGTCAGCTTGTTTGCCATTCTAAGTTGTATAAAAAAAATGTATAGTGAGAATTTTATGTACTTTATTGATGAAGACTTCCAGATTAAGTAGAAATATAGTGAGTTTATTAAATTCCCATTATACAATGCAGAGACAAGTATTTCATTGTTTTTGAAGAACATTACTCTTCTACAAATTGTTCTAATAAATAACTAGGAACTGATCAGATATGTATTATTACATTTATGAAAGACTAAAACCATAGACTTTGTGTAACAGACTTCACTTATTTTCCGATACTATTGAGTATTAATTAAAAGTAGCATCTAACTTTTATACCATTTTTATATTATTTATATTTAAAATATAATAAAATAGTCATTTATTCTGCTCCAACAATATTAGCATTTAATACATCTTTGTATTTATTTAAGTTTTAAATTTTAGTAATCACATTTTTGGAGTGAGTCTCCCACTTTTCGTTTCACATATCCATGTTTAGAGCTGTCCTCATTGATATTGTTCCATTTTCCATCACTAGCGCATCTGTCTACCGTCTGTTGGGTCGACCTCTCGTCCTTTTCTTACCCCTTACTCCCCGAATTTATTTAAAATAGTCTAAATAAATACAATATTTCATACTTATGGTAATGAATACGAGTTTTCACTCTCAATTTCATCACATTTAGAGTACTGATAAAAAAAAGCTATTTTAAATATCTTAGTTTTATGTCGAGTCTAAAAAATAATTTTCTTTGCCTTAAATCAGGGGTTCCCAAACTTATTTTATCTACTGCCCACTTTGAGAATAGATTATTTTTTAGCGCCCCCATTTTTTCACCTACTTAAAAATCACTATTACTTCAACATCAACAAATCATCCCCTAAGCCTCTACATAACGCCTCCATTTTTTTTCTGGGTCTCTTACCGCCCCCCCTTAGGCCTGCAGCGCCCACAAGGGGGCGTTATCACCCACTTTGGGAAAGGCTGCCCTAAATTTATTAGTTCTATAAAAAAACTTGACTCCTTTATGGGTAAAATTTTGAATCTCCTGTGTTACTAGTCCCTGTAGATATACGGAATTGTCTGCTTATCTTTTTTATTTAGACAGGTTAATTGATATAGTAACATAATATCATAAATAGATAATCATTTAAGCTATCTTTTAAAACTCAATTGTCTATATCTATTATATTGCTAAAATAAGTTATTTCAATTTTTAGCATTCTGAACCAAAAATACAAAAGGGAACCTTATAATGCAATGTGTCTGTCCATTGTCTGTCACAGTGCTATATTTCAGAAACTACACATACCATCGATTTGAAATTTGTAATAGTTTTAGGCCCTGTTGACACACCTTTATTGCCAAAGAAACAATTGAAAATTTAATTTAGTTTCTTTGTTAGAGATGTATGAAATTTGAAATAGAACTCGACGCAATAGGTGACTGCCCTTCGTGAGGGGGAAGGAATTATTAGTAATGCAGACTAGCAGTCCCATTGCTCGCAATATACTCTGTCAAGTCGACCTCCATGTGATTCCCCCTGGAAACCATCTTAAACAATTCTTGTTGAATTCGTCACGATGGGCTAACTGACTTGTTTCATCCTCACCTATCATCCTTCGTTGGTGCTCCGCCGGTGTATAGCACGGGTGGGGTTACCATTCCATTATCACCCATTAAAAAAAACCGATCACGAGGACGAAGTTACGGGTGAAATATAGTTCATCCATGAAAAAAAGTGATTTAAATGAGGGAACTTTGAAGTTTATAAAGTTAAATATTCTATTCATATCTTATTAATATAATAAATACAAAAGTTTGTAAAGATGGATCGATATTTGTCACATTTTTACGAAAAAACCACTAAATGGATTTGTATTAAATTTGATACAGGATAGGTTATATCCTAACTTAGCATACAGGATAGTTTATGTACTAATTCACGTAGATGAAACCGCAGTATACAGTTAGTCTTAAATAATAAAAATATACAAATAAATTATATTTATATTAAATACCAATATCATTATCAAGTCAATTTATAGAAATTTGTGTGCATATTTAAATAAATTTTTATTTAAATTTAAAAAAATATAAATAAATAAGTATTAACAAAATATTTTATATACGAAACCCTCGGTATGTCTATTTAGAATGAACAATACTATTAATGTGTTATCAGTTAATGATAAAATTCAATAAAAATTAAATAGATAATATAATATCAACAATGTCAAATACAGTGTGTCCTTTTTTTCAGATTAGATTACTAAAACTGTATTGTTTACAGTATGCGCCTATTAGTCACAGAATGTTGTTATATATTTATTTGTACAGATGATAGGTTCAGATTCGTATTGTGTACGAGCTATGTATATGAGAAGTATTCTTTAATACATTTATAATCATTATTCCTATAGCCGTCTGAACAAGTAGTTGTGTCTGTACGCATAATGTTACAACAAGTGTTAAATAAAAGACAAAGTGTTAATTTGAATTTTTATAAGATGCGTTTAAATAATGGTTGTAATTTATCCAATGAGGAAGTATGTTGCATTTTATTCATTTAATTAATACATGTTCATTATAATTATAAACAATTTATGACCTTACAAATAGGCGTAGAGAAATAATAATAATATTAAAAAATATATAAAATTATAGTTGATTTATATATGGTCATATGAAAATCAACACAGCCTGTCTTACGTCTCATTACTTTGTAATTAGAAATGTACCTATTTATGCCGGCTATTTTAAAAACTATTGTTTTGCCATCTAATTGTCTTTTTTAAGAGTTCTTATATTAATTTTAATTTTTTTTAATATTTCTCATATTCATGGTATAGTTATAATTTTATTATATTTGTAACTTTAGACGTTTTTAAAAATGGTTTCTCAATACTCTTAATAATTTTTTTTAACTGTAAGGCCTATTTTTAATTGTTTATAATTATTATTGTTTTAGAAAATTCTACTGCCGTTTACATATATTCAGCAAGTACCAGGCAAGCAGATTAGAACAAAGCTCACATCAGCTTTCAACTACTGGTTAAAAGTATCTGACGAAAAATTGCGCGCCGTGGGAGAAATTGTTCAAATGCTGCATAATTCGAGTTTACTGTATGTATTAAAATGAACTTTTTCTTAATAATTTTCCATATGAATCTTTAAACATCGTGTTAATGAAAATAAAGGAATGTAATGGATCATACATGGTTGGATGAATGTTACTCTTTTAAGCAAGAACTACTGTATGGATTTGAATATAATTTAGTAAACGTAGTTATGAAGGACATAGGATACTTTGTGTATTAATTCACGAGGTTAAAGCCGCTGGATACAGCTAGTGTATTATGAATATGAGTGCGACTTAATTTATCCTCTCTGAAAAAACAACTGCCTTAACATCTGAACATCGGTTCATGAAAATCGCGTTATGAAATATAGTAATAATATTTCATACCCAGAAGAAAAAGCTTTTTTTTTTATACAACTTAGAATGGCAAACATGCTGATGGCCCACCTGATGGAAATTGGTAACCGTCGCCTATAGACATGAGCAGTACCATGGACATAACAGAGTATACTGTTTCACCCATGATACCCCCCATGCGTTCCTGATTCCATGATTCCTGAGGACACAGGTGTTATTCCTCTGTACCCTGTAAATTCACTGCCATTATTAATCACATGATTAACCACAGAATCGATGATATCCAAGACAACTCTATCCTACGACGCGGCATCCCAGTCGCTCACTCTATATACGGAGTGGCCAGTACCATCAACGCGGCCAACTACGTTCTGATCATTGCTCTAGAGAAAAGTTTACAGTTGGGACACCCAATGGTAAGGTTGCTTTTTTTTTTTTATATTACTACAATAGGCAAAGGTAGATAAGCTGACGGCCAAAATAACATTCGGCGATATCTATGACAAGTCATAGATATCGCCAAATATTATTTTTAAAACACGAGTTCATTTTTAGGGTTCTGTACCTCGAAAGGAAAAACAGAACCCTTATAGGATAACACGCGTATCCGTCTGTCCGTCTGTGTGTCGCATCCAGTTTGCTCTGAAACTACTGGACGGATTGAGTTAAATATTTGTTTGTATAAGACTAGTGACAAACCCTGCCTTTACACGGTTTTTTCTTAAATAAAATGTAGTTCATTTTATTCGCCGATATTGCACGTATAACTTTCTATAGGTAAAAGATTTTTTAAACCAGTTTAATATTTTTGAGTTTTTTTCAAATAAAATTATACGATATGATGATAGCAAATAAGCTAATGGATCACTCGATGAGAAGTGGTAACCGTCGTCCATACAAATTCAAATCATCTTTATTGAAATAGACTTGTTTACAAGCAATTTTAAATCGTATTTTTTTTTTTTTATTTTACTGCAGTGTTCGGAAGGTTGTTATCTATTAAGAAGAACCCGCAAGAAACTCAACAGTTACTCTTTGAAATGTCTGTTAACATTATGTGTATTTATTTAAATGTACTATGTCTACATACACATAAACAGTACTCCAAATATGTAATTAATTGTGCCAAAAAAATTGCAGGCGACGGCGGTGTACACGGAACAATTACTGGAACTACATAGAGGGCAGGGTATGGAGATCTACTGGCGAGACAACTTCCAATGTCCGTCTGAAGAGGAATACAAAGAGATGACCATCAAAAGTAAGGCATGTTTTGTATTATAAACTTTTGTAACATTCAAATTGCTCTGCAAAATATCTCCAGGGGACTGAGACATAGGTTTTTAATGGATCATAATGGAATTGTTGTACGGACGAAATTGCGGTTAAAAGCTAGTAACTAATAAAGTCTGACGTCATCTTGTTTATATTTTAAAGCAGCTTTAAAAAGGACATATTATTTATCTGTCATAAAGCAAAGTTCAGTGTTATTTCCATTAACATGTCCCTTCTAATTTTGCACTATCTGTCGATTTGGATTTACCTGCGTTTTCTCTACACTGTTTCTTGCAAAAATTACTATTTCTTATTAGTTAGTTGCTGGACGCAGTTTTATTATGTGATTTAGAATTGCAAACAAACTGATGGTCCACATAATAAAAAGTGGTTATCGTCGCCAATAGACATGAATGGATATAACAGTATATAACTGTATCGCCCGTAATAGCCTTCATGATTCCTGAGGACTAAGATGTTATGCCTATACACCCTGTAATTTCATTGCCATATCCCACCCTTCAAATCGAAACACAGCCATGAAACAACTGCTTTACGACAGAAACACGAATGGGACAAAAGTACCCCAGCGAATGACTTTTGTATAGTCTCTCTCTCTGGTAAATTGAACCTTTGGTTTAATAAGTCATATATTTTTAATACATATGTTCATTTGCGTACAGAAATACATTAATTGAACGAAATAAAAAAAATCCTTTTACTTCTTTATTTGTCTTCTTTTCAAACCGGGGGGGGGGGGGGTTGTTAATAATGCGCACTACCAGTCTCATTGTTAGCAATATGCCCAAAAAGGTCAACCTCCACATAGTCCCCCCTGGAAACCATCGTGCTGAATTTCAAATGAATTCATCACGATGGGCTAATTGACCCGCCAGTGTATACCGATAGCGCAGGCGGGGTTACCATTCCATTATCATTCATTAAAAAAAAATACGTGATTACCAAATTTCATGACGTTTAGTGGAGCCAGTATGGCGCCAAGAGACAAACATACTTGTATACTTACATTGTATTGTATTGTTAAATCTTTATTTATTTATTTTTTTATTTAATTATCATACATAAATGCATTAAAAAAATTTGGATTTTTAATACCACTTAAACCTCTTGGGCTTGTGTGTGATACTTTACATTCGGTTCTCATATATCACTATTTACATTACAGTAAATAAGCTCTCAGTTTAAATTTTATGTTTTTGACAGTGATATTGTTTCGCAAGTCGGTAGGTAGAGAATTTATTAATCGCGGTATAAGGTAGGCGAAGGAATTGTGCATAATTCACATTGAACACTGATAAATGATTTAATATACATTTTTAGTAAAGATTTATATCATTAATATTTTAGCATACTGTTATATGGAAAGTACATATACAGTACAAATATATAATAAAACTGCTTACATCACACATTGTCGTTATCACCATTGACCTCAATGTAACGCGAAACTACATTCCTTCGTAAACCATTAATAGAGAAACAGGTCACATTGAATTGAACTGCAGGTGCGAACATTCCTATTTCTTTGTAATTATTTTAAATCAATAAGAGTGTTTATTAAATTTTAATTTAAAAAAAGCCGAGTCCTGTCCCTCCCGTAACAGTACTCTACAAACAGCCACTAACAGCCCTATATCTCAGCAATAAACGCTATTAATTTGGAATTTAGAATAATTTTCAATCGACTTCAAAAAGGTGCTCCTCAATTCGGTTCTAAGATTTTTATTCAGTTCTAAGATAAAATTCTAAGTTCTAAGATTTCGAAAATTCTTTTTTATATATATATATATATATATATATATATATATATATATATATATATATATATATATATATATATATATATATATATATATATATATATATATATATATATATATATATATATATATATAAAAGTAGTATATATATATATATACTACTTTTACTAGAAAATTGTCAAGATCGGTTCAGTGCTTTAGTTTTTACATATATTAAAGTAACTGGTTTACTAAAATGTAAAAATGTCCACCCGTGCGACGTCGGGACGGACCGCTAGTGTTTAAATAAATTTTCATCTAAAGGAACAACAAAACCTGTTTACAAATTATTTTGTGTATGTATTTCAATATTCAAATGGTATACGTAAGCAACAGTTACATGTGTTATTTGTTCGTTTATTAACTATCCACGTATGTAATATTCAAATTGTTCTTTGTTTCTTTTTTACATTATAGTAAAAATAATTACATTTCAAATGTTATTATTTTAAAGCGGAAAATTTACATATTTGTCGGTCAAACCAGAGAATTTTATTTGCTTAGTCTCTGCTTAGACACATTTTTTTTATTTATTTCTTTATGAATGGTATTGGAATGGTAACCCCGCCTACGCTAACGTCATACACTGGCGGGGCATCAGTATGATGAATGATGGTAAATGAGAATGATAAAACACTTCAGTTAGTCCATCATGATGACTTAGATGACACTTGGAATTCAGCACGATGGTTTCCAGAGGGACCACGTGGAGGTCGACCTGATAGGGTATGTTGCTGGCAATGCAATTAGCCTTATTTTTTATAACTTGTATTACGAGGTGACATACCATTTGATGAAAAGTTGTAATTATCGCCTGTAAAGATAAACAGGTACCATATGCATCATTAGAGCACATAAAATGACTTGACCACTTGTTTACCATAAGGGTAGGGAAGAGTTTATATACCCAACCAGGTCGACCTTCACGCGGTCCGCCCTGAAATCTATATCGTGTTTAATTTCTGATGACTTCGCCGTGATGGACTAACTGATCTGTTTTCACTCTCATCTATCACTCTTCACTGGTGCCTCGCTTGCGTATTCTGTTAATGCAGGCGGGGTTTTCATTCTATTTTTACCATAAACATAACTTGTTTATCATTAAAATTGTATAAAAAAGGACTTATATTTTCAGCTGACTTGAAAATGAAGGAGGTTCTCTGGAATTCGGTTTTATTTTTTTATGTGTTTTATGTATACTCTCAGTTGTACATAAAAAAAACATATTTAAGAATACATATATACTTTTTTTAACCGGCCAGACCTCCCCCTCTGGAAAATTATCATAAATGCACCAATTGGTATGAAGAGACAACACCATAGTCTTAAAGAATAGTACAGATTATAAATTTTAATACAACACTAATATGGGAATGGTAACATATGAAGGGTACTAAGTACCTCTGTCCCATTCATGTTGCAACCGTGATGCAGGTGTGTTTGCATGGCTGTGTTTCGGTTTGAAAGGTGATATATGGCGTGAATTTACAGGGTACAGAGGAATAACACCTGAGTCCTTAGGAATGGCAACGCATGAGAGGTATCATGGGCGAAACAGTATACTCTGTTATGTCCATGGTACTGCTCATGTCTATAGGCGACGATTACCACTTTCCATCAGGTGGGCCGTCAGCTTGTTTGTCATTCTAAGTAGTATAAAAAAAAGAATATTCTGTGGTATCTATGGTGCTGTATCTACAGCTTGTTTGCCATTATAAATATAAAAAATACTCATTACAGAAACCGGTGGCTTGTTCATGCTTGCCATCAGACTGATGCAGCTGTTTAGCGAGAACAAATCGGACTTTAGCAAGTTGTCTGCCATCCTGGGCCTTTATTTCCAGATTAGGGACGATTATTGCAATCTATGCTTACAGGAGGTAAGATGTATATGTTTTTTTTTTTATTGCGTAGTTTTGTACAGTTTTATCTGTAATATATAATAGTATTAAGTGCAGGTGTGAAATGATAAGTTATCACTTTATTATGCCATCAAGTGTATTAAATATTAAAAAGGTGTTTTTCTTTTTGCTCTGAAATGTCAAACAGGTTGAAGTCCACCTGATCGAAAGTAGCCACATTTGTCTATATATGTCAACCATATGCTATAGAAAATATACCCATCATTTTGAACTTATTGTCTCCCATGCCTTCATCCGCGTACATGAAGTATTCTATATGCTAAGTGTAGGATATAGCCTAGTCGTGTACCAAATTCCATTCAAATCCAATTAGTGGTTTTTGCATGAAAGAGTAACAAACATCTATCCAGAGGGACTTTGTACAAAATTCGATTGCTTGGGTACCTCTGTCCCATTCGTGTTTCAACCGTGAAGTAGTTGTGTTTCCATGGCTGTGTTTCGGTTTGAAGGGTGGGATATGGCGTGAATTTACTGGGTACAGAGGAATAACACCTGAGTCCTCAGGAATGGCAACGCATGGGGGTATCATGAGCGAAACAGTATAATCTGTTGTGTCCATGGTTTTGCTCATGTCTATAGGCGACGGTTACCACTTTACATCAGGTGGGCCGTCAGCTTGTTTGCCATTCTAAGTTGTATAAAAAAAAATATTATATTAATAGGATTATTTAAGGATGCATTCTTAAGTAATTACTTACTTTTCTAATTAAAATACTTGTATAAACAAATATTACTTCAATGTCAATTAGTTGCTCGGTTTATCCTTAAGTTTTTATCTGTATCTATTCTAAATTAATATCCGTTATGAACATTGTGGTTAATTATCCTCGTTCCTATATTTGTGAACTATTTCTCAGCTAACTTTAAAAATGAGTTTGTCAGATCTACTGTATTTTTTTATGTTTCTACAACGTATCAAAATGCAAAAAAAGTCAAAATTCACCAGAGGGCAACTACAAAAGCTGTTCATACCTATATTGGTTTGACTCGTTTTTCTGCTGCGAAACAACTATTTCACTACAGTAACTTTTTTTTTATACAACTTAGAATGCCAAACAATCTGACGGCCCACCTGATGGAAAGTGGTAACCATATATATATATATATATATATATATATATATATATATATATATATATATATATATATATATATATATATATTCCTCTGTACCCAGTAAATTCACACCACATCCCACCCTTCAAACCGAAACACAGCCATGCAAACACAACTGCTTCACGATTGAAAACGAATAAAAAATTTAAGTTGTATATATTTTTCAAAGTCTAAATCATGGTAAATAAAAATTTCTCAGATCTAATGTATTTTTTTATGTTTCATGCAACCTATCAAAATGCAAAAAAGTCAAATTTCACCAGAGGGCAACTACAAAAGTTGTACATACCACAAATCACTTTCCCTTTAAACTTAATCTTGCTGGTAACTCTGTTTGAGTCATAGATTGTTATTTGCTCTTCTATTACAGTTTATTGTTTGATATAGCAATATTGTATGTATACAACAATATATGTATGTTTATATTAGTCTAATTATTATATATAAAAATATCAAGTATTGCTCAATTTTTCCTCTATTCTATAATGCACCGCCTACTTTTTTCTCGGTTTACCCAATATTTAACTAGTAGAGAGCGCTGTCCGGTGATAAGTCCGCCAAATGTACATGGAATATGACTGTGCATTAAAGTTTAAATAAATAAATATATATGAACAGCTTGTTTACCATACTCAATGGCATAAGAGATCGATAGGTGTGCTCCCATGATTGTCCCATACCTATTTTGTAAATTAAAATAGTTATTTTGTTTATGAAGCAAAATTTGTAATTACTAATATTAAATTAAATATATTTTAGTATTCAGAGAACAAAAGTTTCTGCGAGGACCTCACTGAAGGCAAGTTCAGCTTCCCGATCATCCACGCCATCAGGAACCAGGAGGGCGATAACCAAGTACTCCGTATCCTTTACAGTGCATCTATATTGTTGTTATATTTAGTTTTGTTCAGCTATTAATTACTAAGAGAACTTATGTTATAAAAAAAAAGTATTTTTTTTTTATATGGATTTACAATTTATTCTGGCAGAGTTGTAAAAGATTACAGGTGACTATGAAGACGGGTCAGCTACCGCCATCTTTTCCATGGATTGATGGTGGGGGGGGGCATAGATCAACCTGTCGGATAGTTTGATGATTCGCTATTTTTCATTAGTATTTAGTTTGTTTTGACAATTTTTTTTTTATTCTAAAAAGCAAACTGCAAATTAAATTTGTAAATTATGAATAGATTGAATAAAATACAATAGTAATTTGATTCATACACAGCCCGAAAAGCAAAGGGATGTGGGATCTATTCCTCGCCATTATTTTTCCAACCTATAACAAATGAATACTGGATTAGACTTAAAAATATTCTCAAATTGTAAATTTGTCATTTTCATTGATTCCTTGTAATTGTTTTTAAAGTATCCAACGTAAGTGCAGTTTTTTTAGTTCAAAGTATTCTTTCGAATTGCACTTTAACATTAGTTAAGTAACCTTAACAAATAATCAGACATACTGCGCCAGCGCACCCGCGACGTGGAGGTGAAGAGGTACTGCATCTCGCTGCTAGAGCGGCTCGGCAGCTTCCGCTACACGAGGGATACGCTCATCAAGCTCGACGCTGAGGCTCGAGCCGAGGTAACCATCGAGCATAGAACATTTCACAAATAACATGTTAAATTTTGTAAGAAATCACAGGCACCATTGCTATTTGTCTACGTTAGAAAACTTCCACAAGTAGCAGACAGTGAAAATTTCACATATTGTCTTTGCGTTCTGATATTTATAGTAAATCCGTTTATAGTAAAATTAAATCGGATACACACTTGAGTGGACGCGATCCAAAGCACACTGATCATAAGTCATAATTATTACGTCATTCTCAATAGTAAATAGTAGCAAGTGCACTTCTTACTCTTATTGTGATTTCTTTTTTAATGGATGAAAATAGATTGGTAACCCCGCCCGCGCTATTGATATACGCCGACGAGGCACCAGTGCAAGATGATAGGTGAGAATGAATGCAGGTTAGTTGGCCCACCATGATGAATTCGACAAGAATTAAACATGATGGTTTCCAGGGGGAACCACGTGGAGATCAACCTGAGAGGGTATATTGCCAGTAATGCTATTAGACCCCATTACTAACAATCCCTTTCCCCCCACTATTGTGATGTTAGGTCATTGTATATGAAGAAACTTGTGATTTTTGCTAAAATTACTATAATAATAATTGTCATGCTGTTACTTCAATCGCCTATGATACTCTGTATTTTTTTTTTGATGGCTGAAAATGGTATGGTAGCCCCGCCTGCGCTAACGGGATACGCTGGCGGAGCACCAGTGAAGGGTGATAGATGAGAATGAAAACAGGCCAGTTAGCCCATCACGATTAATTCATCTGGAATTAACCATGATAGTTTCCAGGGAGAACCGCGAGGAGGTCGATCTGGTTGAGTATATTGCTAGCAATGGGATACTCAGTCTCCATTACTAACAATCCCTTTCCCCCCATACTCTGTATTATCAAGAACGAGACAATGGAAATCTGAGAACAAAACCCAAAATACAAAGAACCAAACCTGGGTGTCAGTTGCGCAACCTTATTTGCGGAAAGCAAAATGCCCACGATGCTGTCACAAATATTCATTCACTGTTATTAATTATCATTTAATGAAAAAATTAAAAATAAATGATAATGAATAAAAAGTAACAACATTTTTCAAGTAGCTAAGTTTTAAATCGGTTATTTATTACAATTGTTATATTCTAGATCGCGTCACTGGGCGGTAACCCGCAGCTGGATGCGTTACTGGACGAGTTACTGAGCTGGCGACGAGACAACGCCCACAATAACGGTTTCGACAAGCAGTGAATTGGCCTACGATCTTAAACAACACTTAAACATCGAACTGCGTATCGGACCAACGGCTAACAACCAAGACATCACAATTCGAACTATCGAACAAGTAATTTATTACTGTAGGTAGTAGAAAATGTGTAGTGATGAATTTTACTACCAAATGGTAGTAGAATTTAAGGATTTTTTTTTATTAGATAAAAAACGGAATAGTACCCCTCCTGCATTGGTGGGATTCCAGTGAGTAGTGATAGGTGAGGTTGAAGGTAGATCAGTTATGCCATCGTGATGAGTTAATTGACCACTATGTTTTCCATGGAGATCACGTGGAAGTCGACCTTTTAGCTGAATTGCTAGTAATAGGATCGCTAGTCCCTATTACTAACAATCCCTGCCTCTACTTTGTAATAGTCGGTCTTGGTCTGTAAGCTGATGGTCCCTTAACAGCTTTTACGTTAAATCAATGTGTTTTGTACGTATGTTATTTATTTATCACTAAACAACGATGATTAGGTGGACACTTGCTTCGCAGTTGCTTAGATAGAAAGTAAAAGTTGTACAATTCTGACACCAGGTGGCGTCCAAATCGTAAACAGTTGTCATAGGTACAGTTGTGTTTATTTAAATTTACTTAAATTATGATTTAATTATTGTGTATGAATTATGTGCTCGTGAATAGTGTCATCTCCGTTTGGTTTTATACTTCTTTCCCTTATTCTTGAAAAAGTAAAATCTATATGCGATATTTGTCACTTTCTTTCAAGTTATAAAGCTTGCTTGAAAGAAAGAGACAAAATTCATGAATAAAACTGTTGACGTAATTATGCGTAAAGTACGCAGCCATACTACGTTAGGTGCGTATTAAACTAAATGTACACAAATGTATGTCGCAATCACTTGGGCTTAATTATTTTTAATTAGAAGATACTAGAAAATATAATTATAATACATTAAAGGTTATATATATATATATATATATATATATATATATATATATATATATATATATATATATATATATATATATATATATATACGCAGATGATGCGTAAAATGGAACTCACATTTTGTCCATAGATAAAATTTCCCTTTGTGTTAAAGAATTTGTCCACGCACTAAAACGAAAATGATAGCATACAGTATGTTTTCAGAAGAGAAAGCTCAGGGTATGGAATGTAACATCCCTGTCGAGGTTTCCCCAAAAACTATGGGGTATGAGCTTCTAAAAATTTTAATGCCATTATGGTTTTTTCAAAGTCGGTAACGCGCACGTGACATACCTAGTGTTGTAGACATCCATAGGCTACAATAACCGTTTACCATCAAACGAGCTGTGAGCCTGTTTGCCACTTTTGTGGTATAAAAAAGAAACTTGCAACCGACACGTATTATACAAAGGGATATTTTATCCATAGTCCGCGCAAATTTTTCTTCAATCCAAATCAGAATCTATTCCCTTAAATTATTGTTCATAATCACTTATTGCCTATTTATTTATAATGTAGAAATAATTATATAAAACAATAAAAAATTACATTTATAAAAATTCACAGCCTTCCAAATATTCGCTCGCTGTCGCTACCCAGCGTATTTGGGACACTAAATATTACAAATAAATATTTAAATTTTAGCACAATCAACTATTATTAATTGATTGTTGAAACAAATGCAAATATCAACGCCATTTTAATCTTATGCCATACTTCGTAATATATTTTATTTGAATATTCTTCGAGATGTACTTAATAGTGTCTAATGCATACAATTATTTAGCGGGACGAAATAATATGATCTAACTTATTAATAGGTCCGTCCGACAAAACATCTAGTAATTTAGTATCATCATCTAGTAAGAAGACACTCAGAAGTTCTATACACAGATAGACATTTTGTAAAACAAGCAAGAAACTATCAGTGTTGACAAAAATATATATATAAAAAATAAATAAGGATAAATTCATCTTGATATGGACATATCAAAAGAGAATTTTGGTTAAAAAGATTATAATATTTTTAACGAATGAAAAATCCTTTAATTAAAGTACCAGATAGATAGGTACTCGTTATTTTATTGTTTCCACCAAAAGATTACAATAGTAAACTTATTATAAATACAAACAATTACAAGAAGTAATCACAGTGAGAAAACAATAGGCGACCTTATCGCTATCGGACGACTTGATAGTAAATAAAATTAATTGGTTATGGAAAACAGTAGAATCGTAAAAATGTCAACCAGTGCTTAAAATTACGTTTATTTGAATAAAAAGTGTTTCTACTCTGATTGTATGAGAGATGTGTAAGTTGTATAAAAGATTGAATTAATTGTTTAAACGATTGATAAATTATATAAAAGATAAGTAATTGATTAATGATTATGCATTGTGTCAACCGTGAATGGGTTATATAAAAGATTATATCGTCATAGTCGTAGAATACTGACGGATCTTTATATGTAATATTTGTCAGATCCGTCGGTATTCTACGACTATGACGATATGTAATGATATATCGTCATAGTCGTAGAATACTGACGGATCTGACAAATATTACATATAAAGATCCGTCAGTATTCTACGACTATGACGATATGTAATGATATATGTGATAATACAAATACATCTGAGGCAGAGGAGAAAATAATTCGAATTACGTTTTCATTTATACAATAATTTCTGTGTAATAATTGTAATTAAAAATACAGTTAAAACAATTATAATTTTTCAATAATATTTATCTATTCATTTGAAAAAAAAAATTGAAAATTAATTATTAGTAAATATCTGGGACGTGCTAGGGTAACTAAGAGATACCATATAAGTATGAGCGTTAAGAAGAGAAAATTCAACACGTTTGGACTTGATTTACACGACGCCTGTATTGGTCTGTCTCGAGTTTGAACTTAAACCGACATAAAAATTACACTAATTTGACTGTTGTTAATTTAATTTTGCATAATAGCATATTAACCCTTTACACTCCGGTCTAGTAACTCATAGAGAATACCATTAACTCATTAATTTGACAATAATTTATTATAATGTAAACATTATAGACATATCGTCAACACTATAGGATAAACACAGACGGTTTCGTTTACCTAAGTGTTAAGGGCGCTGAGTCAGTAAAACAAGCGTGTCGCCGTAGCCGCGACAGTGGATTTAATGTTAGAATTTTAATGTCGCAAATATGGCAACAACGGAGTGCAAAGGGTTAATATAATATTTTTCAATAATGTGTGCTTTGTTTTGGATAGAGATTTAATTTATTTGTATTTTAGTGGATTTTATAACATTATTGTTTGTAAACGTTTATAAAATTGAAGCGGGCGCTTAGTTTTGATTTTGAGTTGATCTCTAAAAAGATTTATATAATTTTGTCTAAATGTTATATTTTGTATTTTATATTCTAATACTTAAGTATTTAGATGTAATAATAACTTGTTTTATTTGGAGTATTATTCTATCCTAATAGTTGCCTCAATCAAAAATATATCTGAATGAGAGCGGTTAAGGTTTATATTTGTACTTATTAAAATTAATTCTATATTATTAATTAAATGAGTAACATTTGCTTTTTGTGCCATTGTTAACAATATATTTGTTAGATTGTAATTGAATTTACAATTTACAAAAAAAAAATTATTACAAATTTGTAAAATGTTCCTATGAACAATACATATAAATAAAACACAATGCTAATTTTAATAATTGTATTCATACAGTTATGAAATTATTTTGTACATAACTACTATTGATGATATATATACTGCTGTCTTTTTTTAATGCATGATAATGGAATGGGGGCTACCATAACATCGCCTGCGATACCGGTACACGCTGGCGAGGCACGAGTGAGGAATGATAGGTGAGAATGAAAAGGGAATGAGCTAAACGACCTGCAGTTAGCCCATCGTGATGAATACGCCTTAGATTCAGCACGATGGTGTCTAGGGGGGGGGGGCATGGAGTTCAACCCTGATATGTTATATTGCTTGCAATAACACTTGTAGTCCATATTATTAACAATCCCCCTCCCTTCCTCCTATACTGCTGAGTTGCCATATTCACAGCAAATAATATCATTCCAAAGAGCTTATTTACAAATCGGTTTAAATAAATATGAGTCCTTTTTTTTGTAAAAACCATGAATAATTATTATCCACATATGTCTATGCTAGGAATAGTTGAAACAATCCTCAAAAGATACTTACTCCTAGCGGGCGTTCATTAATTTTAAATAATTAAAATTTATTTATCTAATGCATATATACATATACTTAGTATACAGTTTTAGAATCCAGTGAACTAGTACTTAGAAATTCCCAAAAATATCCAATTTCGACAATAAAATATAATAAGTACACACATACTTGGATAAATGCACGATGATGTATTAATTCGCTTTTTATTTATTATGTTTTTATTATAAAATATTTCTATGATTATAGTTTGCGCCGGCGCAGAACAAATCAGTTATCTATTTATAAATAAAAGGAAGAAAAATAATGGGCATTCTGTAACGTCATATCTCTAAACCTATGTCTGAACTTTCAGTTTTATATGACAGCGAAATCTTTATTCTAAGAAAAATAGACAGATACTCTTTATTGTTTCCTCAAAAAGATTAAAATAGTATACTTATTATAGATACAAACAATTAGAAGAAATAATGACAGTGAGAAAACAATGGATGGATCAATATGAACTAAATTTTTTAATAGATTTAACTCAAGACTAATATAAATTTAGTTTATAGTGACCGATAAAATAGTAATTTAGTGAAACTATCAGATATAAAGAGAATTGGTGCTTCAGAATCGACCTCAATGAAGTCGATTCTTCAATACCATTCTAATCTCTAAAATTAATATTTTTATTTGATATTGCAACTAAATTTGTATAATTGCATCATAACTGTTTGTAAAACATTAATTCTCTGTGCTCGATATCATATCAGTTATAATATTTGCTAATGTTTGTGATTATTGTAACTTAAATCTATTAGAAATTCAGTTCATATTGCTCTTTTTATTGAAATAAATTTTTATTCATTCATTCATTCATTCATTCTCTTTAGATTTAAAATCGATTAAAATTTTAGAAATGACAGCACTAAATCGATCCCATCTTTACATTGTTTTAGGTCGGCACAGCATGTTGCTTTAGCCTCCTATTATATTTGTGACCACTCATTTTTGTGATGTATCGATTCTAATAGCAATTTGAAATCGTATTGAATTTACTAGTAGATAGAATTAAACTTTTTGAAAGCAGTTTAATTATGCCTCACATATACGAAACGATTATAATCGATCATTGCAATAATTATTGTAGCGAATTATTGTAGCGAATATTGCAATAAGTATTCGATTTATAAAGTCGGATGACGAATAGTACACGAAGTGATAAAACGTTCCGTATATGGCGGGTATTAGAAAAATTATAGATGTCGCTTTGAACAGATGCGTTTAAATGGAATTTACTAATCTTGAAACCTCTTATTACGTTATTTCTTGTGCATTTAGTGCACTTTTAATACAATTATGTAGATATATAACTTAAAACTTTTTAGCTAAAAACTAAAGGCTTTATATTTTATTTAAGTACAAAACCCGAAGAACATCGAAGTGGAAGATGTTCCGTCTAGATTTTGATCTTGAACTTGTACAGTACCACTTTATATAAGTCATGATCTCTAAACACGAGTGGGATGTGTTTCTGCCGCGAAGCAGCTATGCTTTCATGCTGTGTTTTGGTTTAAAGTATGGGTCATAGCAGTGAAATTACACGAGAATTACTATGGACATGACAGTGTCATTTGCGGTGACCATGATGCTGTTCATGTCTATAGTTGTCACTTTCCATCAAGTGTGTCGTCAGTTTCTTTGCTATTTTAAATATCATAAAAAAGTAGGTGCTTATTTAGAACCTAAGAATAAAGTTGTGAAACCGAGTTTAATGGATATGGTAGATAACAATATAATTTCCTAATTTTTGCCTAAAATTGCATTCACTTTGCTTCGTCGGTTCTTGCAATTAATGCTTATTGTAGTTTATATCATTGCAATTCTTGTAAAATATGCAAGTATAGAAAACATTGCTCTGCTACCAAATTTTCCAATGTCACAATATTCACTAGACGACTATGCTACGATTTTAGTATAACTAGTTAATAGATGAATTAAGGAGTTAATACAACTTTGATCACCGCATATTTATCGCTTAGTGAATGCGCCTCGCGAATTAATTTGGTAGTTTTAATAAAAAAGAAAATAAGCTGTAACTTAATTTTGTTTGTATTATGTATAGATATTATTGTTTTGTATTGTTTTGCTTTTAAAATAATATTATTTTTCATATTGATTTTTATTTCTTTACAAAATACCTCTATACCCTATCTTAGCTATATTAAGATGTCTTCCAAATTATGACAATAAAATATTATATCACGGTGTGAATTTATCGTTAATTTATTATAGTGGAATCGAGTAGGTAAAGTAGCAATTACTCACGATAATTACACCAAAACATGTTACCAAGACATATCTATTGGATCAAAATAAAGCTTTGTGTGCATTCTATGAGTTTTATTTATATAAATAATTTTGGTTCCTTATATCGCAATTTATAAACATTGGGGTCGATTCTGAGGGTCCATTTCTCTAAATCTTTTAGTCTAATATTTTAAGGTCATAGTATCGCAACATTTCTATTTTTAGGGTCATCATAAACTCAATAACTTTGACTTAAATCTTTGATATGACTTTTTTTGACTTGAATCTCAATAAATTTGACTTAAAAATTTAGTTGATAACTTCCTTAAAATTGTATTTTAGAAATAAAGTAATAACGCCTCAGAATCGACCCCGTTCTTTGCCATTATCGTTGATGGACATTCTGGACTTGAATTTTAATTAAACAAAAAATAAATACTGTTGTGAATTAGTAAATAAAAACACGTGTCGTAGACAATGTGAAGGATTATAAATTCGCGGACAAAGAATTTCGTCCATGAAATACTAAATCCTCCATCCACGCGGATCTGCACTGATTTAAGTGGGGTGTAAAAGTGAAGATTGACAACGATCATTACTTGCATACATATTATTACATACATATTATTACAGTCAACATCATTATATCAACCTTTAATTGTCCACTACTAAATAGGTCTCTCTTGGGACATTTTGCCAGCAGTTTACACAGTTGCCAGGAGTGGCAGGCTTTGGTGCTGTTTTAAGAGGAACGCTGTTACCTATCCCTCAATCATTAAATTCCTTTACTCGTCTCTTAGAACACCCACAGGAAAGAAGAGCTGGACCATACTATGTCGGGACCACACAGCATAATTATAATACACGGTCTTATTTATAGCAATAACTACCAAAGCCCTGTCTTGCAAACAGGAATATAACAATAGTAAATAAAAGATTGTATGACGTTTATGTACTTTATTTGCTTTTTTTATATATTTGTCACAAACTACAGAACTGCGACTCTACAAGTCGAGAATATGATTGGATCAAAATGCTCCTGAACCCAATATCAACATATAAATAAAAACTATCGTTACAAATAAATGTTTTATATTAAAAATTTCTTTCATAAATCGTCGTCACATAAAATAATACATTTAAAAATCTAAATACATTATACAAATAGTAGTTCAACCGTAAAATGTCCACTAATCGAAAATTTACCGAGTGCCTTTTCCCTTTTATTGCGTATTAGTAAGTTAGATTGAAAAAAGGGCTATTTTACGAAGTGTACATTCTACGAATGAGCGTAAATAATCTCTCTTAACGAAACTAAAGACGAAAAATCGAAGCAGTATTTTTAAATGGAAAAACATTTGTTTATCACAATGTTACTTACTTCCCCAGTAGATTCACAATCAAATATACAAAGAGTTACATTTAAAGATAAGCAAATATTTTAGTTTCAAGAAAGCAAAAGGTCGGTGAAGGAAGCTAACTTGTACATCGATAGCCCTCGCAGTGCAATGTCATTCAGTGAAAACCTAAGATCTTAACCCTGTACTCAGGGTAAGTATACGATATTAGAAAAATTGAATGAAAATAATTAGTAAAGTGGTAAACTAGTCTATTGGTAGATACGTTTTCGCCACAGTACTTTTGAGAAAGAAAAAACTCCGAACGTTTTATCCCTTTTTATCTCAAGTACATGATGGCGAGAGAATATCTATTACTCTTTACGCTGTCAAACCAGTAAAATAAAAAAATATTACGTAAAACCATCCAAAAATTTTGTTAAATTATGAACTGTGTTTACAGGCGTATTTAAGGAGGTAGGGGACAGGTTTGATGACCATCCCAGGATACGAATGGAGCTTTTAGCTATGCGCAGCAGGTTTGATAACATTAAAATTTTTCTAATATTGTACAGTACCTATACAAATCCTTAATTCTCTTACAAAATAAGGAACACCTACATGTCAAAGGCACGTCCCAAATTGCTAATAAACCTAGTGCTTTATTGAAAAATAGTTAACGTTATTATCCATTGATACATAACATGGCATCTCATTGTTTGCTAGAGGTTACACGAGTCACATATAAGTCACAGTGAATCGTATCAGAAAAAAAATTGTCTCACAAATAAAACTAGCAACATTAGGTATCTTTTTTAATTAATATATTAAAACATTAATAGCCACTATCAGTCAAGTTAAACGAGTCATTTATTTACATATAAAAAACGTAAGAAAAATAAAAAATATATTCTTTTTAAAATCACTTGAGAGCTATTTGATTTCATCATTGATTTATTATGTCTGTACAGACTTACGTATATATATATATATATATATAAAATCCATCTAATGACTCAACATATATGAATAAAAACATTGTTTTTTTTTTATTATTATTTTATCTACAACAAAACGTATTAACTTTATTATTTGTATATTGATAATAAATCATAAATTTACATTTCAATCGTTTTTGTATATTTAAAATTCATCCAAATTTACAGCATTGAATGTGACCAAATTAAAAATATAAAAGCATATAACAAGAGAAGCATGTTTTGCATTAATGGAATGTGCACATCTATAAAATATATTACAATTTATTATAAGTAGTAAAATTAGATTTCATTAGCACACTAAAATAAGAATTAACATTATAAACATGCATATTCGATCACTCTATGAAAAGATATTGTCAATTTATTCTCTAAGAACATCTTATGTATTTAAATTTAAAAAATCCAAATAAAAATGTATATATATAAATCCAAATATATATATATATATATATATATATATATATATATTAAAAATGAGCTCATATTTTTTTAGTACTAATCTAGTGTTGGTCCTGCCATCATCTAGTTATTTTTGTAATATTATAATGTCGCCAGTTGCCATTAATAAAAAATAAAGTGACAATCCTTATCCACGCACAACATACTATCGCCACGTTTACATTTTTTTTTAATAAAGGTTTTTGTGATTGTGTAGGTTGATAACTATAAAGAACAGTTTGATAACACTAATAGTTGCATTGCTTTGACGTTTATCAATGGCCAAGATTAAAGTACAATATTCTATCTCCCTTTAACCACGGCGGTAAAAGAGAGATGGCTATATGTGAGAATTATTTAGTATTGAATGGAGACAAATATTTTTATTTTCAATTTGAATCTAAGCGACGATTTATGAATCCAAGACTCATGGCAAGATATAAAAACGCATTACATCCATAAATTGTACAATCTAACATGATTATTACAAATATTGAAATTTACTCTTAAAATGTACGTTGAACAGTATACAGCGAACGCTTGCACTAAGGAAAAGTTCATAGTATAGCATCACTAACAAAAGCACGCTTACACATTACTAAGGGGCATATTACACTATCGAATATACACACTATATAGCATATATATATATATATATATATATATATATATATATATATATATATATATATATATATAATATCCTAGTCATAAATAAAGATTAGGAAAACATTTTTTTGTAGAAAAATGTTCTGATATTCAAAATATGACTAAATGAAAAGATTGGCAGTTGTCAAATGAAAAAGAAAAACATTTAAAACTATAAAATGTAAGTTGGCCACTGTCAAAAGAAATTCCAGACAATCGTAAAAGGGTTAGGCTACAGTCAAATGAACCCATCTAATCAAAGAATGCAGTGTGCCTTTTATTTCAACTTTAATCGGTAATAATCAACTTAGATACTGGTACAACCCATAAAACAAACTAGACATAGTCATATGTCTGATAGTGTAATACACCCCTTATGAACCATACCACAAGGAGATAGGGTTCAAAACGTAACATTTGTGTTGTGATTACCTAGTACACTATACTACACATTCACAAATACCAATGCGTCAAAGCGGAGGGGCCAGCGAGCGGGCGCGGGGCGAGGAAACCGCCAGCTCAAGGGATCCAGCCCACCACGTAGCTGCGGCTGCGCGTGAACTGGGTCAGGCGGCGCACGCGACCACCTGTATGCACGAGCCAATGGAAATTAACACTTGCTGTTATCACAATAAGGAGCATCGTTGGAACTGTAGATCGATGTAGATAAGACCTTTCGACAATGAAGATAGTCATAGTTCTCAATTGTCAATATATCTTTTTACGAGGATAGGGTTTCTACCGACAAGCTTAAAACCAAATGAAGATTGAAATTTGAAGTCACACTACCTCTTACATTATCTTCTATCTCGCTTCAACGTAGCGTCATAACCTTTAATTCTATTATTCATTCATGTTTGTAATCAAAGCACAATATTCATTTAGTTTCAAGTTTTTTCATTTTTAATATACAGGGAATTTGTCGTAAAGAGCAAAGGCAAACCCCAACGATAGTTTTAATGAAACTGAACAATTTGCCCCAAGAAGAACTTAATGGATCACGTGATCGAGTGGCTTGTATAAAAATTTCAAAAAATTAAAATTGAGTTATTAAATAAACTTTATTGTTTCATGGATACTACCACTGAGTTTTGGCTGGCTACCCTTTACGAGTAACCCTATGTATTTACTCAAAAAGTTCTCTGCGACTGGCCGATTCTAATTCAACTTTTACTTGAGATATATTTATGAAGTATCTCACGCCTTTAGACCTTTAGTACAAACGGAAATAATGCGACGAAGGAAAAATCGATGGTTTCCATTATATTCGTTTGCCTCGCTAACAATATAAAAAAATAAACCAGTGAACATTCTACAGTATTTATCTATAAGGTATAAACGAAACTGGCATCTTTTTAAATATTCGATTCGATTCGAAATTCGATTTTCTCGAGTCTTTTTGAGGAATATACCCACTTTCACTGCTCAAACTTTATAATAAATAAGATATACCTACGATAGGTTATCCCGTGGAAGTTGATAAATCGCAATAACGTAAACATTCGTGTTTCGATCTGAATAGTAATGTAATACAATCTTTGACAAAAAAAAAAGATATTTAATAAGACTAGTCACCCTTATATAATTAAACATTTAAAATTAATATTTTAATTTTGAATACTGATCTAAAAAGTTCTAAAATTAAATTTCTTAGTAATTAGTAATAAATTAGTAATTTTTTGAAAGTAAATTTCTCCTTTTCATTTAAGAGTTTCCTCTTGTCAATATATTATCTGCCAGCCAGCTCCATTCCAGGGCATATCTTTGACCTCCTTATACTAACATGACACTTAGTGTTTCCTAAAAGGTTTAAGATAAAAAAATAACGACAGGAAAGTACTTATATATAGCAATAGGTCTAGGTTATATTACACTCTACTAGTTAGAAATCTATACTAATATCTCTGATCAATTTTAATAGAGAATATTAATACAAATATATTGAAATAAGCAATAATAATGATAGCAGAAATCTATGATTAGTTTTATAAGGGATAAGCATAATTACTTATACTCGAAAATAGTACAACAAATTGTTTGTTTGTTTGTCACAATACAAACATGTTTATCTATTATTATTAATATTAAACTAAGTAACTACAAAATGTAGAATTAATTGAAATATTAGATATAAAAACACATGATTAATCTATATTTTTTAATAAAAATCTAAAATTTATTTTTAGATATCTGTCCTCATCCGTGGAAACTATGTGTAGTTGAACAATATTTAATCCAAGTGTTATTAGTATAAATGGGTACAAAATGCGTCAACAACAAAACATGCAATATGTACAAAATGTTAACCATAATGCCCCATTGATTCAAATGTGTATATTTAAATAGATATATTATAAGTTGTACTTTGAAAATTTTTTCTATACAATGTAGAATGGCAAACAAGCTGACGGTCCACCTGATGGAAAGTGGTAACCGTCGCCTATAGACATGAGCAGTACCATGGAAATAACAGAGTATACTGTTTCGCCCATGATACCCTCCATGCGTTGCCATTCCTGAGGACTCAGATGTTATTCCTCTGTACCCAATAAATTCACGCCTTCAAACCGAAACACAGCCACGCAAACACAACTGCTTTACGGTTGAAACACGAATGGGACAGAGGTACCCAAGCAATCGACTTTTGTACAAAGTCTCCCTCTGGTAATTATTGGTTATTGACATTATTTTAAAATGTTTCTGACTAAGAAATGGGTTTGAAATTTCGTTAATGTAATCTATTTCGTTGTTTTAGGAATGTATCGCTGTTTGATATGCGTTTTTGTGTATAAGTAATTAAAACATTAAATTAAGTTACAAATGACAACGCGAACACAGGAATATTGTAATATTCAGATAATTATCACTGTTACATTTTAGTTATTAAGTTATTTTAAATTATTTTAATTTCTTATGACTTCCCAAGTTATGCCTCTACTAAATAAATATAGGATTTTATAAGCATTTTAAATGGTGAAACATTTTACTATCATATGCTTAATTGACTGAACGGATTAAAATAAATTTTTGACACAAATAGCCTTATTCTAGATTAACACAAGCTGCTTTTAGTATAATTCCATAAGCAATGCTTTACGAACACCAAAATATATTTGCAATATAAGATATATAGGGTGGAAGGGATAGATGGGCCAAAACGAAAACAGCCGATTCAGACGAATAGTCTAAATCAGATGGCAGATAATTTCCCCACCGGAAATGCATCAAAGCGATGTATTTAAAATTTTATGACGTACTATGTGTACTCCACACGACGCTAAATATCCACAGCGCGCGCTCAACGGCGCTTCTTCGTAGGTAGTTTTCGTACGTTTGTACATTTACTTTACATAGCTGATTCCGTGCGTCACGGTAGGATTTTAAAACGAATATGACATTGTTGTTTCATATTTCAATATTTCATTATAATATTTTTTTTTATGGCATATTAAGATTATTATTATTTAGATTTGATTTGATTTTAAATAAAAAAAAACACATATAGGAAAAAAAAAAATTTTTTTCGGAAAATTTTTTCACTAGTTTTTAATTCAGAATATTGGGCCGAATCTACTGTTTCAGTTTTTGCCAACCTGTTCCTAACATCCTGTATATATCAGTTATACTTTTAATATACTTTCGATTCTTGAACCGAATTAAATGTATCCCCTATCCAGTCGTCTAGTGTAGGCTTATGTATGAATATCACCATAAATTATAAAATACAAAAATAAATATGAAGTCTCATATTAGACTCGAGTTCATATTCTGTTATGTACTCACCACAAGTGAGAGTTCAAGGTTCTACGCGTTGTTCTGGCTCCGCCGCTGCTGGCGTACTGAAATACATACACACAAACAAACGTCATAGGGTGTACATATATATACCAACACCGGCATTCACTATATTCTTCATTATTATTCAATTTTTATAATTATAGAACTTTTTATACTTTTTTACATCAATATTGTGAATGCCAGTATTATTTGGGTTCAAATAGGAAAAAAAAAATTGGATTCGCATTCTTAAGGAATCGGATACAATATTAATTGATAAATATCAAATTTATTTCATTAAAAATATAGGATTTATAACAGAGGTCATGCTTAAAATTATGTTTGGTGCCTATTGGCATTTAGTACACACGTTCATTCGACATTCGAGTTAGTTTCCACACGCATGCGTACGTTAGTGCCCCTCTGCAAATGATAACGGTGTTTTCGCACCATTACGGTTTTTAACACTGTCTGCCTTGTTAACACCATTGGGGGAATGCCACAAACCAAACGTGTCTATCCTGTCACAATTGGGACCCCACAGCTAATCGAAGGCCTATCAAGCTCAAATCTTGATTAGCGTAAAGCCTGTGAAAAAGACGTCACGACCCGCAAAATGGTAACTGTCAATAATCAACGGCCTTTAGTAAAGCACTCGAGCTAAGAAAACTGGATTTTTACCGATGTTCATGGCCGTTCTACAATATATGATTCGGTTCTACGCTCCCCTCTCGGCTAAAATAAAATTGTTAACTGTTAAAATAGTATAAACACATCAAAGATATTAGCTGTATTGAGTCGGACATTAAGATGAGAGCAGATTTTCAAAGATAGATCTAATAGATAAATATTATTCAGAAATAGGTATAGAGTAAAACATACTAAATACCGAAATATGTCGCATTTCACTATTACAGTCAATAGAGACATATTTTGTGTTGTTGCAGTTTTATTTAGATTGCTAACTTGTTTTCCGATACTAAAAATACATGCTTAATTCTTTACATGTATTATTTCTTCTAATAATTTTAATGTATGTAAATATATTTAAATAAGTCACAAGCAGAATATGAAAACCAGAAATGTCGTCTATATACACTAACAATACAATAGGATACGATACGACACGACAATATAAATTTATAAAAAATACAAAAAAATATATTGTATTTGAAAATATAACCCGTATGGCCCGATAAAAAGCTGTGTCTCGATAGCAAACCTTATAAAACTGCAACTTCTGTGAGTGTCGCCACGCAAATCAAATCTATAAAAAAAAGCGTTTGTAGAAGCGAAGTGTTGTTAACTGCCGTGCCAACAACGTATACCGAGGTCTGACCTTCGTGTAACTATTGGCTACGCGCCGCTTTTTGCATGTTGTTAAAGAACCTGAACTGAAGTCGCAGCGTAAGGTCTTTTCGTACTGCAAGGGAATAAATGCGACTATAGAACACAGTGTGACTGGTGAATGTGGTGGCCGATTGACGGCAGGCGCTTGTCGACTTCAACGTTCTGAAAAATACTATTGTCTATGGTACGGTCAACATAACAAGTAGATGATTAAAATTTTCGAAAACTCCTATACTCCGTGGCATACATATGTCATCATATATTTTTCACTAACTTTGACTATGGCATTCAACAAGTTCCGGTACTGACCTTGTTGAACTACTTATGTACGCAACAGTGTTTACGAGTTTCGGAAATATGTAGATGTTCGTCGAATTTCGATGCTAACATTAATGCTTAATTTATTGTTTCAGATATTATATTTCATCTTTTTCAGAACGCTCAAGTTTACAAACTACACAAGTGTACATGTTTCTACACAGGTGTACATGTTTCTACACAGGTGTACATGTCTCTACACAAGTGTACATGTCTCTACACAAATAGGGAGGGCACGCGTGAGTGTGAGTGTTGCGCGTTTACTCACGAGTGGGGATTGGGGTTTATATCTGGTCTCTCAGCAAGGACGAATGGGTCGCGTAGCCTCTGTACATCCTCCTGTGGCTGCGTCTCAGATTTGTCAGCATCACCCGGTTGAACATTACCCGGAACCGACATTTCCGTGCTTTCTGGTATTAATTGTTGTTGTGATAGTGATTTACTAGTATCACTCGATGTTTCTACATTGGATACTTGGTTATCTGTTTCACTCGGTTGATCAACATCGATTGGTATTATTTTTTCGCCTACCATCTTGTTTACGACCGGGCTCTCTGAAGCTTCAATCGTCACCGATTTCTCGACATTTTCATTTGTCACCGGCTTATCTGTTATGGCCTTTTGCTCGTCTTTCGTTGGTGTGACTGCCTCGGCACTAGGTGGCGTAAGGTTGAAGAAGCTACTGTCAACCCCAACGGCCGGCGGTCGGCCGCGGGGCAACCGCAAGCTTAGTGATGCGCTAGCTCGCTTTTGTATTCGGCAATCTGATATTAGATTTTGAACATTGGTATCGATTCCATATTTTATAATTTCGATGATTAATTTACAGTGACATCAGCGAATGATATCAGTGAATTTTGATTAATTATGAATCAGATTATGAGTTCATGTTTGCGAGTTTATGTCCCACTTTCTCAAGACACTCAGATATTCTTTCCTTGTTATTGAGTGCGCCATTTCTCTTCTATAGTCGTGTGTTAATATAAGCTGAGGATGTACTATGTGAGCCGCCTATTGCGTAATATATGCAACTGTCGGCGAGGACATAGGCGTTTATAGTTAGGACGTACTGCGATTTTAATTATTAATATTTTCTATTATTTTTTTTTTTTTGTCAATTTATAATTTCTATAATGTAAGATTTCCATAATCTTTCATTACAATAATTAAAAAAAAAAACATATCGCAGCACGAGATAACTTGGCGAACACGTGCAGTGAATGAGGTGCGACATCTGAAAGCTGCCAACTTTCTGATTACATTTCACTGGTAATCCTAGAAGAATGCCGTACTGTTATGTTGCTAACGTCGTTTCTCCAGACGGCATTGCATACCACTAAATAGTAAGCCGCTGTATTAATATAATGAAATGACAAATTCGTACTTTTGCAAGGTGATAGTGCAGCATGACTTCGAAATTAATATCAGTATAGACTTTTTCGTATTTCGTAGATATTCCAAATTCAAATAATATTCAAACTAGTTTTTTTTTTTTATTACAAAATGCCAGCTAGAATATTTATAATCAATATTTTGAATTTGGAATAATTTTAGCTCAAATTGTTGAAATAAAACAATTTTTAAGTCCAAACTGCTTACACGCAATATTATTCTATTGATTGACGGACAAGTGATGGTCTGATACTAGTGCTGCTGTTAACGGTCATTGAAAACAGCAACTTAATGTTGATATGACGAAGATTTTATGCATCAAGAAATATTCGACATACAAAATACGATATGAAAAATTGAGAGATCAAGATGTTGATTAGAAATAAATATACCTTAAAATTAAATTAATTATTATATATACATATATAAGTATGTATATTCTCACATACACCCCACTTTACAATTCTCATAGTTTCCAGTACACAGCTTGAGCACTGACTTATTGCGGTGTAGTAAAAATATATAGAAAATTGTATATATCGTCATAGTTGTAGAATACTGACGGATCTATATATGTAATATTTATCAGATCCGTCAGTATTCTACGACTATGACGATATTAGCGCTCAAACATTACCAGAAACTATGTAGGAATACACCTACATACTAAGGACCCAGATTAAAACCATCCCAGACCATTTAGGATCGATTTTTCAACTTTCAAATATTTTCTGACCACACAAAACATACATTGGTAATTTTAAGTAGTTTTTCAAGTTGTTGATCATTTCAAGTTTTTTTTTTTTTTGTTTTATTTAGTGGAATAAACATAATTTCAAAGTTAAAAAACCGAATTAAGGAATAATTGTCATCGTTTCAACCATCATTTTAACCATTTACTACTAATTATGGACCATAGGTTACAGTAGTATAGTTAGGCTATATTTCACTTACATTTGATAATACTTGATTAATGCAATATTTAAAAGAAGCAAGTTGGTGTCCATAGAAGTTTTTTTTTTTTTTTTTTTTTATAATGAGATTAAACAATTTAAATCATTTTCATTCTAATATAGAGTTCAGATTAGCATGAAATAATTGTGAGCTGTTTGTCAACATATTATAAACACTCTGTAAAACTTTTATTTGCACCATTTAATATTGTCGATAAATAAATTGAAATGAAAAACACACATTTTCAATAGCTAAATTATACAGCAGTTTTGGTAAATTCGCACCATAAAATTTATGTAATATATTTAAATATATTATAACTAAGCAAGTACATACATATATATGTAGTAGATGAAATGCAAAAAAACTTAACAAATTTTATATTAATTCCTTTTATCAGACTTCCTCTCTTTATATGAGTGTATACGTTGTGTTGGGGTTTTTTAAAAAAGACATTTCTTCAGGGTCGGCAACACGAGCGTAATGTCTCTGATATTGCAGGTGTTCACAGGTTACGGTAACCGTTTACCATCAGGTGTGCCGTATGCTTTTTGGTGTTTTTTTTTTCAGAGTTATTTTATGCTACTTCAATTGTAAAAAAAATCACTAAAGAATTACAAGTACACATACAATTATATAAAATAATAAATCTTTTTTATCTTTTATAATTTTTAACACGGAACGTTTTGTTTCCACATTCCATTAAACATATTTGAATTTAAAAAAGCTACCGCCAACATTAATATTACTACGTTTATAAAATTAATTAGAGACAATATATTCTCAAAGAGGGTGATATCAAGCTAGCGGGCGATCGTAAAAGTATAAGCCAAATCTTTTTGTAATATAAATAAAAAACATATTACGCCGACCCCAAATAATAATTGGGATAAGGATAGGAAGATAATGATATAATCTTACTTTAAAGCCACATTTTGTTATATAGTTTTGAAAACAGTTACCCACTATTTAATATAAAAATTTTTTTGGAAGTCCATAAAGACAAAATTATATTACTGACATTTCATTGTTTTTTTTTTTTATCTAATCAACCCAATGTATTACCATGACATAAAAAAATTTGCGGAAATTACTTGTGTTTATAAATCGTCTCATTGTTGGATTATTATAGACATTTTAATTAATTTAATGTTAAAATATACCATTACGTAAATCTGAGTATTGAAAATCACTGATTACATATATGTACATGACGCGTCGATATCATTGTCGACAAGTTGATACTGCTACAAAATAACAGCAGCTAGTCAGCTCTAGCAGTAAGACAGTACTGAGCACTGTTATATTGACCTTCTAAGCCAGCGAAAGAGAGGAAGTGTGATTAATATATGATGATGATGATGATGATGATAGTGGGTGATGATAATGATGAGGGCTCACTTCTGTCGATGTTGCGTTGCAGATGGCTGGCGACGCGGTGGCGCGCGTCCGAGTACTCCAGGTGAAGGCCCAGTCGCAGCAACGTGGGATTTTGCTCCACCAGCGCGGTGATCTCCATTTCGATCTTGTTGCCCAGGACTTGTGACCTCTGAAAATATTAATTAGTTGTTTATTTAAAAAACAATGTACATTGTGTCTCTATTTTTTTTTTTTTATACAACTTAGAATAGCAAACAAGCTGACGGCCCACCTGATGGAAAGTGGTAACCGTCGCCTATAGACATAAGCAGTACCATAGATATAACATTTTGTATGATTTCCAAAAAAAAAAAACATTAAATTAAACGTTAGAAATAATGTAGTAATAATAATAAATATTTTTTACAATTTAACAAAGTCAAGTTCACCCATAATATATATACGTCAATTTATTTACTTTAATCGCTAAAACAAAAGTCATTAACGAAGTTATAATATTTTTTCAATAACTTTAATTAACAATTGTACGTATTTTATAAGATAAAATAATTAATCTGATTTTTTATATATCACAAAGGTGACAAACATATAGCTGGTCTGATGGTAAACAATTATGTAGACTATGAAAGAATGCAACGCTAGGGGTGCCTCTTGCGCACTGATGACCCTGATTGGCATTAGTTACGATCGAGAATTAAACATAATACGTAACTAACTATAACTAATAAGAAAATTTAGAATTTAGCATGGTACATATTAGTTAATATATCTACTATCTCGTCTTTCTATTATTGCAGGTTCAAATCGAATATAATATAATATAAAAATTATATTTAATATTTATAAAATGTCTGTTAGTATTGATTTGAACGTTTGTATGTGCTTCTACTCGAATACATAACAAAACACACCCTCTTAATTTAGGATTAGATAACATTATGGACTACTTACTCAGTTGTTAAATGGTAACTGAATGGGTATGAAAAATAAACAAATACATAAAAACTTATTTTTCAAGCTTGAACTCTGAATTATGAAACTAGAAATTGATCTGCAGGAACGAACCTGATTGGAGGCGCGGAACTCCTCGACACTGGTGGTTGGTAGCAGAGCGCGCACAAGCTGCACGACCCCCGCGGGGCTGATGAAGTTGGTCTCCACGTTGACCACCCTGAGTGTGGAGTTGACCTCGAGCGCGGCCGCCAGCTGCGCCGCGGTGCGGTCGTGGAGGCCCACGTTCACCAACGATACCACCTCCACGTGGGTATTGGTCTTCAGGGCCTCGAATAATTTCTCGAACTTCTCATCGCTTATATTCTGTAATTGCCATGTACAATTTTTGTTTTGTTACAAAATCTAACGACTCTCTTATAAACATATCGTCATAGTCGTAGAATACTGACGGATCTTTATATGTAATATTTGTCAGATCCGTCAGTATTCTACGACTATGACGAATTATTTCAAACGTTAACTGTCCACTGCTGAACATTAGCTTTCCCTATAATCCCTTATAAAACTCCCTAATTTTGCCAGTAGTTGCCACGCTTGCCAAGCCGGTTGACAACCGCAGCTAGGCTCTTAGAGATATTTTAAGAGGGACGCTGCTGCCCATCTTTCGACCATTAAGCTCCCGTAGTCGCTTCATACAATACAGGAAAGAAAAGGATAGTCCATTGAGAAGGATAGATTCTATATACAAAACATTAGAATACATATGACTTCAACTATCTATAGTATAACATATCCTCAGTAAAATATTGATTTATATTTTAAATATAAGAATAACCAGACTGACTTGCATTTATTTTAGTCGTAATCTCGTAAAAATAGAATTAAATCGATTAAGTATAAAATTAAAATATAACTAATGTGAACTTACAAAACTTTTATTTTCTACTTTATAGCTACACTAAAGAATAAATAAAGTAGCTTAATATTTTTTTTACGTAATAATTACCACTTTAAATTACGTGTAATTAGATTGAGAAAACTAGACTAGTTTCAGGATCAATTCGTGATCTTTAATCATGAACGGCATTGACACAAACGCTTATTAAAATATAATGGGTGCTTACAATAAAATTATTACCTTAATATTATTCCAATTTATGTCAGTCAGTTTCTGGTCGTTGTCTTGTACTCTCTTGATTGTGTCATCTGGGTCTGTGTCATTAGGGGGATCCATGGGGTATACCTGCAAAACAAAGCATACAATGTTTTGAAATTTAAATAAATGATACATGATACTAACTGGTACCAGTCGTGACTCGACGGGATATAATTTGCACAAGTCATCTATCTCTATCTCTGGCCATTGATGTTACTCTGGCCAAGATAATCTACTTGCAAGGCTATTTAGTTGTTAAAATGGGATATGATAGTAACATTACGAAATACTAGGTATAACACCTTATTTGTTAAATATGGCAACGCATTCACTACCATTTACCATCAGATATTTTTGTTATTCCCATAAAAAAAAATTGTTTTGTCAATTGACAACTTTAATTTTTTTTTTTTTTTACATTTAAAAATTAGAACACATTCTATATATACAGTTTAAAAGCAATCATTATTAATTTAAATAGCTTGGCATATGCTACAAATATTTTTTCAATGTTGGCGACACTGAACGAAAGAATCTCGCGGCGTAATGTTTCTAGCGAATTGTATTTATAAACAAATATTATTTCTTCCGAATACGTCTAGTAGACATAAATACCGTTACTGTTGGCACTCAGTTCTCTCTGCCTATCCCGTAAAGTTATCTGGCGGGAAAATTTATTATAGGGCAATTAATGTAAGTGAAAAGTGACAAAAATCCGACTGTAATGTAACTTTTTGACAGTTTACGGCCGCCATTATCGCGGTTACGTTTTAGGTTGGCAAGGAAGTTGCCCTTTTATTTATTGATAATAATAAACAAGGTCAGACATGTTGGTAAACAAATCACAAAACTTATTGCCTGACCTGACGACCGAGGAATTTATAATGAATTTATTTTGACTCGTATTTTGTAAACAAAATACATATAAATCTAATGTCCAAATTTACGCAAATAAAATTATACTAAAGATACTATGGGTATATATCTAATATAAAAATATATTTTTTATTTAGTTATTTCAAGGAAAAATAAGTAAAAGCCTTGCAACTCATCTATGGGAATATATAATAAAAAATAATAAATTCATGGTGGCTCTATTTTCCTTCGCATTCTTAGCTCTTCATTATAAATACTCCTGTTGGGCAAATGGCAAGTGGGGCAAAATGTATTCGCTGCGAGTTAACATGATAATTTATTAAAAAGCGACAATATTTTTTTTGCGAAGTATAAAAATATAAAATAACTAATACTAAACACACTGTATCATTCTTTGAAGGGAACAATAAAGAGTTTTCATTCATTCATACATTCACATTTAATACAACGTCATCAAGTCCCAGATTCAGTAATACAAGCTTTACTGAATCTGGTTAGTGGCACGAAACAACTGATAGACATACCTAAATACTTTTTATTTATAAATACATGCATATCTAATATATAAAATTCTCGTGTCACGGTGTTTGTTAGCAAACTCCTCCGAAATGGCATACCCGATTTTTATGAAATTTTGTGTACATATTGGGTAGGTTTGAGAATCCGCCAACATCTATTTTTCATATCGCTCAATGAAAAGGGTAACCCACCCCTAAATATTTTTTTTTTATTTTATTGACAATTTTTTTTATTTTATTATGATTTAGCATTAAAAGATACATACAAATTCCAATTTTCATGCTTTTACGATCAACCCCTGTTTTTTAATCGCGATTTTTATATACCGCAATAGGGTTGTAAGATGGTAATCGAATATAATAATTTTAGTAAGATAAATTTTTATGTATAGTTCTTGAAATAATGTGTGTGTGTGTGTATGGTAAAACAACGTTTGCTGAGTCAGCTAGTTATTATATAAAAAATACCCATTTTCAATACAAACGGACATAACACATTTATATCGTGCGGGGATTGAACTCGCAACTATAATATATAGCAATATATGTATACGGGTCCAATAACAAATATTTTAAAAGTCTTATATTTAAAAGATAATATTGGATAACAGACTTAATATATTCGAAAATAGATATGCGACCGATATGGGCGATATCGGAACAGGTAATGATCTTTTTTCAGCCATCAATGTCCAGAGGAGCCCAATATATAGATCGGTATCCATATCACCCATGTCTACCCGCAACTATCGGAAGGTGAGGCAGTGTATTAAACCACTACACCACAGAGGTTGTCCAAGCTATAGATGCTTTCTCCCACGAACACTCAGGTTATGGAATGAGCTACAGCATGGGGTTCTTCAAAAGGGGGGTAAAGAAGTTTCTTCAGGATCGGCAACGCGCGCGTAATACCTCTGGTATTGCAGGCGTTCATAGGCTACGGTAACCGCTTACCATCAGGTGGGCCGTATGCTTGTTTGCCACCTCAGTGGTATAAAAAAAAAGCTAAATCGGCTACACCCATACAGCCTGTATGGTGCTACTGAAATTGTTCGAATTAATACTTACTTTAGGTTTGGTCGCTTTTGTGATGCCGTCCCAGCCGAGGCCGACTGGTTGGCCTTTGTTTAAGAGCGAGGCGTGGTACTGGTCCTGATTCATCATCGAGTGGAATCCAAGAATAGCTGCAAACAAAAGATTCATGACCCTTAAAACAAAAATATACAAAAAGCAACGTCAACTGGGAAATAACTCCTAAATAGTTTAGGGCACCTTTTCCCTTGGTGAGCGAGGTGTGTTCACGTGAGGTTGTGTGTTCCCTCGACAATAGGTCACACAATCCTCAGAATTTCGTAAAATATTTTTGTAAAAAAAATAGTTTAGGGCAGCATATCTCAACTCCACGGAAAGTGACATGAATCTCGGAAGTAGTCGGCACTATTTATAGTACACTACCACAAGCTTCTTTTTACGAGTATACCACAGGGGGTAAACGAACATGTGGCTCACCTGATGGTAAGTGACTACCGCTATCAATTAGGTCAGGAGTTGAAGGTACTCACATATACACTACACCGTATGGCCCCAGCATAGAATGGACCACCGCTTCCTTTCCCGTGGGTGTCGTAAGAGGCGACTAAGAGAACTTAATGGTCGAGGAATGGCAGCAGCGTCCCTCTTAAAATACCACCGAAGCCTGACTGCGGTTGCCAACCCGCCTGCCCCAATGGTAAACAGCCATAAGGAAAGGCCCATTCCGTATGATAGCCAATGGGGTAGGCTTACATTCACCAGTGGGCAAATAACGGCTGATATGATGATGATGATGATGATGATACACATTATATAAATTGCAACAAAATGGCAATGTGGATAAAAAATGATATAATAAATGTAACGGATAAAACGACCTTAAAAAATGCTGGAATTACGAAGAACAGAGTTGGCTAAGCAAACTCCCTTATCTCATGCATTGAAACTACTCAATGATATTTTGTGCCAGTATCCGCAATTGGATGTATTTGCCTCCAACTTGCCGGAGTTTCGTCGAGTTATCACAGAGTATTTGTGTTCAGACTTTTTTGAGTTAAATCTTTTCATATTATTTTTGTTATTTTTGTGTAATATTCCTTTTTATATGTTATTGTACTCATGATTTCCTGGGTGAGCTTATTGGAAGACTGTAAAGGCTCACCCAGTGGACGTAATAAATAAATAAATTAAATAATTTTTTTTTCTTTAAATTATTAAAGTAAAAATTGTTTTTTTTTTTTTTATGTATTAATAAGCTGTGTCCCTTTACTTTGTCTGCATAACAAATGATCTAAATAGTAATCTAGGATATGGTCGAAATTATGTACCAAATTTCATTTTAATCCGCAGACATTTAACACGATTCAAATCCAAACAATCATCCAAATATGTTTATACATTTTCAGATTTATAAAAGTTGTCGAAATTACGATATACTAATATAAAATATTTGCATTGAAATAAACAAGTGGATCAGTAAATGTTATAAATAAAATTTCGTGGCAATATTTTAAAAATAACCATTTAGTCAGAAAACAGGATTTATCGTTTAATTTTATGTTGAAATTAGACCTTTTATGGAATACCAATTTGTACTTTGGCAACATTTCAAGTGTAAATGGATGTTTATGTTCAACAAAGGTAGCTAAACTTTATTGTTTCCAATTACAGTGTTAAAAAACCAGTGCTTATAATCAGAAGAACGATTGCTTCGAGATAATTTGGGAACGATGCCAACCGTTATAAATTCTGCCTTTATGTATTACGCGGCAGGAAAGTTTTCTATTTACCTACTCCATTTTTTAAGACTTTGACATATAGAACAATGTCAAAATGTAATTCATTGTGTCATGTGTCTTGTCTAGAAAGTTCGTGTCAATCACGTGTATGAGGCGTCACTCACTATATACTCACAGTCTGTGTAATAGCATACATTAAAAATACACTTTTTGAAGTGCAAGTAGGTTTTAAGAACAAAGATTAGCAATGTCACATAATATACGACAATGACTTTCGAGTTTAGATATGACATCATAACCGAATCTCATCCTAGTACTGGGTGTGTCTCTTCCCAAAAAAGGGTATTAGTATATTATTACCACGTTAGACTCTATGTCACATGCCACGCATATATAAAGTTTTATTTCCCTTGAGTAATATTTTTTTTTTTTTTTTTTTTGTATTTTTCTAATTGGACTGTCAAATCTTAAAATCATAAAACAAAATTTCTAATGTAAGTAGTATATTCATTTATTTTAACATTTATTATATAAGTAGGTAGGTATCATATGTATTTATAGTGTATGTATTTATGTAATATTTTATCATATATTTTAATATTTAATTTAACTGTATATTTGTTTATGTATTAATAGTTGTAGCACTTCAGCTGCCCGCTAACAAAATGCTTTCTTACTGTACTGGGTTGACTGGAAGAGATCTCTGTCAGAGATAAGTCCACCCTTGCTCACAACATTTATAAATACATTATTTTATATGTAATTTACAAGTGCAATAAAGAATAAAGAATAGAGTTTCATGATGATTGATTGAATCATTAAGACACCAAAGGTAACAAACAAACCACTGTCACATTTCACCATCATCGTCATGTAAGTCGTTAACTGTCCACTGCTGAAAATAGGCCTCCACCATAAAAGGTGGTTTTGTCAACAGTTGCTACGCTTGGCAAGCGGATTGGCAATCGCAATCGGCCTTTGTTGATATTTTAAGAGAAACGCTGCTGCCTATCCCTTGACCATTAAGGTGCCTTAGCCGCCTCTTACGACACCCACGGGAAAGGAAGGGGTGGTTTATTCTATGCCGGGGATTACACGGCATATTTACAATATATAATTTTGTTCATAGCTCATAATTAATCAATATGGTACCGCATCCCTCGTAAACCTTAATCCCCCTATGAAACCACCTCCAATACATTGCAAGAAGCCAGTGGATGTAGGTGGCTGAGAACCAAAATAAACAATACTAGATAAGGCGAATTAAATGAACTTATTGTGCTTGTCGCTTCCGACAATTGTACAACTTCATTGGGAAGTCTTCATCAGGATGAGTACGGTGCTTACGTCGTAACTTCATGTATTATATGAATTTTTTATTTGTTATGTTTAAAAATAATAAAAAAATACTGTAAGTTTTAAAAATACTATTAGTTGAGAACTGACACTGGGGGAAACTTATGTTGAGCTATGAACAATTTAATGGCTGAAATGATGATGAAGATGATGACGATCCCGCTTGAAAAACATAAATGCTAACTCACCAGCGAGATCGATGATTTCCTCCTGTGTGGCGGTGCCCAGAGCTTGCTCATACTCATCACCAAGGTCTATTGAAATTTGTTCTTCCGCATCGCGAACCTTCTCTGGCGGCGGCGGTGGGATCCACTGAAAAGTCAAGGCAATAATATATTTTAAATTACCTCTCTTGGGTGGGCTATGGATGTCATCGCCTATTTCTGTCAAGAAATAGTAAGACATTTATTTTAATAATTTCTTATTATTTTTAAACTGTATCTTTTTATAGTTAAGGAATGTTATCTGGTGAGACAAAACTGTTTCAAAATTATTTTACAACGTAGTTAAGAAAAGAATACTTTGTATAACATCTTTATTACTAAAATACTTTTTAATATGGATTTAATTTTTTTTTTATTTAAAATTATTATGTGTAATATTTTTGGGTACAATTAGATATAATATATTTGGGTATGTATTAACTTAATTTGGCTGGATCTTTTTGTCACACTATTATACACGGCTCTACCCGCTGACATTGATGCTCCTTTCCACTTTGGATTTGCTGGAAAAGAACTCTTGTAGTGTTATGCTCACATTTGTATATTTGCTTACCTCTGTCATATTTTTATACATTATTAGTGTATACTCTAAAGTATACACAAATAAATAAACTATTGTTTAAAACTACCTATTTTTATTACAATCTTAATAATTTAATACGAAAATACCATTTGATACAAACGGGTAATAAACTCAGGAAGTATTACAGCTATCAACTCACGTCCTTTTATCAATTTACATACTAAAACAACTTTGTTAATCATTAAATATCTTTCTTTGTGCCAAATCGAACAATACATAATTGTAACATTGAACGGGGTCTCAGAAAGATCAATTGACCTCGACAAATACATTGGGCACGTTCAAACTTGCTACTCACACATTCGTGCTGTTATTCCTGTGTTGTACACGCTTATTACAACATTTAAAAGAGTCATTCCTAAATATCGCGTTTGAATAATGAGACAATAAGTGCTTACTAATGTAACCACTTCGCATAATGTGCCAAGAAACATTTACAAAGCCACTCGGGAGTTCTTATTTAAATTTACATTGGACATTGCATACAAGTTATGAACGTTACGCCTATCTCCTACTGAGATAAGCATAAATTTAAAGTCAAATGAACATGAAGTGGATGACTCGATCAGACCTCTTTCAATGCCCATATTCATAAAACTATTAATATTGATGGTAACATGTGCTATTTTAACTTGAACATTATTTTATATTAAGTTTTATTATTATTATAATTATCTTAAATTTTCAACAACTCTCCGATGATAATGACTACCGTTAACAAAAAATTGTCTCGCACATCAAATATTTTCATCAAAGTAGTAAAACACTTTTAATTACAAAGTAAAGGAAACCTTTGGAATTAATTTTCATTTATTTCTTTTAATATTTTAAAGCATAATTAATAAATACTTAAGATTTACACCTCTTAAAGGAACATTTCTCGTTATTAAATACTATTTCAAATAGAAATACAAATTTCTTTACGTTCACAACGGTTAAAATATTCACTATTACTGTAAAATTAAAACCAATGTTATTTGTTGGACTTTTTCGAGTTCTCGACTTATACAGTTATATTTTCAGATAAAAAAAAAAGTCCAAATAACAAAAATTCCAATAACAAACAAAAAGGAGGAGATTTTCAATTCGTTTGTATTTTTTAACAAACGAATTGAAAATCTCCTCCTTTTTTTAAGTCGATTAAAAATTGTTATTAATTAGTTCATATCGCATACCTTCTTGCCACGTATGACACCGGCTACATAGGGCTTCACCTCCGGCCGGTCGGGCGTCTCTAACGCCTGTTTGTTGATGTGCTCGATCAACTTCTTGCGGTTGAGGGGACCCGTTGGGTCCTTTTCGCAATCGTAATTGTTACGCTGTGACGGCGGCAGAAAGGTGTCCTGCAAATATTTTTAAATGATTGATTAAACGCCGAAAAATCTATTTATAATTATTGAAACGTTACTGTATTTTTTTTTTAGTTTGAAAATAAGTAGTAGTGACGTTATCTCTAGTGATTTGTTCGATCCCAGAATAACAACATACTGGTATGCGATCATGACCTCCCGAACAGCTGCAATTTCTGATCAATATCACCTTTTTTTTTATACGACTTGTTTTATGTTTAATGGTCGAGGTATAGGCAGTACCGTCCTTCTTAAAACATCACCAAAGCCTTACTGCGGTTGTAAAATCACCTTCCAAGCGTGGCAATTATTGGCACCCCTTTTATGGGGAAGACGTGAATTTACTGGGTATAGAGGAATAACACCTGAGTCCTCAGGAATGGCAACGCATGGGTGGTATCATGGGCGAAACAGTATATTCTGTTATGTCCATGGCACTGCTCATGTCTATAGGCAACGGTTAACACTTTCCATCAGGTAGGCCGTCAGCTTGTTTGCCATTGTAATATGTATAAAAAAAACATATTTATTTTAATATACATATTAATAGGCGTTTTCTAGATATCTGAGTAGTAAGCAGAATAATTTTGGTGATAAAACACAAAACATTAAATGCAAATTTGAATAAATTAATGAGATTTGATAACATTTTTACACTGAAAAAAAAAATCTGGCACAGGACGTGACTAACTGACCTCTTGTTTTAAATTCTAAATTTAAAAGAATTCTATCTAATCACACAAATCAAATAACAAATATACCATTCATAACTAGTCGGCCTAAATATGATGTCTATGTTTGGAGTCTTGTTTATTATTATTTCATTACTAACTGTAAACCGCGTCTTTGCCTGCGTGAATTGAAATAAAAAGTACCCATGACACGATATGGTTTATTTGTGTACAAATTTCATTAGAATGAGTTCAGCCGTTGCCCGTGCAGCGGTATTGCCCAATGTCCACAGGTAAAATATGGTATATATTATAGAGTCTAAACCATGAATTCTATGCGAACATTGTTATGATGATTGATAAAACAAAACAGCTTTAGCCAACTATTTTTATATCAGTTTATCGCGGAAAATTATTAACCGCAGAGAACCTACCTATTCGCTATTAATATTTTTTATGTATCAATCAGTAATATCTCATCATCATCATGTCAGCCTTTAAATGTCCACTGCTGAACACAAGCTTCCCCCTTGGGGGGTTTTGCCAGTAGTTGCCACACTAGGCAGGTAGATTTACAACCGTAGTTAGGCTTTAGAGATGTTTTAAGAGGGACACTACTGCCCATCCTTCGCCTTTCCTTAGTCGTCTCTTACGACGCACCCGGGAAAGGAAGGGGCAGCCTATTCTATACCGAAGCCACACGACCACAATAATATATGCTATTAATAAATAAATCCTTGCAGCAATTATATAGTAAACAAATGGTCGTTGTGTTTCTATTAATTACAGTACTTACTGTTTTTTTTAAATACATTATAACTAGTCTGACCATAAATATTGTTACGTGAAAACTTATCTTTTCTTCAACTTTTTAATTATTTTGAATTTGGAACACGATTATTCTTTTGATTTCGCGCCATTTCACATATTTTTCATGTTATCAGATTACAATATGGTGTAACAATGGGGTATTAAAGAAAATAGAATTGCAGTGATCGCCTAGCACAAAGTGGGTATGGAGCCGTCGGTCATATTCCAGACACTACATTTTCATTTGTAACAGAACTTATAGCTGGACTAGATATGTATGCATATATTGCTGTATATAAACCACTTTTGCCCTTGTATAAAGTTTATTATCACATTGGTATGATAAAGAATTGTGTTATCTCAGTATAGGTATCGAATCCATTATCAAGTAGCCACTGATTAATCGTTAGCGTTAATATTGTTGGTGCTTACTTAGGTATATCTGATAATTAGAAACATAATTAAAAATATGACTCATAACAAAATATCAGTTTTATATGTGACAATAATGTTTAAAGGCACTATATGTTTATATTCTGGCGATCTTCAAATAATACAAGCGATGGTGTATACACAAGTGTAATTTCAGTTAATTAAATTAAGTAGTTATCATAAAAATATACGAAATACGTCGCATGTACTTGTTCAAGAAATCTCCAAAATAACAAAGTCGACAAAACTAGACATTTTTGATATAATTTGTTTTGACTATCAACACACAGTCAAAACTACTATGTCTAGAAAAATGTAATTTAACACATGGGAGCATAGGTTAATATTATAAGATAAACATCCATCAAGAGAGGATTTTGGAAAATTTCCACTTAAAAGGGAAACACGACACGCGAGTAAAGCCACAGGCAACAGTAACTACTACTTTTTGTTACAATTTCGTCCATTAAAAAGTGAAATATGCATACAAATGACAAAATTAGACCATTATTAAAGTTTTATAATGATTGAGAATTATAAAACGCCTATTACGTTTACTAAATCACAACAAAATAATGCAAATTGAGCTATATTCAGCGTGCAATCGCTTCATAAAATGCAAATAAAATAGAGGAAAACAACTTTTAGTTTGATAACTATGCAAATTTTATACGTTATTGTAACATACGAGAATGGATATTGGCGGCGGCTTTCACAAGGTTTTGTAATGAAACTGAAGTGAATATATTATTTGCTTATGTTTCGTATATAGGTATGTATATGTTTTCCCTTTTTTAAATGATAGACAGAGCAAAAATTAAGAATATAATATGTTACCTAATCACTTCGTTTCATCGCCATAGGTGTGCCACAAGAGGTGGTTAGGTGAGCGAAAGCATAAGCTCTAGTACAAGAAGAGACAAACTTAAAAAGTTATACCAAGCCAACTGACCAATCAATACTTGAGGAATAACTTCCTATTATGGGAAAAACCTATATCATTAACTATAGTTTCTTATTAATGGATTATTGTGGTTGTAGGACAGCAATATTAGAATTCATTTCTTTTCAAGTAAGTGGTTTATTTTGTGAGCTTTTTCGTTTTAAACTCTATTTTTTTTTATACAACTTAAAATGACAAACAAGCTGACGGCCCACCTGATGGAAAGTAGTAACCGTCGCCTATAGACATGAGCAATACCATGGACATAACAGAGTATACTGTTTCGCCCATGATACCCCCCATGCGTTGCCATTCCTGAGGACTCAGGTGTTATTCCTCTGTACCCAGTAACTTCACGCCATATCCCACCCTTCAAACCGAAACACAGCCATGCAAACACAACTGCTTCAGAGACAGAGGTACCCAAGCAATCGACTTTTGTACAAAGTCTCCCTCTATGCCTGAGGACCCTTATATGTTTCGTATATAGAATACTGCATTAAAGTGAAGTACTGTATTTGCCGTGTGGTTCCGACATAGAATGAGCCACTCTATCCTTTCCCGTGAATGTTGTTAGAGGTGACTAAGGGAATTTAATGATAGTGGGATGGGACAGCATTCTTCTGTTTAAACATGGAAACTACTGGCAAATACCCTCCCCCCAAAAGTGGCGGGAGACGTATGTTCAGTAAACAGTTAAACACTTATATGGTAATGATTATAACTACATGGTTACCACGGTTACCAGAGAAAATCGTTCATTTTGAATTGCATAGACTTTTATAAGTGTTTACTATAGAGCTCTACAAACAAGGATATCAAAAAAAAAATTGATGGATCATATTATAATAGATATAATATAAATAAGAGTGAATATGGGTATGACTAAAAGATATTAATATAAATAGAAAACACTACTAATGGGACAAAAGGCACACATCGTAAGAAACTTGACTCTTATATAATGCTAATAATGAATAAACCAGACAATCAAAGCAACTGTCTATTCTTCAAAGTAAGATTAATTGTGTTACTACACTGAAACAATATTAAAACATCTGTAACCTCATTCTGATTTGTTGATTGAGTATTCAGACAAGTAATATTATAAAGTTTATTTTATGACTCAGATGGTAACTTATAATACATTCAAACAAAGCAACTAAATGACAGTGATTGTTATCACTTGATGAAATGTTGAACACTAATTGTAGAAGAGTGTATAGAGATGTTTTTGTAATCATAATTATAAATGTATGCATGTATGCACTTATTTTAGCTATTAAACTATTTTGTCTCTTTCTTTTATGCCACATTCCAAATTTGAACGAAAATGACAAAACAGTTAAATTATGTTTGTTGTAGTAAGTTTTAGTTTTTATAAATGAGAGGGTTAATTGTTTTTTATCTAATATTTACCCTTAATACATCTTATGACTATAATATAATAACAGTCATACAAAAGAATCTGCACAACATTTTAATTGTCTACAATTCCCTTATATGATATAATTATAATATTCTAAACATTTGTACCTATATCTAATTAGCTGCTCCTAGCTGCATTCATGTGAGTAATGATATTGTCATTAAAAATAAAAAAAAAAAGTTAACTCACAATCAAAAAAAAACCAGAATATTCCAATTTCAAATACAGATTGCTGTCTTTAGCATGTATAATTTTATGATATTTATATGCCAATTATTTAGTAAATCAAAAGAGTAAATACATAGTTGTATTATTTTGTTCAAGGTCAAAATTTACTATCACAATAGCCAGCAACAACATATGAATGAATACAGTGTAAAATATCAACACAATGATTATCTAAACATACTATTATTATGACCTTCTAAGCCTATTCACAGAAAATTGCTACTAGGCAGACATTACTCTGTAACCCTGAGATTATTGTGTACCTGCTAATTCACAAAATGACCAGCAATCAAGGTTAAAATTTTAATTGACTAGCTTTTACCTACAACTTTGCCTGTATTATCAGGTTATAGAAAATAACCTATGTTCTTCTTCATTCCAAATTGTATGGTATATACCTACAAAGTTAAATTTCATGATAATTGGTTAAGATACTGAGGTATCAAGAGGTAATTTAAACTCATTTTCGCATGTTTAATAAGAATAACTACCTATAATAGAAAAAAAAAATGAATTAAAAATGTAGAATTATATCTATATGTATATTTTATCATTGCAAAACACAAAGCTTTTTTAATTTTATTGTTTACAAATTCTTAAATAATTTTTTTTTTTAATGAGTACAGTTGTCTTTTATGAAATTCTCATATAAGCTTATATTTTTTTTCTCATTTTTTAAACACTGATATAGTAATTGATTATTAAAATTATAGACAAGTGTGGTTCGCCTTTACTTTGTTACTATGTGGCCCTTGCCTGCCTAAAGATTGTCCACCCTCGGCTTAAGGAATAATTATAAAATTTTATATACACATACTATATGGAATGTAGAAGGGTATAAGCAATTTTTTATCTCAGTAAGTAAACATACACATTCCCACAAAAGAAATTGCAGGTAAAAGCTACTGTAGAGATAAGATTCAGAACTAGTGGTATGGTCATATAATATAGTTTAAACAAATTGAAAACCTTATTATGGATGTTGTATAAATACATTATTATTATTATTTTGTAATGGCAGTGACACCTTATTATACATTAATATTAGGTAAACAATAATGAGCGATGGAATATAACTCAAACTAGCAAATTGATCATGACAAAAATTATAGATGACATAATTAGAGATAACAAAATTCTAAAAATACCACCTACAAACAAACATGAGTTGTCTTGGAATATTTTGCAAAGAATAATTTTCCTTGAGTTAAAAAAAATACATCCAGAGATAATTACTATTATAATTTAAATGTTATTTATGATTCCTAAAGAACTTTTATATATTGAAAATAGTTACATATCTATACCAATCTATGCTTTTTTTTTCATTCATTAATATATTCAATTTCTCTCGGTAATAATATGTATCGGCTGTGCTTGCATGATTGTTTCTATTTGAAGGATAGGATATAACATTAAAGAATTTGTGTGAAATTACAGAATACATACACAGAACACCTTATTCATGATGGATACTATAGGCATTAAAGTGTATTCAGTAATAATCAAAATGCTGTTCATGTATAGAGTAGATGTTACCATGCCCCATCAAGTGGCTGTTAAATTGTTTGTAATTGTAAGTACCATAAAAGAATATTAAAACTCATAAATTCACGTAGTACTTACGTCTGGATCAACTTCCTTCGCCAACATGGTAAGTTCCTCCTGTGTCAACTTGGACAGGAGCTCGTCGACGTCCACCTCGTCGTACGTGGACAGCTCTCGTCCGTACAGCTTGGCTGGCGTCGTCATTGTCGTCGTCTTTGTCGATGACGACTTCTACAAGCACAAAAAGAAACACTTCACTCAACAGATGTTTATACTTAGATGGATACACTTTTTGGGGTTACTCTGACTTTTCACAGTACAATTTACTATTTTGGTAAATTAATTCATTGAATAAAACATTACACGAGCGATATAATTAGACATTATCACATAGAAAACGCAGAAAACACTTTAAAAGAGATAAAAACATTTGACAAGTAATTCGGCGTTCAGTGTGTTCACCACACCCACAAAATTAATTGATCCTTGCAACAAGAGTAGCAAAATAATAGCGTATTTAATAGGATTCCACTGAAAGTCAAAATAATTATTTTATTATCACTAATAATACGATGAATAATCTTACATTTAAATAAAGTTTTAAACAATTATATTTATACGACAACCGGAAAGATACGGACAAAACGTCCAATCACAAAGATAAACTAAACGTGAACTAAGCAAGTAAGCAAGCGAGCGATACGTACCGATTACTTGCTCAGTGAACTATCCAGTAACTGCATAGCAGTATGGAGTTCAAGACAAATAAGAACGAGATGGATTATAAAAGTGGCATAAAGAGAAAAAGTGATAGATAAAAATAGTGTTGTAAAAACCTGTATTGTAATTCTATTTTTATTAAATAAAAAGAAACATTTTTATTGCTTAGATAAAATTAGTTCCTTTTGTTATCTAGATAAATCAAAATTGAATGCAGGGTGGTTATTTAATAACTATGCAATGAATTATCACTGAAAATTTGCATTTTTATGAAAAAAAGCAGTTGTGGAATATTCGAAAATACCATACGTAATATTAAAAGTAAAAATGAATTTTTAAAAGGAATAAATATTTTTTACAGACAACGACGTGTGGATACGGTAACTCTTTCCCACAGGTTGCCAAAAGGTAAAGGTAAAGAAATCTCGTACATATGAGTAAAAATATGAATTTAAAATTACTGTATACTAATAAAAGTAGTGACTATAGTAGAAATGAAATATGGCGAGGATTAACTAATTTCACAAAAAAAATGTGTATGTTATTAAGTAATCATGTTTCTGTAATTAATTAAATAATTTTAATAAAAAACAAAAAATGTGCTTATAATTATAATCCCTAAAAGGACAGTCAGACAGAGTGGTTTATCAACAATGCCCTTATTTACGGCTGTCACTCAACTACTTATGTTATCAACACACCAAAGTAATGTTTTCTATTTCCAAAGACTTAGTTTAAAATTTCAATTGAAGTAAAAATTTTTATAGTCGCCCGAATTCGTATACATAATAATTGGAGATCTACAAGCCAAGGTGGTAAGTATAGGCATTATTATGTCACGATGGCTTCAAATTATTTAAATATCAACTTTAGCAACAGTCACATACATAAAATAATATTATTACCTTTAATATCTAGATAGGCTTCTAAAACCAATTTGAAGGGCAACTCAATTTAATCTAAAACCTGTTTGGTTTTAAGCCCTCTTATTATGTTCAGTGATTGATCTTTATTTATTTCTTGTAACCTTTGGACAAATTGCGAGACTTCATTATATTGATATTGAGGTAATCAAAGTGTATTCTAAATAACCTAATGTGTCCTACAGACTGACGATAGTATTGATAGCAAAGGACTTTGCAGCTGGTGTCTCCCAGTTCAAAACCAAAAATAATATAATACTACACTAGTATCTATAATAAAAATTCTTTAAAATGCATTTTACAGGATATTAATAACATGTCGTGTCTCAGTCATAGGTATAATTCTTAGTATAATTATGGTAGGGTAGGACGATAGTATCGGGAATCCCGGTGCATTGACCGCGCGGTAGGGGAGGTAGGGGAGCATTGGGCACTTTTTTACATAAATGTTAATAAAACTGTTATTTTTTATCATAATCAAAATTTTATTCCTAATATAGGGAGCACACATATTTGGTAGTAATTATTATTAAGAAAAGTTTCAATATTGTAATTAGTTTCAAAGTTACAAGAGATCTTCGAACACATGTCCAAAGTGCCCAAACCTCCCGGCGGTCGGGAGGTTTGGGCACCCATGTAGGGAGGTTTGGGCACTGTATTTAATATGCATGAAATTGCTTTACTATACTACTAGGCTTAAGTATTATATAACATTACTATAAAAAATTGTAATACAAACATTTTTTCTTATCATAGATTTTATTGTATTTAATATGCACGAAATTGCTTTACTATACTACTAGGCTTAAGTATTATATAACATTACTATAAAAAATTGTAATACAAACATTTTTTCTTATCATAGATTTTAGAAAAATTTAACAATGTGACTTAGAATCAGTACTGCACGATGTTAGACTTAATTAAACTTATCTTATATTTGGTATGATCCATAGAGGCTTGTCAAATTTATATTTTAAGCTGCCACGTTTCATCCATGTCGTTGGTGTAGGCAATTTTGTCTTTATATCCTCCAGGAGGACACTGGCTACGTCCTCGATGTCAGGAAATATAAAAGTATTTCTTAACTTACTCACTCTCATAAATTTTACAGTTGCCATCGTCTGATTAACATCTTCGATTATTCCAACATAATGGTAGACAGTTTTTTTGGTGTCAAATTTCACTAATACAAAGTTATTGATCTGGAAATTTCTATCCAGAACGATCACATCGTCTTCATCAAAATCTTCCGATTCAACAACGATTTCGTCAGAAACTGAAACATTTTCTATTTCATCATCGCTGCTAATTTTCCTGTTTTTCTCTAGTTTGGAAGTAAATTCATCAGCAAGTTTCGGAATTTTTTTCTGTCCTGTATTTTTGAAGCATTTTCTATTTTTGTTGAGCTCTTTGATCTTATTTTTTCTTTGTCTTTCTTCTTCTTCCATTTCTATAAGTCTTTTCTCGGGTGTGTCCGTCAATATTCTAGTTTTTCCCTTCTTCCGTTTCATACCCTGCAATTTCCTGGGGCCGGCCTTCGGATACGGTCTTACTACATCAGGTGTTACATTGACAGTGCCACTAATTTGACTTGTAGAGGGAGATTCCAGTTGAGATGGCCCAATGACTTCCACATTTGAACTTGTACGATCCTCTAGACTCTGATTTTCCCCTGTTGAAGGCTGTTCAGTGACAGGTTGGTCTGAAATAGATTGTTCTGAAGGAACATTACCCTCTTCCGACAAGCAGCGATCAGTTATAAAAGAACAAGCGAAATCTTCATCGGAGAAAATATTTGAATTCAATGGCCATATGCCAGATTTTTCAAATCCACTTTGAATATTCTGCAACTTGAATGCTAGTGGAATGGCTTTTGCTGCTAATTTTGGTATTTCATAAATTGTTACTGTTTTGGCCGGATTGCTTACCATCCAATCTGTTACAGCAGTGTTATAATAAGTTTTCAGTGGTCCATAGACAGTCAGGTCTAGAGGTTGCAGTTTATGGCTGCAGTGTGGTGGGAAAGTCATTAAAACAATGCCTGATTGTTTGCAAAAATCGAGAACTGGTACTGAAATATGGCTCTCATGATTGTCCAGCAGCAAAAGAACTGGCGATGAAGGCGTTGGTTTTGCGTGTTTGGCGAAATGGTGAATATATTTTAAAAAATTTGGTGATGTCATCCACCCTGAAGGATGTGCTGCTCCATCTGAACCAACAGGGGCATCATTTAGCATATATGTTTTGAAATTAACCCGTGGGAATATGAAAAATGGTGGTATTGAGTTACCCAATGCATTAATACCGCAGCAAACCGTTACAAGCGTCCCTCTTTCAGCTGACGTTACTTGCCCAACTTGCTTAGTGCCTCTGAGAGCAATCACTTTCTGGGTTCGTTGCACCGTTGATAATCCAGTTTCGTCTATATTGTAAATAGACTCAGGGCCGAAGCGATGCCGTTCATACACAGTTTTAAGATTTTCAAAAAAATTTCCGACATTTGTCTTATTGAAGCTTGTGGCCCGTGACAGACTGGTAGCCTCTGGTGTCCTTATCGAAAGTTGAGGCTGTCTTTTAAAAAATCCCCTTATCCAGTCTTTGAATGCAAGTTTCTTCTCTGTCCAGTTATCTGGTATTTTCTTTTTAATGGCAGTGGCGTATTCATAAACCAATTCGCGTGTTTTCAGTTTTGATAGTCCATGGTTTAGTTTAAAAGATGTTACAAGATATTCCGAAATTTTCTCTTCTTCATCTTTTGTGAATATTTGAGACGATATAAATTTACAAGAATTATCTTTTACGACACCACCCTGCTTGATATACCTTTGAAGGTTAGATCTTGGTATGTCATATTTATTCGCAGTACTTTTAATTTTAGCACCTTTGGAAACTTCTTCCAATGCGCGCAAAATAATATCTTTAGGGATTTCACGTCGCTTATTTTTCTTTTTAAATGAAAACGGCATTGTCCTAAAAAGAAATGATTAACCACTCAATCCAATAGGCATAGCAAAAATACACTAAAAACAGAGCCAAACATGCCCAAACCTCCCTCCTACCTGCGTGCCCAATGCTCCCCATAACCTCACTTTTCAAATAGATTAGAATAAGATTATTTTTATCAAATGTAGAAACCTAATTTACAGGCAAATATAATATTCATTAAACACAAAAGAAAAAGATAACACAGATACTTACACGTTCTTGCAGATTTCTTTGATAAGTTACATCAAATCACAAATAAAATATTTACTTCTGTACGCAGCAAACCGTTACGCGCATGTAACTTGACAACCAAGTGAAATGACAGCTGACACTTTAGATAAGCGGTGTTGCTAGTGAATAAAGTATAGTGCTGTGGTAGAAAACAAAAAATATCTATGAAAGTTTTGGAGAAATGAGGGGGTGCCCAAACCTCCCGACTGCCCAATGCTCCCCTACCTCCCCTATTCGTAATTAACTCCATTCGTGGAAATATAATGTGAATATTTTAATGTAAACATGGTCATCGTTTTATGACCAACTTCATGCAATGAAGAAGACATTTTTAATTTTTTTAGAAGTAGTTTTTAATTTTTTTAATGGATTAAAATGAAATGAACACCACCATCTATGCTATTAGTTTATATTCAAAGATTAACAAGACTAATGTTGACTATGTTGCCTCATAAACCACACGTAACTTACTACGCTTCATCAAATTGCAGCACTAAAATATAGTACTCTTGGCCGTATTTTTGAGGTGTTTTCTGACCAAAAATATTAAAATTCCTTGTTCTTAGTTTCTGATACACGATGTCCATCGCTTTCATTAGAGGTAATTTAAGATCATTTTCCAGGAAGAGCTTGGTGCCTTAAAAAGGCACATATTAAGTATTTGCGCATAGATTTCAGCTATGCTTCCCTGTATAGTTTTCGTCTGGTCCCGGATAATGGGCCATCCTTTCCTTTCCCGTAGATGTCGTAAGAGGCAACTAAAGATACTGATTGAGGAATAAGCAGCAGCGTCACTCTTAAAACATCACTAAAGCCTAACTACGGTTGCCAAACCGCCTGCCAAGCGTGGCAACTACAGGCAAAATACCCTAGTAGAGGGAGACCAATATTCAGCTGTGGACAGTGAATGACTGATAAAATAAAAATAATACAAAGCTGAAAACTTTGCTTGCATCCTGAGTTGGACTCCAGACAATTTTCTGGAGCGGTCACGATGTACCTAGCTGCCTCTTAAATTCGCCTATAGAGGTACCTGACTATAATCTAAGGTTCTTTCTAGTAGACAATAAAATTGCGCTGCTCCATCTGGACAATTGCGTAAATTGCATAATAGGACTATTACGTGATAAATCTATCAAAATGTTGATTGCTTAGGTTGTTTGTGAACTCGCAACCTTTACAGTAATAGATAGTCAGCATTCTATTATTACGATATTGCAATAAATATTGATATGCATTACAATGATATGTTTCGTCATTGAAATTTTAATGAACAGCCTTACTTCTTACTAACATAATAAAATTGTAACTAGACAATGAAAAAATGAACTTGAGGCTTGGTAATAAATATAATAGAAGATAAAACAATATTTTTGATATATTTTTTTTTTGCTCTTTGTCTGTCTGTATGTTTGCTCCAATATTACGTAAAAACTACTGCACCAAAATGTATGTAGCTTTTACACTTGTGTTCCTGAAAGCCTAACTTAATATCTGGTGTTTGTTTTATTTTGATAGGTTATCTAAAAGTGACCTTTTTGTAATTAGTTTTGCTAGTTCAGAAATCCACTTATATACTTGTACGATTTGATACTATGTACCTAGATATGCCTACCAAGTGTAGCAACTACTGACAAAACCCCCCAGGGGAGGCTTACGTTCAGCAGTGGACAGTTAAAGGCTGGTATGATGATAAGAATAATGACCTAAATATAGATTATGAACATTATTTTAATTCTCTAATAAAATTGAGCACACAAAAGTACTATTTTAGAAGCAAATTGATAGTATTAAAGTAGGTAAGTACCTACCTATAAGAATTTTTCTAATCTGAAGAATTTTCTTACATTGATAGAACTATCTATGGTATACTAACCATATTGGTAATAGGGACAAAGGCATTGTTAACAACCATTGCTGGTAATAGCAATACACACTGTTAGGAACTAGTGTATAATTCCTGGGGAATATATTAGGGCGGACCTGTCGACTTTACTTTATCCTTACCTTTTTTTTTATACAACTTAGAATGGCAAACAAGCTGACGGTCCACCTGATGAAAAGTGGTAACCGTCGCCTATAGATATGAGCAGTACCATAGACATAACAGAGTATACTGTCTCGCCCATGATACCCCCCATGCGTTGCTATTCCTGAGGACTCAAGTGTTATTCCTCTGTACCCTGTAAATTCACGCCATATCCCTCCCTTCAAACCGAAACACAGCCATGCAAACACAACTTTTATACGACTTAGAATGGCAAACAAGCTGACGGCCCACCTGATGGAAAGTGGTAACCGTCGCCTATAGACATGAGCAGTACCATGGACATAGCAAAGAATACTGTTCACTACTGCTTCACGGTTGAAACACGAATGGGACAGAGGTACCCAAGCAATCGAACAAAGTCAGTTTTGTACAAAGTCTCCCTCTGTCTATTTCTCGAGCGGGATTTTTAATAATGGGGCTAACGGCCCCCACTACATTTGATGTTGGCGAGATTTGAACTCGTGATCTTTACGGTCTATATAAGCCGGTGTAATATACCTCAGGGCTACGACAGTTAAGAGAATAAATCTATACTTTTTTCCTAAATATTTTTCTAAACGATATAGGGCAAAAGCATAAATAATTTGAGAGCTTACCATGAAATGTTTTCCGAAATTTCGGTGCCAAACGAAATACAAATTTGATGTCAAAATTACATAATACATAGCATTTAAAAATGTCAAAATATTGTTTCTTTGAATTTATGAAGGACGAAATGTTAAACTCCGTTTACTGAGCCCATTTCGGTATGAACAAAAACACAACATTGAGTCCAAAAATTAGGATTTTCATTTCATGGTAGATCCCCTGTTCATTGTCAGAAAAGTGGTCAACGAAAACCTAGTTTTCCTATACCGTTACACATGTAGGTAATGTAATCATTACTGTAGTGACGTATATTGATTAGTTTGATTGAATCGATTAGCGGTTGTTCCTGTTGACCACGCGACTGCGCCAGTTGACGTCTGGCGACCCGCCAACCTGCTAAAATTGGTGGTCGTAACACTAGAGACAGGCGATATTATTAGCTGCCCATTCGGCCACTGGCCTTCTTACCGGCAATTGTGATTGTAGCAAAAATATATTATTAAATTGTTCGCCACTGTTTACACTTGACCTAGAGCCGCTAGGGATGTTCCGCGTGCGCGCATTACCGATTCACGGATGTCGGTGAATGACCTTTTTGCTTTTAAAACAATGCACACTGGCTGCATTTAAAAATATTTACTACCAGTAATAATATAACAGTTTGACGTTGCAACAAGTTTGTTATTTGACAATGTTTTCCTTAAATTGAATTATTATCGCCAACAGTAGGTACAATTTATCTCTAAAAATGTCATTACCATATGGTCCACCGCAACCAGTTTCCCCTTTAATCAGGGGTATAAGGTTTGCTTTACTGTTAGCGGGGATAATTTATGCTCGTGGGAAACAAGCATTGTATAACTCGAAAGAAGCGCAATGGCGAGAAGATGAAGCTAAGAGAAAAGTCATCCGTGATAGAGAAAATGCAATATTGAAGGCGAAACTCGCTGCAGAGGAAAAAGAGAACGTCAGGCTGTTTGAAACAGGAAAATTGTTCGAGACTGGTAGGTTATTAATTAAACAGAGAAATATTGTCTTTTTTTTTTAATTATTTAAATTATTTACATAATATATAGTGCAAACCTATTGCATTTCCTATGCGTGCTCGTCTGAAGGTATAAATAGTTATAGATAGAAACTAGATACCTACCTACCTATATAAACGAAATAATTCCGTTTCATACTTCATTTCAATGGATTTATAGTTATAGATCTGCAAGTGTCGTAGTAAGTAAGGAAATCAAATAGGATCAAAGTTTCAAATAATGAATTATTTGTAATTCCTAGTTTCGACGAATAATGATAACCTAGAGTTTAAAAAAAATATTAATACTTAGAAATGTTTACTCAAATGCATTACTAATAAAGATTTTATGTTTAGGTGATACCGGTCATTCCACGTCTACTGGACGACAAAATGGGTGCCATTAGATTACGCACTAATTATTTTATTTTGTTATAATAACTGTTGATAATTTCACAAATACAATTATTTGCTTGTTTTATTACCAATTTGAGATTATCTTATTTTTTTTAGAAATACCACTCCTATTATAAACATAAACTTTTTGGATATTTAGGTATCTGTAAAGATAATTTAACTCTATTAAAATGTTTGGCTCTCTATTACGAATTAATTATGTAATTTTGTTGAAAATACATAATAATATAATTACATAGATAAATCGTATCCAATTTAATTCATGTGAGCAACTTGTGATCGATTAAAAAAAAACATCAAAATCGTTCCACAAGATAAAGGTACTTATCGCTTTACTTATCGCATAATCTTTTATGTCTGTTGAAAATAATGTATATCTAGTATAATTATTAATCTTCATAAAATAGGTAGGTAGAGATATCTACTTGTTGTATGCAAGCTGCATAAAGTTCAACCATTGTAAACAGATGTAAAAAGGTAGTGAAAAAGGTTTCACTGTTTCGCAATGATACGAGTATACTTATCACTTGTTTGTGAATTTACTCATATATAATCGATAACTGTATTAGTGCAATTCAAAAGTTTCTCAAAAAAATGTATATCGCATATGTACCTACACTTTCTACAGATAGGTAGTCGGTTTAGTTGTGCAAATAGAGCGTTTTACCGGTTATTATCACAGAAATACCGGTTTTCATTTTGACAACGGCGAAAGCTGATTTATGATGCCATGAGTATTTAAAACAAATAACGGAAGTGGAGTAATTAATTATGTAAGATTTCGCTTCTGATAATATTATATATAATAGATGGAAGATTCTTTCAAATTTGCGACTGCGTGATTGATGATGATTCTGATTCTGATGATACGAATTGCGTAACTTAATTGTAAAGCACCTATTATTTTTAGTCAGTAGATAGGGAAGAAAGTTTCTCTAGTGGTGACCTCATGCAAGCATGCGTAGTGTGACGCGACTCCCTACAAGAAGAAGTAGCCAAATCTGACGTGTTGCAGAGTGTTGCTGGATACAAGTAACGCGGGATCAGAGGGAGACTTTGTACAAAAGACGTTTGCTTGGGCACCTCTATCCCATTTGTGCTTCTACCGTGAAGCAGTTTGTTTGCATAGTTATGTTTCGGTTTGAAGGGCGTGAATTTACAGGGTACAGAGGAATAAAATCTGAGTCCTCAGGAATGGTAACGCATGGGGGGTATCATGGGCGAAACAGTATACTCTGTTGTGTCCATGGTACTGCTCATGTCTATAGGTGACGGTTACCACTTTCCATCAGGTGGGCCGTCAGCTTGTTTGCCATTCTAAGTTGTATACGTAAAAACATGACATAGATATACTTTATAGATTGATCATGTTTTAATTACTAGCAATTCGGCCCGGTTTTACATGAGTTGATAGAATCTTTGGATATAATATATAGCTTATATTAGTCGATAATAACAAAGCTTTCTATGGGTAAAAGAATTTTCAAAATCAGTTGAGTAGTTTGTAAGTTCGTTCATTACAAACTCTATCTTCTTTAAAATGTCGATATAGACATTAGATAACTAGATTTTATTTTATATTATTGCATGATTTACGTTTTAGTTCATAGGCAGAGCACTTTTCAAATAATCAATCAGAAATATCGAAAATTTTTCAATTGTTTTTGGATAATTGACAAATAATTGCAACATTGCCACACTTCAGTAAGCAAAAATTATAAAGGCTCTTAACTAACTGCCTATCTCGTCTTCGTACGAGTGTACTAATGACGAAAATAAACTAAATTTCCATTCTAATAATTTTTTTTTATATGGGGATTTATTAAGCCATATTTTTACTTTTCCGTACAATATTTCAAACATTTTTCTTTTATACGAGCCTTGTCCTGCCGATTACAAACACAACAAAAAAAAGAATTAGCTAAATAGGTGCAGTCGTACTGAAGTGAAACAGTACATTCAGCAATTGATTTTTATTGGAAGGAAAAGGATTGTTAGTAATGAGGTCTAATTACTCCATTGTTAATAATATACCCTGTCAGGTCGACCTCCACGCGGTTCCCCCCGGAAACTATTTATGAATTCGTCATGTTAGTGCAGGCAAGTTTACTATTTCATTTTCATCCATTAAAAAAAAAATGGTTTTTATTTACATAGATAAAAAATAACGACCTATGCAACTCAATAAGAATAGACTACCCCTTCCTTTCCCGTAAGAGTGTTGTAAGAGGAGACTAAGGGAGCTTAACAGTCAAGGAATGTGCAGCGGCGTCCCTCTTAGAACATCACCAAGTCTAATTGCATTTGTCAATCCGCTTGCCAGCGTGGTAACTATTGGTAAAACCCTCCTTTTGGTAACTTATATTTAGCTGTAGATAGTCGACAACTGATGTGATAATGATTCAACTCGGTCGTTATAGTTCTCTTAATTATAACAGCAATTGGCAAATGATATTTAATGTTTATTCATTACTTATATTGCATCAAGTACCAATAAATGTATTTTAAACTAGTGCAAAGGAAGCAACGGAATCCACGCTCCGATGAATTCAATTACCTACAAGCAGCACAAAAAAATTGTAGGAAGGTTGTTACGGCACCAGCTGGCGCACTGAATTTCTTCTATAGTCTCATTATTTTGTAATAATAACGAAAATACCGCAATAAAGTTAATACCGTTATCATGTATTGTTTTTTGAAATGCAAAGTTTTATTTGACAAAAAAAAGGACAGTGTGTTGTCGATGTTAAAATTGAACTAAAATTGTTTGTAATGTATGGTACTCAAGACTAACTAGTGCAGGGCCATAGCCAAAACCATGTTTAAGGTAGGGTAAAAGAACTTTGTGGTAGGGCAGAAGCCATAACTAATTGACCTCTAAAAAGCGAATCTGTCCAATTTTCTTAAGGCCTTTTTTTTATACAACTTAGAATGGCAAACAAGCTGACGGCCCACCTGATGGAAAGTGGTAACCGTCGCCTATAGACATGAGCAGTACCATAGACACAACAAAGTATACTGTTTCGCCCATGTTACCCCCCATGCGTTGCCATTCCTGAAGACTCAGATGTTATTCCTCTGTACCCTGTAAATTCACGCAATATCCCACCCTTCAAACCGAAACACAGCCATGCAAACACAACTGCTTCACGGTTGAAACACGAATGGGACAGAGGTACCCAAGCAATCGACTTTTGTACAAAGTCTCTCTCTGGTCTTTCATTTTAAGGGAGGACTTTGGGCCTTTTAAAATACAACACACAAAGATGAGTATACAATAGAGAGAAATAGAAATAAATTAACAAAATTATCCGCATCAACTTATTCTATAGTGTAATAGCTACGTTCCGCTGGGGGGAAAGAGATTGTTAGTAATGGAGACTGAGAATCCTATTGCTAGCAATATACCCAACCAGGTTAACCTCCTCGCCGTTCCCCCTGGAAACTATCATAATTAATTCCTGATGAATTCATTATGATGGGCTAACTGGCCTGTTTTCATTCTCATCAATCACCCTTCACTGGTGCTCCACCGGCGGATCCCATTAGCGCGGTTGGAGTTACCATTCCATTTAAACCCACTAAAAAAAAAACTACGTTCCGCTCCAGCTGTAATGTTGTTACTTTCCACGAATATAATATAGATTTTTAGAACAAAACGAGTGCCGTAAACTATTACAGTTATCCAATGGCATGTAAAATTACAATGTAATAATCTAAAATTTTGTTGAAGGGTAAAAAGTAAAAATATTGTTTCAATCAATGAAAAAGTAAGAGAAAGGAACCCGGCAAAAAAATTAACAAAATCAATCAAAATTTACAATTGGTGGAAATGTTGTGTAACATAAAAACGAATTGCAAACGTAATGAGAAACACCTCCTATTGAAAGTCGGCTAAGAAAATGATGGTCATAAACAGTACAAGCTGAAACAACAGACCTATTCAAATCTAAGCATTTTACTTGCAAAATAGGTAAGACTTTAAGATTTAAGACAATAAAAATGTTTAATTACAGGTAACATTATAGGTAGTTATTACTCGCTCAATGATTTAATGTTGACCATTGTTACTTTTACCGTACTTCTCACAAAATTTTCAAGAATAATGTAAAATTTTTTTTTACATAATTCTATAAATTTAAACAACGAATGGCGTCATTTGCAGACATGATCCCGTTATGGGAGTAAACCTGTAACCAACTCGACACTGTAAGTACCTACCTACCTATACTTACAAGATGTAAGACCAGTTTTGTGCAGTTTTTATTTTAATCTGGACACGTTTCAAGTTTCACTCCAAAACTTTCTACAGGATACTGTTTGTTACGATCACATGTAAAATATTTTAAAAAGCTTAGCAAGTAAACAGTACCAACCTAATACTAAACAAAATAATTCTAATCAACTAACTAGTATTACGGACAAATAACATCAAATTTAGTAAAGTACTAGTACCATTTTGAACAGAGTTTAAAAAAAAAGACATTCTCAACTGGGTTGTTTTTTTATGTTTGTTACCTCATAACTCCGTCAGTTATAAACCGATTTGGAAAATTATTTTTTTTCTCTGAAAATATATACTTGCTATTAGATCACTCTATGTGACAAGTTTGCCATCGTATATTAAATTTATTTTTATGTATCCAATGTAAATTATATACAATAAACATTTTACAATAAAATACAATACTTACAGATTGCTCCCATAAAAGGAAATATGAAAAACGGTTCAGTAGATTAGTTTTAAATCAAAATATGTAACTGGTTTTACTACAGTTGAAGGCAGTTTTTTGTCGAACAAAATGTTAATTATTTTTTAATACTTTTTGATTTTATACAATTTATTTTATTTATTTCTTCAACTGAGTGAACATTACACTCTCCCAATACGCTCACCTAGGAAAGTATCATTTCTATGAGTTATATATCAAAATTATGAGTAACTACTATTAAGCTACTAATTGATTATCACATTACAAACATAAGCTAGCAATTATTGCTATAGGTAGGTGAGGTAGATACAAGCACAAACATTTGTACAGTACAAACGTTCTAGTTTAGGCATTTTCTA